TCGACCTTGGGAGTCTCAGACGGTACACTTAACTGTGTCACAGGCACTAAATTTGAAAAGTACGCCGAAAACTTCCGAAAACAGTATAGAGATGCTCGTGGCATCGGTTCATCTCTCCACGACCAGATGCGGAGAGTCTGGGGTGCGTCCCTTAGCCCCCGGACAATGAGCGGGGTACAATGCACGATCACAGCAACTCTGATAAAACGCTTGCCTCCCTTCCCTCGACAGACCGAGTCGTGCGGCAGAAATCACTCAACACAGTAAATCTCGACGCAGATGGAAGATCAATGCCGAAACCTCGCCGGACTGGTTGGTACGGGACTATCACGCTGTGATGAATGAGAGAACATCCCACTGACCAGCTTAGTGTCGCCTGCCGTGAGCGACATTTACGATGCAAGTGCACGCCCATTCTCCCCATCGCCTTTACCTGCATACCCACCACCGAGTACTAGTGCCTGGCTGGGTTTCGAGGTCTAACACTACACCTCCTAGGCGACCATGCGGTTCCTCGCTGCGCCAACTGCGCCAACTCCAAGACTCCACGGACATGTATCTATGGTGGTCTGAAATTAAGACACAGCAAGTATTCTAAAGCGAGAAGCGGGCGAACCCAGTCCCCGGGACACACCACCTTGCATCCCGTAAGTCCTGGTAAGGAATCTCGCTCAGGTTCATTATCCCTTGGCGTCTCATTCCTCAGATACTCGTCTCATTCAAGACTAACGTTCAGCCAGCAAATGGTTCAGAGTCTTGGCCTGCAGAAGGCTTCATTGAGGCAATTCAATCCGCACAAGGTCCCGGTACAGTTGTCGACTCAAGCTCGAACCAAGCCCCTGCACCAGACCCCTATGGGACCCCGACCGCAGGGACGGTGGACAATAGTCCTTCAACATTCTTTAGGCATGAGCTACCGCCAGGAGATCATGTCCAATTAACAGTCGACCCGAGCAGTGAGACTCAAGGTGTCAATGCCAGCGACACGGAATGCTCTCTTTTCCAATTCTACAAAAGCTATGCAGGGGTCTGGGTAAGTCCCGAGCAATTTCATTCCCCCAGCTTATCGAATCACGGTTGTCGACGGCTAATCGGCGTGCTTAGCTTGACATTGTCACTGCAGAGCGTCATCTCAGTCAAACTGTTCCGAGGCAGGCGGTGACGAGCCCAGTGCTATACTATGCTTGTCTTTCCTACGCCTCGAATATCATGAACGCAAAGGAAGAGCTGGACGAGACGGTCAAGGAACAGTACCACAGCAAAGTCATCCATATTCTCATTGACTCACTCTCCTTATCGCCTAACCCGGCATATGACTCCAATCTATTGGCCACAGTGGTCATTCTCCGCATGTCGGAACAATTTTGCGAGATTGATAAAGACGTGCGCCATCATCTTGCCGGCGCGTCTTCATTATTCACGTTGCGAGGAACCATGCACAGGTGGTCGGTGCACGACACCGATCTTGCAGGGACATCGTTTTGGATATACCTTCGCGAGAGCCTCCGACTGTGCTTTCTCAACGAGGAGATATGCCAGTTCGATTTGGACCTGATTGAAAAGGAATCTGTGTTTCTTGCCACTTCCGAGGAGGCCTGGACTAACCGGATCACCTACATCTTGGCTTTGGTGTGTAATTTCGCTTTTGGGAAGCAGACGACAGCCCAGACAGTGCCGGACGCGGCAGAATTGAGGAAATCCATCGATCTATGGGCGAGCAAGGTCCCAGCGTCGTTTCGCCCTTGGAGTTTTAGAGAGGGCAAGACCGCTCCTTTTCCGACGATTCATTTCCTAAGCACATGGCATGGTAAGCAATCATCCCTTTGAAGCTGTATCTTTGGCCCTTACGGAATGCTGATACCGATGATGATTAAGAGGTGGCATGGCAGCATTACTATACCGCAAAGATCATGTTGGCCGTGCAAGGACTCCAGGTGCATGAAAGCACTAGTATTCTGGAGCTGAATCGATACACCGAACACCAGATTCTCGGGCCGACGAGGAAGCTTTGTGGTATTTGTCTGGCCACGAAAGAGGTCGGCTCACAAATCAATGGCAGCCACTTGGTATCGTGGTGCGGACAGTTTTTCACGGGCAAGCAGGAGCAGAGACAGCTCGTCGATTGGCTGGAACGGACAATGCTCGCGTCCAAGTGGCCCAACAGAACCTGTATCGAGCGTCTGCAGCAGATATGGAGCGGGGTGCGGTTGAAGTGGGCAGACGCACCCATCTAAACAGTATCTTACTTAGAAGCCGCCCATTTTGTACATTACAGGACAATCACTCGCAGCTAACCACATGCTAAGTCGAGATAGCCCAGCGCGGGCTAGGACGCCCTGCTATATTTCGGAATTTGGGTGGACACCGTCGCCCCCTCAGAGATGCAGTTTCCGCGGGGCGTTGACCCGTCGAAAATTGCCATATTAGGAAATCGATATGTGGTTCCCTAGGTCTAGATAGTAGGCCACAGTCCAGTCTTGCCTCTATCAACAAGGAGCGAGCGACTCGAACGAAGCTGCTTGTGCGTCATTCAAGTACTCAATCTCCCACTCCTTTTGCGTTGCGAGTCAACCTCGAACAAACATATGAATATATGCTTTCAGGTTCTTCCTTCTGAGAATCATCCTGTGTTGGGAAGAGAATAAACAACATTGTCCGGACTCGACGACAATGCACGTTGTTGGTGGGTGCTTCACCCTGCGGTGTCGTGGCCATGCTAATAGTCTCCGTGAAGCACTGATCCTTACAGCACTGGCAGCCTTCGCGCTAGGTTTGCCGATATGGTTCTTGATACAGTGGCTGTCAGATCCGCGGAAACTTCGACGATTCCCTACGCCATCTGTTGCGGCTCTGACGCCGTTCTGGCTCATGTATCATAGCTCCTGCGGACGAAGATACGCCGCCGTTGACGAGGCACATCGCAAGTTGGGCCCCGTCGTGCGCATCTCGTCAAACCACGTCTCCTTCGCCAGTCCCCAGGCCTTCAAGGAGATCTACAATTACGGGAGCAAGATCGTCAAGGACGACTTTTACGAAACCATCGCGGCGGGCAATCCCTCGATGGCTCAAACGTCAAGCAAACTCGAGCACGCTACCAAGAGACGGAATCTCTCCCATGTGTTCGCCGCTAGACACATTACGGAGATGGAGCCACGCGTCATGCGTGTCGTGGAGAAGCTTTGCAGGAACATCACAGCGAAGTCTCAGGGGCGGCGGATTAGTGATGAAGACCACTACCAGTGCGTTGACGGGGCATTTGATCTCCGTCCGTGGCTGAACATGGCCTCCTTCGACGCCATCACGTCGATGTTCTGGTCCCATGAATACGGGTTCCTGGACCGGGGAAACGACACGTGCCTGACGGAGTCGGCATCGGGCTCCATCACGCAGGTCAACGCCATGGACACCTACCATTCTGCGGTCCACTTCAATGCGTGGCTGGCACATCTGCCGGAACGGTGGTACAAGCTCGGACGTCGGATCTTCCAGTACAGCCACGGGCAGCTGGCCGGCGACCACTTCAGCGGCATGGCGAGATATCTGGTCAACGAACGACTGCGGTCACGGCCTGCCGAGCCGGACCTTTTCAGTCCTCTGCCACTCGAGGCGAGCGAGAAAAGGCCAGTGCCCATGACGTTCGACCAAGTCCACGCCGAATGCACGACGATGCTGGACGCTGGGAACGATACGACACAGACCTCGCTCACGAATTGTATGTATCAGCTCGCTCGCCGGCCCGACAAGCAAACGAAACTGCGCAGGGCGCTGTTACAGGCGCTGCCGCCCTCGAAGCGCCCCGTGGTGAGCTACGAAGACCTGCAAGGCATCGAATACCTCCGAGCCTGCTTGGACGAGTCGTTCCGCGTCCGCACACCGCTGGGCTTCGGCCTTCCTCGCAAAGTCGTCGAGCAGGGCGTGGTCATCTCAGGCCACGACATCTGTCCCGGCACAACGGTCAGCGCCCCTCTCTATTCCCTGCATCTGAACGAAGCGCTGTTCCGGAACGCCAGAGAGTTCATCCCCGAGCGCTGGCTGCCGAACGAGAGCGACCCGTCATTCCACACCTCGGACGAGGAGCGCCAAAATCTTAAAGACTACGTTCTTCCGTTCAGTCTGGGGTCCAGGGCGTGCATTGGCCGCAATTTGGCGTACATGGAGCTGAGCATCGTCATTGCCGCGCTGGTCATGTCTTTCGAGTGGCAATTGGCCCGCCCGGATGAGGAGATGGTGACCATTGAGAGGTTTAACAGCAACCCCAAGGAGCTGTTCGTTAGAGCCCAGAAGTTGGATTTGGCTTGACGAAAATTGGCCGGCTCAACGATTCAAACAGCCCTCCGGTCCCGTTCTTGTGCACTTTCGGGTCTGTATGCACTCTTATTGAGACTCAATATCCTAATACCTTCCGCAGATGGTGCCCCGAAATCGGTCTAGCAAGCTGTGTCGGTCAGCCGCTCCTAGGTCCTAGTGTAGGTTATTAGGAATTCCTGGAGTCTCCAGAGTTTGCAACGTCCTGCAAGTCTGTGGCCGAAAGCCTTCGCAGGAATCTCTAAATCAAACACATTTACATAAGAGGGAGACTGTCCGCACCTATGTTCTCGCCGGGATGTGGCGAGCCAATATAAACTTCAAATATTTGATCGTTTGAGGAGAAGAGACTAGTAGAAGGGAAGTCCGCAGGAGAGATATCTCCTGTTGTTAGGATCCCTGTAGGAATGTGACGTCGTTCTGGTTTGAGGTCTCGGAAGATGTTCAATAGTCCAGTGCGTGGGAGACTGGAAGGATAAATGTAAGTAAAGGCGATTTGAGCGGTAATAAAGCATTTGAAGCATTCTTCGAAAAGGAAAGTAAGATGCGCCGCCTCTTTGAGACCAATTCGTAAATGGAACATGATCACAGGTGCCGTCCTCAATCAAGATAACATTCGCCGAGATCAACTGCTCTGTGGATGCGTTCGCATGATGCACAACCAAGCCCCCTTGCAAAATGTCCGTGAATCCGCTTCAGAGATCTCCAGGCCCCGTCCCTTTCCTACCCGTGATGAACCAGCAGAATGTATAAAGATGCCGATGTCGGTCGTTAAACTCTTTTCTTACGTTTTTAAGCATGATCTGGACTTCGGCTTCTGACCAGCCAAGTGCTCGCGTCAGATACCCAAGGGTGACGGCTTCGACTGCTTCGTTCATCTGTGCTTGGAGATATAATCCTATCTGACGCAGTTTCGCGTCTTTTGGCCATGTGCCTATGGGGGTCTGGGTCCCATCATGTCAGTCGGGCCATGAAAACCATATTTCGTGCTGGTGGTGGAGAACGTAAGGCTGATTTTGGAGTTTCTCAAGCCGCGTGGACGGGCAGTCTCAGTCACTTACCTTGATTACTTGCGTCCGAACGTCGACAAACCCGGCTTCTTCGAGGTGCGCTTTAAATCGGGATGCATAATTCAGGCGTCGGCTAAGTGCGACACTGCCATCGTCGATCAGTTTCTGCCATGTGGCAATGGCAGAGTCTGGCGACAAGCCCCCAGGCAGCTGGGAGTAGAACCAGACTTCGAATTCCTGGACCTCGAGCCAGCCGCCGGGCTCGAGATGAGCCAATGCTTGCTTGTACATTTTGGACCAGTCTCCGATGCTGCCGGACATGCTACGCTGGTGAATGTAGTCGAATCTGCGACTGGATGGGTAGGCCCATTCTTGCTCCAAGTCGTCGATCATGAAGGAGCAATTTGGAGCAACCCTGTCGGATTTTCAGTCAGACATGGATTCTTCAAATTTTGACCTAATTTAACAATATGGCATACATTTGCGGCTGAATGGGACTCATATCAACCCCTGGGACAGTCAGTCACGAAATTAGGCCCAGGCTTATGGGCGATGACCTTACCGAGGACGGTTGCCGAAGGATACTCGCTGGAACCACATCAGTATATGGCACACGCTGATAAACTCAAAAAGGCACAAGAAGCATACTCGGCAAAGTCTAGCGCCCAGAGTCCCGTTCCGGTCCCGATGTCCAGCACTCGCTGTGGGTTCCCGATTGGGGCGACGTGTAGCCGGCCATCTAGTACGAGGCGATAAATATGGTGAAGCATATCTAATCGCTCTTGCTCTTGCTCGTCGTTGGGCTGGGGCAGGTTAGCATCCTCCACGTCTATCGGGTGGGAAGCTCGCACAAAAATGTAAGATCTGTCGTCAATTTGCTGATACCTTCTACCATTCTATTCCGTGTCGTCAGTGAGACCATAGCACCACAGCTCTGCATTGAGGACTTGCCTCGTATCTGCATCCAAATTAGCACATCCAAAACGGTTCGTTATACAGATGTCAACTTGCACGTAATTCAGCACAGACGAACGAAGCGTTGTTGTGATTGAAGCTGCGTCGCTGCAGCACCATCAGCTCCAGTGCAACGACATCTCCCGAGTGCGCGGACATACCTTCCCCCATATCCTGAATCGTCATCATCTGCGCCGTCTTCGGCTATCTGTCCGCCACTTGAGCACTCGCACTGGTGTGTCCGCCTTCGCTAACTTGCCTGGGCATCAATGTGCGCAGCCTCCTCCATGGGTGCGAGCTCGCCAGATTCTGATCCTGAGCGTAAGTGCAGGTCAAACACATCACAAGAAGCCTCCAAATGGATAGCGCTTGAAGGAAGAATTGCCGACTTTACGAGATACCGACGTTGGTGCTGTTCGCGAGGTCTTAGCTAGTGTGGAGGGGATCAGAAGCACCAAATACAAAGACTGGGTGGTTCAACGCGCCTCACCTGTTCACGTACAAGTAGGTATGTGACTGGTTGGACTGGGGAGAGCGGACACGACGTGCGTCTGGAAGTCGCCTGAGCGCACCGATAGCCAATGCTCGTTGGATGAAAGTTAACTATCTGGGCTTGCGGAGGAAGCCTAGCGCCCGCAGTGGGCTTGGTTAACGGACGTTTATTAGCCAAGTAGAACCTGGCTTAAGCTGAAGAAGCCTAGCAGCTGCAGCGGAGCTTCTTGGACGACTTTTAGTGGCTTACTAGCCCGGGGAGAGTGATAAGTCTGCCAGCGGGCAATTCCTATCTGTCTTAGCACAGACCCATTTGCGGCCAGCTGCGTCTTTCTTCCGTTCCCGACTTGTATACTTGCATGCATATAGACTGCCGACCACGTGTCTGGCTCTCCCCTCCTCACCGCCCTGCATTTCTCCGTTCCCCCCCTCAAGCGATGGCAGCTTATCTGTCTTGAGTAGGTACATTTACGGCCATGGCCCAGCGGCAAGATTAATCTCGCAAAACAACGATCAGCAGGCTAAACCATTTGTTCACAGTGCAACCAGAGACAGGTGCCATGGCCTGGCTTCAAGGCCCGAGTGCCTCCCCTGCTGAATTGGTGTACGTGTTTGGACCCGTCCTGGCAGCGACATATCTCTTTGCCCTGGCGACCTGGCGCCTGTATCTCTGCCCTGCAGCGGACATCCCTGGACCGACACTGGCCAAGCTCACGTACTGGTAAGAGACCAGTGTTCACAGACATTCCAGTCGTTCCATTATTAGTCCCCAGTCTCTCAAGCCGACTCACCACGTAGGTACGAGTTCTACTACGATGTCGTCCTCGGCGGCCAATATATCTGGAAGATCCGAGCCATGCACGAGCAATACGGCCCAATCGTGCGTATCAACCCCGAGGAAGTCCATATCCAGGACCCGGACTTCTACGACCAAGTGTACGCGGGATCGACGCACAAGCGGAACAAATGGACCTTTTTCACAAACCAGAGCGGCCTGCCGCAGTCGGCATTTGGTACACCAGACCACAATCTCCACCGCATGCGCAGGGCGGCGTTGAACCCCTACTTCTCCAAGGCCAAGGTGCGCATCCTCCAGCCTCGCATCGAGTCTCGTCTGGACAATCTGCTGGCTCGGTTCCGCCAATTTCGCGAGTCTGGGGATCCCATGACGGTGTCACTGGCTTATGCCGCCCTCACGAACGGTTGGTCGGTCCGTGCCGCTCAGTGCTAGAACCGTGGCTAACGAACGAGGCGGCGCAGACGTCGTCATGGAGTATGCATTTGGGCGCAGTGACAATCGCCTGTTGGCCCCCGACTTCGACCCCAGCTTCAAAGAGGCCGGTGAGGCCGGGGCCAAGCTGGGTCATTTTGTCAAACAGATGCCGTGGGTGTTGACCCTGATGAAAATACTTCCCGACTCGGTGCAGATTGCTTTGAATCCCGTTATGGCAAGCTATATCAATCTCAACAAGGTATGGATTTCCCAGAAAGCCCAGACCGTGTCGTCCCTTCCGTGTCAAATGCCCACCGAGGATGCTAATGAACAACCTAATAGGATATCATCCGCCACGTCTCCGAGATCTATTCACATCGCGGCGATGCCCAGAATAAGTACGGCTCGCAAACCACCATCTTCCATGCCATCCTACAGGGCGATTTGCCCGAGAATGAGAAGTCGCCCGATCGCCTTTGGCAGGACGGGCAGGTCGTGGTGATTGCTGGCACACTGACAACCGCCGCGGCGCTCTCGGAGATCACGTACCATCTGCTTCGACAGCCCGGCGAACTCAAGGCTCTCAAGGATGAGCTGACAGATGCCATGCTCGACCCGGTAGCGCTCCCGGACATGGCGAAGCTAGAGCAACTCCCCTACCTCACGGCCGTTATCAAAGAAGGCCTCCGTCTCAGCAGCGGCATCAGCACCCGCCTGCAGCGCATCGCCCCTGACGAGACCCTCTTCTACCGCGCCACGCTCCCGGACGGCAAGAAGAAACTCGCCGCCCGGGACAAGACATATACCCTCCGTCCGGGCATCCCCCTCTCCATGACCGGCCTGCTCATCCACCACTCACCGACGTATTTCGACGAGCCCATGGCGTTCCGGCCGCAACGATGGATCGACGACCCTACCCTCGACAGATATCTTGTCCCCTTCTCGCGCGGTACCCGCGCCTGCGTCGGCATCAACCTGGCCTACGCCGAGCTGTATCTCACCGTGGCGGCCGTATTTAGACAGTACGGGAGCCGCGAGGTCCGCTTTCCCGACGACCAGGGATTCCTGGAGCTGTACGATACGAGCTACAAGGACCTCGAGATCATCGGCGACGGAGTAACTCCGTTGTATCGGCCAGATAGTAATGGAGTCAGGATCCTAGTGCATGCAGCATGACCTTTATTCCGGACGTCGTGCGGATAGATGTCCGCCTTATTCAATTGGGGTAGCAATATCGAGAGTCCACACTAGCCAGGATCCCCATTTCTGCCGTGATCGTCTCCATAGTCACGTAGGCTATTGACTCCAAACGTGGCTACGAGACGCTACGAAGCTACCAGGTGTTCATCTTCATTCCCCAAGGCTAGCATGCTTTTCTCCCCCTTTGTCCAACCCGCCCACTGGCCAAGTAGCATGTCCTACAAACTTCTGATACCCCAATGATGCCATGTGAAAATCCACGACGGTGTTAGAATGCCGGTACATCTTTGCTCCCCACACCAACCAGGATCCTTTGATTCGTCCATCTTCTGCTTAGTGGTGCCGAGGGTCGTGGTTCCTGAGCCGATGCGGGGAAACAAACCTCTGGGATAGAACAAACATGGAGAACCTGCCACGCCTGCGCCGTGAAGAAGACAATCTTCTTGTATTTCCCCAGCAGTTGCTTTCAAGAACTATGTCTCACGATCTCGACATCTCGTCCATCTGCGCCGAGATCGCTCGGTCCTACTCGCCCTGCGACGTGTCCGACGCGCTGCTGAAACTCCACGTCCCCTCGGCGGGCTTTCTGCGCGACATCTCGCCCATCCCCGCGCGCAATGGCTCCCGCGTCCGCCTCGTGGCGCCCATCAGCACGGTGCTCTTTGTCGACAACGCCCACACGCCAGGCGCGCAGTACGACGGCCTGATCGTACCGCCCGAGTCCAACATCCCGCACGATAAACACTTCTCCGACATCGCCCCCGCCGGCTCCGTGGTCCTCATGCAGCAGCCCGCGCACCAGATCGCCGCTCTGCTGGGGGACATCGTGGCCACGCGCTACAAAGTGCGGGGCGTCCGGGGCTGCTTCATCGACGGCCGGTCGCGGGACGTCGTGGGCTGCGGCGAGCTGTGCCAGGACGGGACCTTCCAATGCTGGTCCAAGGCGCTCTCGAGCCCCGGCACGAGTCTGCAGGGGAAGCCGTGGGCGGTGGACGTGCCGATCAAGATCGGGGATGTGGTCGTCGAGGCCGGAGACGTGCTGGTGGCGGACGAGGCGGAGATGGTCTGTTGTGTGATTCCGCGGGCCAGGTTGAACGAGGTCGTGGCGCTCCTGCCCGTGCATAAAGAGGCGGACGACGGATTGTTGGAGGATGTCAAGGGTGGAATGGGATTCAAGGAGGCGATCAAACGGTGGCCCAAGCATTATAGCAATCATTGATGAGATGCCGGCCGACAGTCGGAGAGTCCTACCCAGTATCTTGCAAAGAGTGTGCGCTTCTCAGTCGACCAATCTCCATTCCACGGACTTTGATCACTATCTCTGCGTCTGGGGAGCGATCCAGAGGAGGATTCAACTCTTAAAGACAGCTTCGTTTACGCTTCCGGCTGCGTGAAGCAGACAGCCTCGGGGATGGGAGTTATAGTTGCAGCACCGGCTTGTCGTGACAACGTTCCATTCAACTTGGAAGAAAGCGGTGAGTTCGACCAGTCCGTACCATTTCTACTCCTCGAGGTCAACAGCCACTATTATCAGGAGTTGTTCCCCAGGCACAATACAGAAGCCAAGTATCACAGCTTCAGATACGTGACTACTCGGACCTTGCGCCTTCTATACCTAGATTGTACTATTGGGGATATACAACCGAGGAGCCCATTTAGCTGGCATGATAGAACAAGTCACTAACTCTCAGATAAGTTTTGTGAATCCTTCCAAGCATGAGGCGAGATGGCGGCACTCTTCACGATTGTATCAAGACACGCAGGTCCCGTTCCTTTCATTACCAACCATGCGAGCTATTGTCAGATGCCTTACTCTCTGGCGAAGTAGTCAAACTAGATTGGACTCTGGTAGATCCCGGTTTCTAAGCTTGTACTTGTTGAACATTCACAGCTTGCTTAGGACGTTTTCTGAGCAGTTTATCGGCGAAGCATTCAATTTCATCTTCATTGTCTCAGTTACCTAGGTATCCAGCTGTAAGTTCATAATCTGTCAGTCTCCCAACAACAGCCTCTTGTTACTCCCTCACACATTTCAGTTCACGCATCGTACCTCCAGCCACCGATGCCACAATGTTATGGACTCGTTAACTATTCCAGCAAGAGACTTAACGCTGGTATCGTCAAGCAAATCAAAAGCTCGTATACGTGGATTGGGCGTTTGTCGGAAACAATAGCAGCTTTCGGCAGCCCGATACCTATTCGTGGTCCTACAATTCCCAGGTTGGCCCATCAATCTGTGTTCGTGAACTATTATCATTAAACACATCAAAATCCGGCAATGAGGCCCTAAGGCTCACGCTTTTGGACTCTTCTGTCCTCCGCCGCACCAGCATCGTTGCTCGCCGTCCCTCTCCACCTGTACCACGACATCCATTTTCCGCTGCCGCAAATACATCGAGACTCGCTCCCTGACGTCTTCTAGATCTGCATTCTGCGAGGCGATGATGTGGATCACACCCAAGACCGTGGGATCGGAATTTTCGCCGTCACACTTCTTGCCGTCACTGTCTTTATGAGAGTGAGAGTGAGAATGCGAGTGGTCGTCAGATGTATGGGCATGGCCATGATGGTGATGACCGGGTTCCTTCTTGATATCTTCGAGCCAGAATTTCGGTACCGTGTAGCCTACCACGCCGCGAATCTCGGCCACACCACTGAGAATGTCTCGAAGGTTGTATTCAATGTCGGAGTTGAGTGACAAGAGGAGGGTCTTCGTCGTCGTGGTGACCAGAGGGATGGTGGACGCAAAGATAAGAACGGCAATGATACATGACGCAAGGGGATCAAACCCACTCCATCCGGTCCAGCGGACAAGAAGGGTCGATCCCACGACCGCCAGAGAGCCAAGGGCGTCGGCCATGATGTGAAGATATATGCCTTGCATGTTCTCTCCGCCATGGTGATGGTCGCTTGCTGCGCCCTGTTTGTTTTTCATGGGTGAAGCCGAAGCGGTCATGGGAGCTTCGACCATTTCGTGGTGGCTGTGATCATGTTTGCCCTCATGATCGTGATCATGGTCATGATGGGCATGACCATGGCTGTGACTCCCATGATCATGGCCATGCCCATGTCCGTGATCGTGAGCGCCATGAAATGCAAAAATGCCGACCAGGTTCACAAACAAACCGATGGTGCTGACCACTAGGAGCTCCGCAGTTCGACTGACATCGGCACCAGAAAACAATCGTTCAATCGCTTCATACACAATCTCGATGCTGATGAGCATCAAGAAAATGCCGTTACCCAACCCTGCCAGGGTGTCAATCTTCCCGTACCCGTACGGAAACTTGAGACTGGGAGGCCATTTGCTCATGACCGCAGCGCACACCCCGACCAGCAGGGCCACACAGTCGAAGAACATATGGATGCTGTCACTGATCAGGCCCAAAGAACCCGTGAGTATGCCATATGTTGACTGGACCAACATAAAGCAGAGGTTCAATATCATGAAATAAAATATCCGCCGGGACTCGTCATCTTCCAGAATCCCATGTAGTAATGAGTAGCTCTCGGTCGAGTGCAGCAAAAACTGGGTGGGTTTAGAGAAATTCCTGTTGAATGTCGGCCGCCTGGTTGCGCCCGGCGACGAGTATGCGGTCTTCTCTGTATCCCTTCTCTTTGGCAGAAACTGTGTACCTGAAGAGTCTTCGGACGGAGCAGGGCTGACATGTCGATGTTCGTGAAAATGGGTGTTCACAGGAGGTAAGCGGTTGACGTTCATGGCAGCCTCATTCTGCTCAATGATGGATTCGGAGGGAATCCGTGTCAAGGGAAAGGGCGCTGTGAGGCGGCTTCCCGTCCGACTTCGTTGATGGGAGCGTGTGTTCAAGCTCGAATTCGAATGTAGAGGAGAGTGGGAGTGCGAGTGCGAGTGGGAAGGACCATGAGGATGCCCATGCTTGCAGTTGTCGGCAGTTGCAATAGGCAGGGTGAAGGTGGCGCTCATGGTCCTTTCAGATGGTGCTGAAGGTCGAGGGGACACTTTGGTGTAAGCTCAACATCCACCTTCACTGTAGCTACCACAGGAAAGACTCGAAAGAGGTGGTGCTACAGATGTTGCTATCTTCTGAGCAGAGGGCCGTTGACGCGACTAAGCTGGCTTTGATTTCTCGATAGGCGCAGGCGGGGGGAGGAGAGAATTGGTCTGGGGAAAGAGATTACAAGGATAGCTGGGTATACATTTCTTGTCTAGTCTGCTGCCCCTGGCCAACGATGTCAGTGGGCAGCAATAGCAACAGCGGTGGCAGCAGGAGCAGCATATTTCAAGGGGTAACAAACTCACAAGGGGTGGAGAGGCGCATCCCGTCCAATGCACTTTTTGCATCTCGCATCTCGGCATGCAACTTCTCTTGCACCCATGATTGGTTGATGGGGGCGCAGGCAGTCGGTGCGCATCTCCTCTTCCATGCCCCTTTTTTCTGGCCTCTTCACGCCTCCTCAAGCCTCTTCCCACAGTGCCACCCTTCGAGTCTAAACCACTTCCATCAATCTGACCACCCTGGACAATCTGACTGGTCGACGTCATTCACTTTTCACTTTCGGTGCTTCTGAGCAAGACGAAAGCAGCGAAAGAAGCAGCGAAACCTCCCAGGAGGATGCTACTGACGGTCTTGGTGGCCATCTCCACCCTTGTCACCATCCTGCTACTGCTGTTGCCTTCTCCGAGGCATGCTGCTGATCAACAATGTTCGGTCCAAGTCGTGGTGCTGGGCGACCTGGGCCGCAGTCCGCGGATGCAATATCATGCTTTGAGCATCGCGACCCATGGTGGCAGAGTCCAGCTTGTTGGGTACAGAGGTGAGGAATATAGCTGCTCGGGATAGCCAGTTCTTGTACCGCTCTAATTCTGTGTCTCCCAGAAACTGATCCATTGCCCGACCTGGTCGCCCATCCCGGTGTCACGATCGTTCCGTTGACACCGGCTCCACGATGGCTCCAAACCCGCAACAAGCTATTGTTTCTTTTATTTGGACCGCTGAAAGCCCTTCTGCAGACATGGACGCTTTGGAACACTCTGGGCTACGCTACTGCTCCCTGTCAATGGATGCTTGTCCAGGTATATCTTTCCTGCTTCATTGTTCCTGGCTTATGCTAATGAATTCTCTGCAGAACCCGCCCTCAATACCTACCTTATTGGTTGTTACTATTGTCTGTTTCTTTCGTCGAACCCGGCTCATCGTGGACTGGCATAATTTTGGGTATTCCATTCTGGCTCTGAAGCTCGGCGCAAGCCACCCTCTGGTCCGGATATCCAAGCTGTATGAACTCAGTCTGGCAAGGGCAGCGACTGCAAATTTTACTGTCACAGATGCCATGGCTCGGGTTCTGAAGTCGGATTACAAGATCACTGCTCCCATTTTGACACTGCATGACCGGCCAGCAGACTTGTACCAGCCTCTTACAGCTTCAAAGCGAGTCGCCTTCTTGCAGCGTTATCCCCTCATTCGAGAGCAATTCAATGCTATTGTAGAGGCAAAGGTCAGGTTGCTCGTGTCTTCAACCTCTTGGACGGCTGACGAAGATTTCGGCCTGCTCCTGGATGCCCTTTGTAGCTACTCTGCCAGCGCCACCTCTTCTCATCCCCAGCTTCCAGAACTTGTCGTTGTGATCACAGGTAAAGGTCCTCAAAAGCAATATTATCTCGACAAGATTCTAGAGCTGCGGTCAGCACAAGCTCTGGAAATGGTGCGCATTTATACCGATTGGCTTAGCTTCGAGGACTACGCTCTTCTCTTGGGCTCTGCAGATCTCGGTGTGTCCCTACATACCAGCAGCAGCGGGGTTGACCTGCCCATGAAGGTAGTTGATATGTTTGGTGCTGGTCTTCCTGTGGCAGGCTGGAGCAGATTTGCGGCATGGGTGGAGCTAGTGACGGAAAACGTCAATGGCAAAGGCTTCGGCAGCTCAGAAGAATTGGCCGACATTCTTCGTGCGTTGTTTGATCCCGGGTCACAACAACTCACACGGTTAAAGCAAGGAGCTATAAAGGAGAGTCAACGTCGATGGGGCTCCGAGTGGGATCCTGTGGCTGGCAAGCTTTTTGGTCTTGCAGACTGATCCCATCATCCTCCGAGATTGAAACATGATGAGTCTTATTGAGATGCAATCCTTGGATACCAACCGCCTCGGCCCCTTTTGTCGTTGATGCAACTATACCCCGAGCCGCTGAATGAGAGACACAGTTGCTGTCTCGATCTACAACGAACGACGTATGGAAAGCCAAGGGCATCCAGCGAACGCCTTGAGAGCGGACGCAAAATGCAAATGCCACAGCTTTGAATCTCTTTAGAGATCTTGTTCTGGATTGGCCCATCAGTCTATATTTGATGGTTCGGACGGCGACGGAGATCAGCACGGCAGTACGTTTTCATTTTCACACAATCCTATCACATACAGAAATCATCCGAGATACCCGAGCGACAATAAAGCCAAGACACCAAGGCGAATGCTGCAACTGGCATGACGAGTGGATGCACGCATTTATGCCCATCCTGATCATTAAACTCAGGGTATTATGTCGTTTGGTCCCGTGGAAGTTGTCAGCCATGTCTATTCCGCTCCCGCTCTGCATTGCCAAGGGGAACGGAGGAGTCCACCATGATCACTTCCGATAAGAGTCGTCGTCAGCCCCCTGCTAAGGACCAGGCCATTCCGGACTTTTGGTGGTTCGATTACATTTTTTAACGCGGAAAATCATTCATTGCGTGAGGCCATTGCTTCCTCGAAGAGTAGGCTAGCTTACTTCGATCCCGTCTGCTCAGAAAATCTGACGCCACAGAGTCTGGTCCTACATCATGGGAGATCTTACGGCGGTAAGTTTCTGGAGAAACGATTTGGCGCGAGTGCCAGACATACTTCTATATCTTGGCCGTCACCCTATGTGCCCCCCGCATTGCGGGTTATTGTCGTTACTTCTCATCTCCTCGCTCAGCATCGCTATTGAGGAACAAGAACTAAGCTGATGGCGTCAATCCTCCAGCACGCGCGACGAGTGGCATTCGACAGCCACAAGGGTGATCATATCTCAAGCCATGCCGTCAGAAAGCTATCACGATCGGCGCCATTGTCCCTATTCATTGACGCATTGGAAGCAGATGGGTGTGTGATCGTCAAGGACTTTACCGACAAAGCCACGCTTGAGAAGGCGGACTGGGAGGTACGGCCGTGGCTTGACCAACAGGCAAACGGGGTGAAAGTAGGAGGCAAGTTCTCCTCAACCATACAAAACTACCACTCTTCTCTATCTAACTAGCTTCCAGCACTTCAAGGCAAAACAAGGACGGTAACCAGACTCATTGGGAAAAGCGAAACGGTACGGGAGAAGTTCTTTGCCGACCCGCTGTATCAAGCTTTGTGCGAACATTTTCTGGCACTTGAGACGACCCATTATTACGGCAACAAACCCGTTACGACAACCAGTCACCCGCTTCTCTCAATCTCAATTGCATTTGATATCCCTCCGGGAACTTCTGCGCAGGGTCTTCACCGCGACGACAAGAACCACCATGCTCGCCATAGCCATGCCGACAAGTACGCAAAGGGTCGCGACATGCTATTAGGACTGTTTGTCCCAGCATGTGACACAATCAAGGCCAACGGTGCCACAAGAGTCGTCCCTGGCAGCCATCTATGGGGCGATGAGATGCCTGACTTTGGTGCCGACGGAACCCGTGGAGTTGTCGACGCAGAGATGCGCATGGGCGAGGCGTTCATCATGCTGGGCAGTCTTTATCACGGAGGTGGATCGTATGAAAAGCCGCTGGGGACAACAAAAGACGGTGCTAGAGAAAGCAGGACGGTTTATGCCATGTTCTCATGCACTGGCGTGCATCGGCAGGAAGAGATATCATTTCTGTCATATTCGATCGACGAGGTCAAAACCTACTCAAAGATTGTGCAGGAACGTCTGGGATGGAAGCAGAGCGAGCCAAACTTAGGCTGGGTCGACCTGAAGAGCCCAGAGTTCCTGTTGGCGCAATGAACGACGCAACTGTGCCTCTTCATCAATCATCAAAACTCGGAGCAAGCACGGTACAGCTGAACCTGACGTCCCCGCTACCTGCCGCCTCCTCACGTTTGAGGAATGGAAGGGGCCCCAAACCGAGCGCTTTGTCACTCAATACATCCTCATCTTTCTCGAGCATACCACGATCGACCGGCCCTTTTCTTCTTCCTTCCAACTCCCACAAATGTCCGTCCTTGCCCTTGACAAATGCGATGAAAGCATGGCCGGGATCTTCACCCAGTGGGGGTGCTGTGCTGTCACCGGACTGGGCGGCTGCGGCGTGAGCAATTTCCAGCATTTCTGAGTCGTGAAGGAACTGAGCTCGCTCAGCGGGTTTAAGTGGAGTTGTATCTTTGACCAATTTCTCGAGGTCACTCCCTTCTTGGATGAAGTCGGCTGCCGTCCCATTGGTGGTGCAATGGAGGAGGCCGATGAGGCCACAGGCATGGTGAATTGTTTGGTGGTAGAACATGACGGGCTCTCCGGGGCCTGAGCCATCGTAGTCTGCTTCGGCCTCATTGGTTTTGCCATAGTGGGCTTCAGCGGTTGTTGTAACTGGGTAGGTGAACAGGAGAGCGCTGGCCGGTCGAGGTAAGAAGGCCACCAAGTCGGGGTCAGTCAAGCTGTATGCATCGTGGAAAGAGAGTGCTGGAGACAGCCCCAGTCGATGGGCCAATTTGGTCATGACTCTGGGGTTGTTCTCTGTGAATATAAGACAACGTGGATCAGCATGTTGCTCACACAATCTTGGGCTCGGGATTGAGTTCACCAAGCGGAATGAAGGTCTTCTGAGCAGACATCTTGGGGTTGTAGACGCAATTAGTACTCTTCTGTTCGTTCGTCTAATGAATCCGGCTGTCTTGAAGCAAATGTGAAGTTCGTGACTCGAAGGTGAAGTTCTGGAGAAAGCCAGCATTCAAAGCGAAAGGCAGCCTTGCGTGACGTACTCAGTGGGATGGACCCCAAGGCTGAATTTGGAGTCCCTCCTCGACGCGGAGAAATTGGCCCTGCGGTACCTTTATCGCGTCACACCATGTCCGATATTCACGCTCCCCATTGCGTGACTACGTCGTCGACTGATATATCACCCTTGTGAATTGACGACAAGCCAAGTTTGCGCTCGAGCATGCGGTTCAAACAATAACACTTTCCCCTTAATATTGGTCCTATGCGAGCCATCCTGCCTGGGCGACCTCAATCCAAGCGACAGGCCCTTTGCACCGCGCAGTGGTGTGGCCTGCGTCTGGTCGTGAGTTGTCTTGTTTTCTGCTACTGTCAGCTACAATCTTGACAAGGTGTTTAGGCATATATCTCCGGCAATGCCGCCGTCATCCTCAGCGGCCCTCGATCGATCCTCCAGACCATCTACGTCGACACCGTCGATTCCCTCACTGCGATAACCATCGAAGAGACTACTGGTCGGATAGCACTGTGCGATGCAAACCATGTCTATATCTACAGACCTGTCGGTCGCGATGAGGGTGTGCTGAGATGGACTCAGGTCCACGAGTTGAAGAATCCTGCTGAACTGCGGGTGGAATCTTTGTCCTGGGGATCTTCTCAGGAACTCTTGCTTGGTGGTTCGAGGCTTGTCCTGTGGTTTATACCTGAATCTGGTTCCCCTGTCATCGCTTGGAACCAGCCGCTGGCGTATCCCACAGCACTCGCATACCTTTCTCCCGACAGTAGCTTGGTCGCCTCAGTGGGCCAGTATGACCGACTCGTGAAGATATGGAGACGGCTTTCGTATGAAGTTGAGGGCACCAGATTCGATGTTTCCTATCTACCACATCCGGCTGCGGTCACAAATTTGCACTGGCGGAAACCATGGCACGAGGAACAGAACCTGGACAACCTTCTCTACACGTTTTGCTCCGACAATCACATCCGCGCCTGGACCACCTTCGATCCCCACGCCCTGACCGTTCTACAACTGGTCGGCGAGATCAACATGAACGCCTCGATCCAGCCACGGAGGCTGAGTGCCAATTCCATCAGTACCAGACGATATGCCTTCATCATTGACAGCCGTGACTTTTCGACGGCCACAGAAAAGGCGGTCCAGAGCTCTACTACCAAAACAGCGGACCATGCCCTTGAGCATCTCATCGAGATTGCCAATCGAAGCCCAGAGATCTGCGTCGTCCTGGACAGTCTGGGCCACATGTCTGTGTGGGGATTAGAGAATGCCGGGTACAAGAACAGAATGCCTCCTTCGGTGTTTCACATTTCACATGTCGACGGCATGAATATCCATGTTCCACAACTCAGCGACCCGTTGGAAGATTATGTACAATTCTGTATCTTCGCTGGTGGCGCAACTCCGTCATCGTTGTCAATCCTCCTCCACTCTTTTGCGGGTGACATTGATTGGTATGACAGCCAAATCACGCATCTCTTTGATACAGCCGCGAGGCGAGATAGGGCCGAACTGATTTCAACACTGGCGGGACACGGTACGCCAGTTCGACGAATCGTCCGAAATGTAGTTGGCAACGTCGTCTTGTCCAGTACAGACGACGGCAACACCAGCATCTGGCAGCACGAAGGAACTCTATCCAGGGCTCCTCTCTTGCGAAGGAGTTCGTTCAACGTCAACATTGAGATCAAAGACGCGGTGATCTTGTCTCGCGGGCGATATGCGGCAATTCTGAGTAGCCATGGTCTCGAACTATGGGATATTCGCGAAGCAAAAGCCAAAAGGCTTGGTGTCTGGACTCCCGAGGGGAATCGTTTCCCAGAGCGCATTACGCAAAGTCGAATCGCCAGCGAACGAGAACTGACCAGTCGGGTTATCGTGGGGTATTACGCGGACGGGACTGTTGAAGCCTGGGAACTGCTCCTTCCAGCAAAAGAACCCGGTGCAACAAACGGTTATCGCGAGATGATACGATCATTAGGGGATGTCCGGCTGCACGCGCACAATCGGTACAACGCCTTGATTTCTGTTTGTGACAACATGAGCACCAACAACCGACCGGCTGATCCACGTGAGATCAACGCTCTAGGCTTTGCTGCAGCACTTGCCAAGGAAGGCACCTTGGAGATGGTCAGGTCTCAGGAAGAACCAGATTCTACAAAGCCACACCTCATATCTGGCGCTTTGATCGAGACCAACATTCGTCAGCCGCGAGCGATCAGTGCAAGCGGGTATGGTAAGATCGTTGTTGTCAATGATGACAGCACCATGCTCAGCATATGGGACGGCAAGACCGGCTCGTGGGAGTACGACCATGAGCTCGATGGGACTGACACCGTGCATACATTTGCGTGGGCCGTCTCACCACAAGGTTTGGCCTTGGTTGCAGTCTGCTTTGACTACCACATCGTCATTCTAGGCCAGGTCCGATACGCCTACCCAGGTCGTGAATCGGCATGGGTAGATTTGCGGCACATCAGAATAAGGGACTATACCACCCACTCAATTGGAGACCTATGCTGGCTGAGAAGCGGCGATCTCGTCGTGGGAGCCGGCATTCAGCTTTTCGTCTTCAAGGGATACGCGAGTAGCCACCACAATGAGTCTGCCAAGCCACTTCGAGATGTGCGAGCAAAGATGCGAAATAAAGAAACTTTCGCCCTGATGGCAATGCTGAACGCCTTGGTTCCCGTTTTCCATCCGACATTTCTCGCCCTACTTACATGCATCGGAGCGGTGAAGGCCGCCAAGAACGTGTTCAATCACCTTCATCGGGATCTGAAGTACTTCAGTGAAGGGGATGAGTTGTCCAGCCTCCTCAACATCCGGCCTGACAGAATCACAAGTGCCGCGAACAAGAGCCAGCCGGTTGACAAGCCATTCTATACCATGAACGGTGATCTGAATGGGGACACCGAGAACCCCCGGCTTTCAGATTACGCAGAAAGTCTTGATGGTAACTTGCGACGGTATAGACTGTGGCAGCTGACGAACGATGAACAAACTAAACTAGTGGAACAGGTGGAAGTGGTCTCAGAGATAGAGAAGCACGAGGAGTCAGTCGATGCCAACGGTCAGCGCTATCTTCAGGCACTTTACACATGCGGCGAGAAAGGTGTTCCATGGAGTGCAATTGCATTCGCCTCGCTGAGCACCTCCCAGGAAGTTCTTGTTGACCTGGTTACTCGCTGGTATGGTGGTAAACTCACCTGGGAAGCAGCGCACAAGTCGGGACTATTTTGCTGGCTCTCTGATGTGGAAGCCCTTCGGCAGCAGATGGAGAATGTTGGTCGAACCGAGTTTACAAGGAACGAAGACCGCAACCCAGTGGATTGTTCCCTATATTATCTTTCCCTTCGAAAAAAGTCCGTCCTCTTGGGGCTCTGGAGAACGTCGATCGGGGTTAGAGAAAAAGAAAACACCATGAAGCTGTTGGCTAACAACTTCGACGACCCGAGATGGAAAGCCAGCGCGCTGAAGAACGCATATGCCTTGCTTAGCAAGCGACGTTTTCACTACGCGGCTGCCTTCTTCTTGCTTGCGGACAGTCCCTGGGACGCGATCAATGTCTGCATACATCAGCTACAAGATTTGCAGCTCGCCATTGCCATTGCAAGGGTATACGAGAGTGAAAGCAGCAAACAATCCTCTACTTTAACTCGGTTATTGGAACAGACCATTCTCCCCTTGGCCGTTGACAGCGAGCAAGGACGGTGGATGGCGAGTTGGGCGTATGCGGCAATCCTTGATCACAAGGACGTGGCCATCCAGGTCCTCGTACATCCTGTGCACAAAATCGTGGGCAAGCCCCTACTCGACGGATACGAGGAGACAGGAATGGTTGGATCACTCAGCTACGCCGCCAACGACCCTCTTCTGGCCCTACTGTACACCCAACTTCGGGCCCAGCTGGCGAAGCGAAATGAATGGCGCAGCGAGGTCCTCAGCGCAAGAGATGAATGGAGTTTCGTCATGCGCTGCGTGAGGCAGTATCTCCATATGGGGTGCGACGTTCTAGCACTGTCCCTCGTCAGAGACTGGGAGTTTATCGCTGAAAGCCCAGCCAAGCAAACCGTCAAAGCGACCGTGGACGAAGTTCCCCTACCACCCAGCCCGGGCCTCCAGCGCCGAAAGACATTCTACGATCTCGAGAAGGAAGAAGACGAGGAGAATATCCCGCAGGCAGAGAAGAAGAAGGAGCAGCAGAAGAAAAAGCCGATGCCGACCATGTTCGAGGAGCCGAGCGCGGACAGTCTACTCGATAGTTTTGGATTCTGATGATGTTGGTTCCGAAGAGGTGATGGGAATCAATGGCTGTTTTATCATTTAGACCTTTGTCGTCGGCAGTTTCTTGTCGTTTGTGATTGTGGCGTTTGGTGTCATCTATGTATGCCCACGGAGAGAACTCTGGATCTTGCTCAAGGGAAAGACAAGAGGAGCACGCCGACTAACAGTCGTCAAAGATCGCGTGGCTTTCAATGAGCCGGACAAGCGAGCCTTCCCGACATATAGACTGTCCGTATGTGATCTCTATCAAGCCGAATAGCCGAGATATATTTTCTTCTCGGTCGTTAGTGTTCCCACCAAAAGCCACTTGGACATTATGCATCTCGACATACATAGTAGACGTCTCTTCAACCCCATGGGGATCATTGCCCCGGTTTTCTACTCTCTGTGCATTACCAGGTGCTTTGACCGTGACCATGGATTTCCCAAAACAAATCGAAGTTGGGCAGGTCGAAGACGTGGCCGATCTGGAGTCTTCCACCGAGAAACACTCAGATCTGATCAACCCCGTCGTCGACGTTCAGCATGAGGACGAGAAGATCTCCTGGCGACTTGCCCTTGCGTTCATCGTAAGCTTGACTTCATCTGCGAACATGCGAGGAAAGGCCTAACGTCCGAGCAGGCCTTGGTATTTCAGGTGATCTGCTATGAGACGACACTTCTCATTCCCTCGACCATTTTGAGCTACATTGAAGCGGACCTCGGGCCTGACCCTTCGTATACCTGGATTGCGAATTCGTGGTCCCTTTGCGCGGCCATCATTGTCAGTATTGCTGGCCGCCTGGGCGACATCTTTGGCCGGCGATACTTCATGCTATGCGGTAGCACCCTGGCCTTTATTGGAACAATCAGTATGTACCACGATGGGTAGATTGCCCTGCGTGTCTCTTCTACGACACTTCTGCTGACCATTTTCTTTGTCGGCCCCCCAGTTGGTGCCACGGGAAAGAGTATTCCCCAAATGATTGTCAGCGGCATCTTCTTCGGCATCGCGGCGGGAATCCAGGAAACTTACTATGCATGCCTGATGGAACTGGTGCCCTACAAGAAAAGGACCTTCTTTATTGGTAAATTTGCAATGGCTATGAGTGTGACTCCCACAGCCAGCTGACATATGTGTGCTAGGTCTGGGATGCGTCTGCGGTCTGCCAGCTTTGGTGTCTCCCCTGATCGCTTACGGTATCATGGATCACTCTGCTCTGGGCTGGAAAGCCTGCTACTGGTACATGTGCGCTGTCGCTGCCGTTGCCTTCTTGCTCCTCTTCTTCTTCTACCAGCCTCCGAACTTCGAGAACAAGTATCACGGCACAAAACACCGGCTGGAGCTTGCCAAGGAGATCGACTACGTTGGGCTGCTTCTCTTCACGTCTGCCGGGATTCTCTTCCTCGTTGGACTCAACTTCGGCGGTCGTCGTTATCCCTGGAAGTCGCCACAGACGTTGGCTCCACTGGTACTAGGGCTCGTCCTCTGGGTAGCGTTCGGCGCGTGGGAGAACTGGACGAATTCGAAGCTCCCTCTGATGCCCCCTCGATTGTTTCGCAATGTTCGCTCGTAAGCATGATGCACGGAAAAGCAGATGTACTGATACTCACCGTACTACCAGGTTCGTGGTGGTTCTCGTAGTATCCTTTGTGAGCGGGATGTTCTACTACAGCCTGCCGGTGCTCTGGCCTCAGGAGACTGCACTTCTTTTCGTTCCTGCCAATGCCACCATACTGCGCGGCGTCTACGCAACAATCACGAATCTGGGGACTTGGGGTAAGCCATCCAACACGAATCGTGATTTTTTTTGGGAGACTGATCTTCGCCTTACCAGTTGCTGGCATCTCCATCGTCCTGATATTCTCGCGCCTGAACCATGAGCGATGGCAAATTGTCTTTTGCCTCGTCATTCAAATCGCCCTAACCGGCTCTCTTGCGTCGCTGGGCGTCAACGACAACGCACAAGCGGTTGCCACCGTCTTCATCCTCTCGTGCTTCGTTAACCAGCCCTTGTTCCTTTCCTTCCCCATTATTTCGCTAGCTCTAGAGGATCAGGCTGATATGTAAGTAAAGGCTTTCCGTCTTATCCGGCTATTGCGTCACACACGACTGATCTATCTTGCTTCAGTGGTGTCGCATCAGGAGTGCTATCCACCATTCGCCTCATGGGAGGGGCGATCGGGGTGGCCATCTACAGCACGATCCTTTCAAACGCCTATTCCGGTCGGCTGGTTCGAAACATCAATGAAGTCGTGGCCGCCACAGGATTTCCGAAGTCGGAGACTGCGTTACTAGTCACAGCTGCCGTTGCGAACACTGCCAAAGCCTACAAGACGGTACCTCACATCACCAACGAGGTTATAAGCCTGTGTGAACTTGCGGTCAAGAAGGGCTACGTGTATGCCACTGGTGTGGTATGGCTGACTGCCGTTGGATTTGGCGGGCTGGCGGTTATATGTGCCTGTTTCATCAGGAGCACGCCGCAGTCTCAGAAGACAGGGGCAAGGGCTGTAAAGCTGTTGAACGAGCAGTCGACCGTGAACGACACAGGTGAATGAACAGCAGCATATGTACGAGCAGTTGTAGCACTGTCAGGACATGAGGGCGCGACCCTCTTCATGCAAGGCATCGTTTGGACGTCGTTGAGAGGGCCGGTCGCGTAGGTTTCTTCGCCGTCCGAAGAAAAGCAATTTGGCTAGATATTTATGAAATACCGCTTCGTGATCGAAACACAGCCCATCCAGGAAGACATCATAGGCCAATCCCGGCCGCTCTCCCCCTTTTCAATCGCTCACCCAAATGCATTCGAAGATATCTCTCAAGAGACTAAGGATCGGATCACCATATTCGATGGCAAAATGGATTTTTCAGTACTGCCGAAGCCGCCTCCATATCGTCCGGCATGCTGCTGGTGAGAACCCGACGAGGCAACAAGGCTGTGACCGAGGTAGCGCTCGGTTTTACAACAACGAAGTGATGGTCCACGACGGGGGCCATGAATCAATCCGTGACGAGTCCACGAAACCCTTTTGCCGAGTTGGCCGGGATGGAGGGCAACGTGCCGGCTGCGACAGCCCTCGTCTGCAACCAGAGCGATTGCCGTGTCCCAAGTATGGTACATACAGTATAAGTAGTTGGTTGGAAGGCCCTCACACTATCCCTGTTGCAGCAGATCCAGGAACCAACTAATTACCTCCTTCGTTACTTATTTCTCCGTCCAACACTTCGCCGCCTCGACAATGTCCCCAGGAAGACTACAAGGTCTTCAGATCCCGGAGTCCACCGTGGCTATTACCACGAAAATCATCGACCTGACGACCATCTCCGGCTCCTCGGCCAACAACCTGTACCACCCGCCGATTCCTGGCGTCGAGCGCGTCAGACCCGTGCCCTCGCTGTCGTTCCTCCTCGAACACCCTTCTGGTCAAAGGCTGTTGTTCGATCTCGGCGTCCCGAAAGATCTCACCGTGCTCGGACCAGAGGTTGCCGATCGGCTGAAGAAGGTTGGTCATCGTATCGAAGTGGAGAAAGACGTGGCGGAAGTGCTCGAGGAGAACAACATTAGGCGAGACGAGGTTAACGCGGTGATTTGGAGGTGCGTTTAGGGAGGTGCACGCCGCCATGTCTCCAAACACGAGGCTGATGGTCAGGTCGCAGTCACACTCATTGGGATCACAAGGGCGATGTGGCTCTGTTTCCCCCAACGACCACACTAGTCCTCGGCCCTGGCGCACAGGAAACCTTTTTGGGCCCTGGCGGAGGCAACTCGGGAGTCGGGGGCATCAATGAGAGGGACGTCAAGTAAGCGGTTTCGTTTTCTATCCATCGCAGGGAGCGACTTCGGCTAAAACGGACGGCATGTAGAGGCAGAAAGATCCACGAGCTCAACTTTCAAGGCCCCGGGTCTTTGGAGATCGGCAGCTTTCGCGCCTTTGACTATTTCCTCGACGGCTCGCTCTACCTCCTCGACACGCCGGGACACAGCGTCGGCCACCTGTGTGCTCTGGTTAGAACGACCGCAGACCCCGCCACGTTCCTCTTCTTGGGCGGCGACTGTGCGCACCACTGCGCCGAATTCAGACCCTCAGCACCGCTTCCCCTGCCGGCCTCGATCCTGCCCAACCCTCTGCCGTCAATGGACCGGGCGGTGCCTTTCTGCCCCGGATCGTGTTTCGAGGACCTGAACGCCTCCCGAGGCCGACCCCCCAAGGGACCGCTGTGGCAACCAAAATGGGGGGCTGACCTGGAGGAAGCCATCCGTACCATCGGCAGGATGCAGGAGTTCGACGGCGACGACAACGTGCTGGTACTGCTCGCGCACGATTCCTGCGTGAGGCATGTAGAAATGCCTTTCTTCCCCGAGGCGGTGAATGACTGGAAGGCGCGCGGGCTGGGGAGGGATCTCAAATGGGAATGGATAGCTGATATAGAGAAGGGCCTCCCTGCGAGGAAGTAGTTGGTCCTTTTACAATATGCATAGACAAAGTCCCTACCGTTCGTGGAGAGATGACATGCGAGATGATCATTTCCCCCTCGGTGGGAATTAGACGATACAACGAAGCCCACAATACTATCCTGCGCACTTCCCCAACGGAGAACGATCATCTCATTGTCCTGGTGCGCGAGATGCTATTTGCGTTGTTGGTCCTCGTTAAACAGCATTCTCCTCACCCTTGGAGAATGGGCCTTGTCAGGATTAATGGGGTTGTTATACCATAATGCCGATGCCTCGGCTCCTCATCCTTGGACCGAGATAATAAAGGAGTCGTGAGACAACTTGCAGTCAGTGATGGCATTGAGAATCAATCCTTATCTCTGCGAACGCTAGCGGGCTTCTGGGTGTGTGCCGACCAAGCGGTCTGTCCGAAGAGCCTCGACACATGAACGACGTCCGCGCGGCCGACGGCGTCCCATCTCCCGGTGGACGCGGTCGACGACGAGCCAAAATCGCCTGCCGCAACTGCAACTCGAGGAAGGTTCGTTGCAATGTTGCTGCTGTTGGACGGCCATGTGCGAACTGCTCGCTAGACCGTGTCGAGTGTCAGGTGGTCCCTCGCAAGAAAAGAGGGTAAGCGGTATTCACCTTGTCTGGGAGACTGATGCGAATTCATGGATATAGTGCCAACAATGCCGGAGACAACTCTGACTTGGCACCCGCGAGGTCTGAGATGCTCCCTCACCTGCACCCGACCGGTGCCGATGGATCTACTCCACAGCGCGAAGACGAGTGTGAGGTCCTGAATCGCGCTTCCAAAGGGAGCGCATTTCTTGCGCCTTCACAGGGCAGCCCGTGGCCAATAAACCGTGCAGCCCTGTCATATACAGGTAGAGAAGATCCCCCAACCCGGGAAATACCTCCTAACTTCGAACAGGCGACGACGGCGAAACAGCTGGATCGTTGGGGGAGCTGCTCAAGCCTGTGGATTCGGCGCAGACGTTCATCTTCGAAACGTACTTGGTTCCAGGCTATGCTGCGAAGAAGACGCCGCCGGAGGAACTTGAGTTCCTGCGAGTCAAAGGCGCCTTCTCTATCCCCCCTAAAGATGTCTGTGACAAAGCAGTGATCGCTTTCTTTCGCAATGCGCACCCTCTCCTTCCTGTTCTCGACGCAAAGTCCTTTTTGGACCAGTACTCCCGGCGTGGCTGCGAAGGCGTCAGTCTCATCCTGTTATGGAGCATTCTCCACGTCGCCGCCAGTGTGAGACCTGATCTCACCTGCTTTCATCCTTCGCCGTCTAACACTGCAAAAAATAGTTCCTGCCCATGGAAACGGTAAGAAAGTCCGGGTTTCAGACGAAAAAGGCCATGAAGCTCGCAATGTACCAGCATGTCAAGGTTCGTACGCTCGAGTGGATGCGCAGGGTGACATGAAATCAGTCTAACCGCCACTCCAAAGCTGCTTTACGACAACAACCAGGAGACCGACCACTTCGCATTGGTGCAGGCCGTTATCATTCTGGGATACTGGCACCCAGACAGCCAGGACCGGTTTGAGGCCTGGCACTGGACGGGAATCGCGATCTCAATGGCTCAGAGCATGGGATTACATCGCTCCGCCTTCGGTGAGAGGCCGCGAGGTCCCCTACCGGCCGACAAGATACGTTTGGCCCGGCGAATCTGGTGGTCTTGCGTGGTCCGAGACCGATGGCTTGCCTTCATCAAAGGGCGGCCGATGAGGATTGATTTGGAGGACTGCGACACGCCCTTGCCAAGTCCCTCCGACGTCGCTGAAGACCTGGATGCGGTTCCTCGCCTTGTAAAGGAGAAGTGCATCGTTTATTCGTCGAACGTCGTTGGCGAGCTATGGAGCAGCTTCGCGAGGTTAAGCATCTTGTTGGGCAGAATTTTGAGGCTACATTCGAAGAATCTGGGACGAGTTGACGCCGCAGAACTCGAGAAATACGAGGCTGAACTGCAAGAATATGCAGCCCTGGCCACGATTGGGCAGTCATCGAATCCGTATGAGCAGCTCTTCGCTTGCCAGGTTCGACTTCATCACGAGTCATTTCTCCCCATTCCCTTCCCTCCCACGACAGCCTTTGCTGACGTATACATAGAGCCATCACAATCATGCTGTTCCGCCCGTTTGTCCTGTCTCGCCCCAAGGATCCCGTGGATGCGGTGCAGTCGTCGCACAGGACCAAAGCAGCCCAGAAAACGCGAGCTGCTGCAAACAACATGAACGCCATTCTGGAGCAAATCATGAACTTGGACCTGGTCGATGCTATAAGTCCCGCAATGTGGGTATCTAGTCTGTCCAACCACTCCAAAGCTGAGCCGTCATCTAGCATCAGCCCCTTGGTCCTGGCCATGCAGATCCATCTGCTGGACTGTACGTCCAGTACTCGTTCGATCTCGCGCCTTGGGCACCACAGGTTGCAGCTGTGTATGATCTTCCAGGCGGAGCTGAAAGACACCTACTGGGGTGCCGACGGAGCCTTCCAGATGTTCGAACGCGCGCAAGAGAAGCTGCTGAAGACGGCCGATCGAGCGGGCAAACAGAATCCCTCCACCGCCTTGCCGAATCCCGAGTCGGCGCAACCGCCTACGACTTTGACACCGACGTCCAACGACCTCAGTCAGAGCGAGATGATGCCCTCGGTCGATGACATCCTGGCTTTCGACTTCGCCTTTACCGGGTCGCAAGACTGTTTCATGAATGGCATTGACTATCAGTGAGTTTCTCGGCCCGAAGCCCTCTCGTGGCTTGGACGTCCACGGATCAGAGCTAACCAAGCCATCCCGAACCCGACAGAAACGACGGGTCTGACCTGCTGAATTCTTTTTTGGGCCTGGAAGAATTCAACGAATTTGTCGAGACCAGTCAGGCGGCGTCTACTGCGTGAGACGGTCGTGTCTGCACCCGCCTATTCGAAACAACAACAACAAAAACAAATCTGTATGAGAGAATAATCTGGACTTGAATGAGGGGATCTCTCGTCGTGCCGTTTTGTGAGGATGGATATCACGGTCGGCCGCTGATCTACAAAGTGTACAAGCAAAATTCCCCGGTGGAAAAAAAAAACGGCGTTCTCATGCTGAAATAGCTGTGCCTAGTAACAGGATATGCTAATGCTTATAAGAAAATGGCGCTCGAACTGCTGACTAACAGCCTCTTGTGAGCCACATGGTTCAACTTCATCTGGACTGGGTCGGAGAACTCTCGCGTCGTTCAGTCTACTGGCTCCCTTCGACAACCCTCCGCGAAGGGGTGTTGCCTATAATGAATACTGCCGAGGTCAAATAGAGCAGGATCGAGCCGAGCCCGAATTGCCGGCCACTCTGATTGGTTTGAAGTCAACGACCTCCATGCCGCGATGTTTGGTGTGCTCATTGCTCAACGCGGACGCCGTGCAGGGTCAGGCTGCGCAGATGGCGAACTTCCAAGCACATTCCGACGAAACCCGCCCCGGAGACCGCGTCGAGGCTGACTCCCAAGCAACGAACGTCTGATGCCACCTACAGCTTGACCGTGGACTGTGGCGGAGTAGCGTTGTCCGAGCAGCGAGCGATATGGTAAGGCTGGCCCGACAGCGCTTGATTTTCTGCAACTTACGTACCGCTCACTGATTCGGGCCAGCGCTGCTATATAGTAAATAGAGAGAGAAGCCTCTGCTTCTGCTGTTAACTGGATGCGCTCCTTCATCCGTGTATCTCCTGCTGCCCATGACCACGACCTTGAGAGCCGAGCTGTCGGAGCTGTTCCACCAGTATCACGGGGACCTCCAGCGACCCCCGCTCCGTCGCGGCCTTGCGGCGTTCGTAGCTGCCGTCGAACGGCATGCGCACGCGCCCTTCGCCCCCGGGCAGCGTCTGGGCGGAGCGGAGAAACTCGCCGTACTCTTCGGCCTCCCTCTTCACCTCGTCGAGCGGCCGCAGCACGGCCGGGTCGAACATCAAGGCCAGGAAGCCGAAGCCGCTCAGGGTCGCCGGCACCGCGCTGCTGCCGGCCGCCATGCCCAAGAGCTGGACCATGACCGCGAGGCCGCTCCCCTTATGGCCACCCCACACCGTCATCGCGCCCTCGAGAGCGGCGGCCGGGTCGGTCGCTGATAATACCGCCATCGCCATGGACGATCGATTAGCCTGGTTTCTCGGAACGTCTCAAATCGGCCGTCAAACGGGCCATACGTACTCGGCCGGCCATCCTTGCCGTACGCGGCGCCCTCCGGCAACGCGATCCCCAGTCTCTGCGCCCGCACGATCTGCGCGTGCATGACGTTGCTCGTCCCGACGTCCCAGATGACGGGCCGGTCGACGCGGGCGGTCGGGAACCCGATGCAGACGGGGTTCGTGCCGAAGCGGGCCTCGACGGCGCCCTGGGGGGCGACCAGCGGCGACGTGTTCGACGCCAGCACGCACACCAGGTCCTGCCGCGTCGCCATCTCGGCGTAGTGCGCCAGGTTGCCGCTGTACCAGAAGTTGTGCGCGCCCACGACCGCGACGCCGGACGTCTTGGCCTTGGCGATCGCCAGCTCCGTCGCCCGGTGCGCGACCATGTACCCCACGGCGTCGTGGCCGTCCAGCCGGACGAACGCCGCGCCCTCCCGGACCACCTCAATGTCCTGGGAAGATCGGGGCTGCGAACCCTGGAGCTGTTCGATGATGCTGAGCGCCCGCGCCAGGCCCGCGAAAGGACCGCCTCGGAGCTCCGCGTCGACCAGATGCTCGGTGATCATAGCCGCATCGCCGGCGGAGTATCCGGCCTTTTCGAGAGCTGTCTGGCAGATCTGGGACGCCTCTGAGATTGAGAGCCGGACCACGGCCACGTCCTCGGCCGAGTGCTCCATATTTGAGAAGAAGGGGGTACTAAGTGTTGCCGGGACTGAATAGCTAAAAGGCGACTTAACATGCGAGGCAGTGAGAGTGGTAGGTAAACCTATGATCTATCGCCCATTTGGAACCGGTATATATCCTGCTTGGAACGTCACTCCGTCTAGTAGTACCGGCTCATCGGTTGTTTCCGGTACTTCTGTTAATCCATTGTTCTCACACCTCCGCGATCAACCTGATGGGTACAGATCACAGAGACCTACGTTAAGGGTCCATTACGCTTTCAACTCCAGCTGTAGAACTTACGTCTGCCATGAAGAAGCCAGTCTGGGTTCTTACGACGGTCGACTGATTTAGAAGACTCAAGGACATGATTTTCTGTCCCTTGCCGAACCACAGTTTGCGACGATGTGTGAATCACATAACTACTTATTTTCCTTCCTATTTATTTCACGTGGCAGGTCGTTCTGGCCTGCCGTTCTCAATTGCGCGTCCATCCTCCTCTGAAAAGAGCTTATACAGGCTCCTGTACTCCTTTCCCTGACACAACGGACTATCTGATGGCGGAGGTAGAAGGGTCAGCAAATATTTCCGAAAAACAAATGATTTCTGCACGTACTGGCCGCACGCTTCCAAATATCTCTCATAACATCCGCCATCACAGACTTGGCATTTACTTGAGACATCAGATCGACAGTCATCTCTGTGCTCTCAATAGCCAGGTCGAACCCTGGACCCCCGTCAGGGCCGCCTTTGAAATCTCGACTGGCTGATGACGTGGGTTGCACTCCCTTGATGGGAGACATATGCAATGAATTCCAACACATGCCACTGCTAGCGTTGATGACATCTGGGATTGTCAGTCAGAGGACCAGCGGCGACAAACGTCGAGAGCACAAGCAGCTCTAGGCACTTCTCACCAGTGAGGACCTTGGGATCAAGACCAAATCGGACGCCAGTATTCATTCCTTCGTAAGGTCAGCTGAGGTTACTGCAGGGTTGGGTCTGGGTGTTGAGGGGACTGCTCGAAAGTACCTTCGCACAAAGCCACATAGCTAATGGATGCAATGTAGTTGTTGATGATCTTAGCTGCGAGCCCAGCGCCGGGAGGTCCACAGTGATAGATATGGTTGCCGTCCGAAAAGGTCAGAACGATTGGTCGCACTCGATCGAAAAGTTCCTTCGAGCCGCCGATCATAGCACTCAGTTCACCTCTCTTAGCAAACTCCATACCGCCCGAAACCGGACAGTCGACAAAATCCCCAAACCCGGAGCCGACGATTTGTTTGGCGACCTTCAACGAACTCTGGACGTCCATGGTAGAAGTGTCGATGACCAGCTTGGATCCATCGCCGACTTTGGCCGCCACGATACTCGTGGATGGATCGGTGAACACTTGCACAATCGGCTTGCCAGGAGGCAACGAGGTGATGATGATATTCTGGTTTGACACACCATCAGCACACGACGTGCTCGGGTAGCGCAGCCTGACCAATAAATCGAAGTATCCCTCCTCGACGGACTTACACATTGTTCAGCAACTTCCTTGGGCGACGAGGCAGCCTCCGTAGTACCAAGCAGCCGAGCCTGCTCGAGGAAGTCTTCCACACGCGCTTTGTTGACATCACACACGACTAGCTTTGACGCAGCTGGCATTTTGGCCCGGAGGTTGAGGGCCATGGGAAACCCCATTCTTCCAATACCAATGAAGCCGTAGGTCTCCCTCTGCATCGCCTGAGGCTCTTCATTTTGAGATGCTGATGGCATTGCTTTTGGATGGGAAACAATCTCGACGCGTAAGAGCTCGTTTCTACTTACGAAATACAATTGATCTCACCGCTTTGTTGATATATTTGTTGCATCGTGTGCCACTGCTAGTAGACGCACCGGTTTCATCTTCGATGTGAGTACCGAGACCGAATCGATATCCGCGGAAGAATCGGGCAGAAGTCAGCCGAGCTCATCGACCTTGGATCAGGTTGCAACTTCGTCAGGGAGGCTACAACCTGGAAGATCAACGCAGCTTGGATCAACAGCATACCCAACAACCCGGCTAGCATAGTTACGGCCATTCGGCAGTTCGGTAGTTCGGCTGTCCAATGCTGAAAGATGTGTGAGATCAGGTCTCTTCCACAAACACCTGACGGATGGGCCGGCCGTTTCATATTTTTCAAGACAAGGGTGTCTCTTCCATGAGACAGCAATGCTCACTCTGTGTTACGGTATCTCCAGATCTCCGAATTCGTGGATATTGACCGTTTGCTCTCTAACAGAACCTCCACGCTAGTAGCCCTTCAAAATGTCGGACCTTTGGCATGAGTACCGCGACCACTTGACCGGTGGTTGGAAATGCATCTCATACGAAATTTATGACGGACCGTCACCGAGTGCAAAGCTTGTGGCACGACCCCATGGGAACAATCCAATGGGGAGAAGTTACCTCAGCCGCAACGGGTATCTGGCAGCCCACCTAGCGACGCCAGATCGGATGAAATACTCCGAGTCAGACGTGCCATGGGCCAAACGAAGTGACGCTGAAATCGCGAATGTGGCTCGCGGGCTGAGCATGTACTGCGGGTATATGGAGCTATTCAAAGACGACAAGGGTCTGTTTTGGAAGACAAAGGTGGAAATCGCCAGTGATCCTACCCGAGTCGGAGGGTTCCAAACGCGCAGAGTAGAATTTTTGGAAGAAAATGGTGAGGCTTTCAAGGTCCTCAGGCCCGTTGATCCGATTGTGCTCGAGGTGAGTGACCGAAACTTTTCTTCTCTTGATCTTCCTAACCGACGCCCAGGATGGAACTCAGGCTTGGGCGGTGGTGAAGTGGCAGAGAGTGGAATCTGCGTAGAAGTTGAGATGAAGGGGAAAACTGTGCTGTGAGGCTTGCCGGGGGACGAGGTCCTTCCGTCCTTCAACTTGAGCAGCGTCTGAACCAGGTCGAAGCCGTTGCATGTCGAGATACGTAAACCATGGTGGATAGTTGTCAAGAGACTTGGTCGATGCTTTCACATGACGGGAGTGACATAGGAAATGATGGAAGCTTGTCGACCACCAGGGGTAAGAAGGAAATGCTGAAGGTTATGGTTGACCGAACGAGACAGACTTACATGTCGCAAGCAGTACCAGAGGGATATTATGAGGCAGTCCCAGGGTAAATACGGGAAACTGGTCAAATTGAAGGCATTCCAACAGAATCCTAGAGGCGTGCCCCGGTTCCAGAATAGTCAAAAAGCACGCCATATTTCTCGTGGACAACTCCTCTCTTGAGCGTATCCACGCACAGTGGAGCACGGGGAAGTCTGCAGAGGCATGCTCGAGCATGACAGTTTGTGAGCGACGCAGTGTGGTGACCGCTGCGATCCGGCGCATTAACGACTGCAAGCATCGAGAACGGGTCGATCTAAATGCCGCACCAAGGGAGCCCATGTTTACCGAAGGAGGCTTCCGTGTGCATCTGCGCCGCGGCTGGATCTGGAATTCGGACATGGTCGTGCAGAAGGGGAAGTTGCGTGTAGTCAGTATAAGGTAGGTGTGATATCGGTGAGTGCGAGAGAGTTGGCGAGTAGAGTGGGACTGCTCACCTTCAATTCCTGGTGAGCCCGCCGCATCATCTTTTTCCAAATCATTGGGGGGCTTAGATGCGCTTGTGCGGTTGTGGCGCTGACTCGGGCTCTGCACACGCTGGATCAGGAAAGTGTGTGGGAACTCAATCTAGAAACACCGTCACACTAGCACATTACACGAATGACGCTCGCTTGGTTAGTTTGAGAAATCGACCAGAACGCAGTGGAGGTGAGGGCTCTTCACGGCCATGATGCCATCAAGCTGCTGCTCACCATGTTTCGGAGTACACACCTATATATGTGTGCCATCTCACTTGGAGACCCGACTACAACCCGAAAGCATTCATCAGAGTCGCAACGCTTAATCTCCCGGTCTTCTGAACTTTTACTCGGTCAACAACACTGAAGCCGATATGTCGCTGCCCAGTGAGTTTATGTGGCTTCTATTGAAGTATCTCTCAACTGATAAAATGGACAACAGCAGAAACCCCCCTCTCTCAAATACTTCCTGTGACAGCCACGTTTGCTCCAGGTACATCTCACCCATCATCCATGCACAATGAGTCCACTGGCTAACGAGGACCATTAGCATTCGCTGCTTACTACGCCCTACTCAACCTTCGTGTGAGCGCAGTCCGTGTGTCGTGCAATACCATGATGGGAACCGAGACCGCAGACAAGAGTCAATCCACCACCTCAAAACCCGACCCCAGCAAGCCATCAACAGGACCCGACTACAACAAGGATCTTCTCGTCAGTACCCGTTGCCACGCCAACTTCGTCGAGAATGTGCCCTTTGCTCTCCTTGTTGCGTCCTTTGTTGAGATGAATGGTGGAAACACACTGGCACTGACGGGTTCACTGGCTGCGCTGCTGTTTTTCAGGATTGCGCATGTAGAGTTCGGTTTGAGGGCGAAAGACTCGATGGGCTGGGGGAGACCGGTTGGCTACTTTGGAACCCTGGGTTTCGTGGTTGGGATGAGTTCTTATGCAGCTTGGTTGGTGAGGAGTTATTGGAGAGCATAGAGTGATAAGCTCATCGGGAGCTGGGATTTCTGTTGTCAAATCGTATATTGATGGAGGCCAGTCTGCTTGTCGTCGTGTAAATGGAAGGTGGAAAGAGCAACTTCCCATGTTCTGACCTGACAGGCTCAACTCAGGCTCTCTTCTTTCCTTTCCAGTTCAACCACTCGTCCTCCCACTCGAACCGCATGCCTTTCGCTTCATGGCATACCCGCAGAACACGTTCGCTCCTTCAAGGTCCTTATCGAATCCCGACATATCGCTATCATCCTTTCGATCCATATCCAGCACCCTCTTTTCACCCCCACCTCTTCCGGCACCGCCCAAGCCGCGGAAAAGGCCTGAGCCCACGTCTGAGCCATCCTCTGCATTCCTTTGTACCGTCTGCTGGACTGGGCAAAACTCGTTGCCACATACCTTTGGCCTGGAAGGTCGCATTGTATGTGCCGATTGTTGGACATGGATATACAACATGAGTATCTGTTGGCGCTGTGGAGAGGTCGTGTTTCGAAAGACTGACGCGGTGAATTTCGGATGGTGCTAGTGGCATTGGAGTTGCTTCTCTTGCCTCATCTGCGCAGTATGGCAGAGATGGACACGCCCATGGCTGCCAGAACCCGCTGACGGCCCATCAGTCTCCTCTGCGCCCTCCTCCCTACCTTGATTGCAACTGTGAACCGCACAGGCATGGCATGATGGTCAAGGACCCGCCAGTCTGTTCCCGTTGTATCGACCAGCCAGAATCCATCACGAAGCTTGAGCAACATGTTAGAGCTCCGAGGAAAGGCTCAGACAGCGTCACGCCTCCCAAAGGACTATTGGATGGAGCATCCTCGAGAATATCATTGACGGACCCGCTGAATCCAAGCGCCAACAAGCTCGGGCCTGCAAATCAAAGACATCGAATGCATCCCACATGGATGACTCTTCTGCCTTCGTACAGACAGTCAGAATCAATTCCACCATATCATCCATGGTCAATTCAGCACGAAAGTCCACTGCAGAAGCAAGGCACAACATCTTCCACGCCATTCGCAACGCCTCCACAGGCTGCTGGGGTTCCGGAAGCGGTATCTCGTTCGAAAATTTCACATCTGTCTGAAGCAGATTTGTCGGGACGCCTGCCCATACCATCGCAGAAGTCAATGAATGCCTCCCACCTTCACTCGGTCGATCATCCTTCCGCAGAGCCCTCGAACTATCAAGAACTCCAAATCCCAACTTTGACACAATCAAGTGCCTCCCCTTCTCAGCGTTTAGCCACGCCACCATCAGGTGACGCCAGTAGATCGCGATCCTCCTCCAAAAGTCGTATCCGACGCAGCTTCTCAACCACAAAAGCGATAAATCCTTTTCGAAGATCTTCCACCGCAAAGTCTTTTCTCGCCCCTGCCGGATCATGCGGTCCAGCACAAAAGCATACTCCACTGCCTTCTCAAGACATTGCCCCGGCAAGAACTCCCTTCTTCAAAGAGCTTTCGGGTTTCTTTACCTCGCGTTCCAAGGCTGGAAATTTCGTCTTCCCAAGCCGTGTCATTCCCGCCAGCACGAGAGTCGACGAGAACGGAAGCAGCTCATTCGATAGGAGTGTTCTGGACCGAGCATGTGAGAGATGTGGTGTGGACGTGTCTGATTGGGGGGCAAGGCGCGAGTCGGGTGCACATAGTCGCGAGGGTGAGAATGAGCGAGGTCGTATGGATCGGATTTGCGAGACTTGCAAGGCCGCTGGTACAGTGCCCAGAGCGATGCCCGGAGCATGGGACTGAGAGGCCGTTGTCGGTCTGTGCTCAAAGAATCTCTTCATTCGTACTTCACCGAAAGCGCTCGAGCAGAATATCAGCAAAAAGAAATCACACTGCGCAAAAACATGCTATCTAGTAGCGCGTGATCGCGATACACAGAGGGAGACAGCTGCGAGAATCTCCTCCGTACTGGAGCCAGCGGTCTAGTGAATATTGCCAGGAACACGACATAAGAAGATGAAGGTAAAGACAACTGTAGACAGTGCGAGGCGGAGGTAAGCCCTCCATCTCGGTTTCCTTATTAATGTCTGAAATTTTTGACGCCGAGAAACACCAAAGCTGTAACTTTTGACATATAGGGTCGGGATCGACCTGCAGTCGATACCCATTCGTGAAGCAAACAATCTCCGTGTGGTCCAAAACCCGTAGAAGGTATTATAGCTCAAATCGGACCTTCTAGCTATGGTTGTGGCTGGCATCTGAGCGACCAACTAGATATTTTGATTAATCTCGAGATCGGATACCACATGATGCGACATGTGACCTAAGGAAGAGCACAATTCCGCGTCTCAGAGGTCTTGATGACAAAGCCTTGCTGTTCTTGGCCTGTGTCCAGCCTTGTGGTAGACTCAAGTTATATCCACCGCGCGATAGGCCGACAGAACGCTGGTAGTAGACATGGCGGGAAAACTAGGAATGAATATATCCAAAATCGACTAGGTGAGGCGTGAGGCCTGAACGTGGTGGCGGTATTCTGTGCCATTCAGAAGGCTCTCGATTCCAGTCCCGAAAAGGAAATTTGAAAAGGTCCATGGGCGATCTGATTGAACGTAGAGTCATTTGGGGGATTTCAATACTTTTGGGGATGCAGCCATTTAATCACCCCACCACCTCACCCCAGGAGGAGCCTGACGGACATCATGAAGATCGTTTCTCGTAAGCATCCAGCCATCAGAATCTGGTAGGTATATCTGCGGCGTGTTGAATCGCTTGATTTCGCTCCGCATCCGCCGGTGTCCAACCCAGGTTTGGCAGTGTTTGTAATTTCGCGACCTGTGGCCGGTCGTCAGGACGGTCTGATCGCCTTGTTGTGTGACCTGCCAATACATGGTGTCAATGTCGACAAAGGATGGGGCTGCAGCGATGGATAGCAGTTGTAAGGAGTGGCACTCTCCGCGCAATTGATCGAAGATGCGGACCGCCTGAGTGTCGGAGACCGGAACGCAATGTTGCACCCTCCCCTCGGTGCGCAGGCTGGAGCTGGCTATGAAGGGTGGGAATAGGCGGAGGAATCGCAAGTGCTGGAACTTGGCGAGTGCGTTCAGAAAAGCATATTGTTCCACATGCACATCCACCCCGGGGATTGCTGTAGGGTGCCACAAATGCTCGATATAGCCTATGTCCAACTCCAGCCGCTCAAGTTTGGGTGCCAGTTTCGCCGCCGTCATAATGTCAGTGGAGCTACGCTGGCTCTGCTTGCTGTAGACCGACGACCAAGAATCCTCACAATGCAGCCGGAGGCGGCGAAGCTTGGGGCCCACAAGATCTGTTATGGGGATGTGGTTGCATATCCCATCGACTTCCAGCTCTCGCAACTCTGACATCTGTGTGAAGTCGATTGCGAAAGCGTTACGCAGATCATCTTCAAACAATAAGACGGGAGGTTCTCCATAGCTACATCCTGGATGATAGTCCCGTGGGTGATTCGCACGGATGCGCAAGGCCTGGAGATGGAGGAGCCGAGGAGCACTCAGATACATGAAATCGTTGATGGGCACAGTTAAACCCCATTCAATGGAGAGTCTCTGAAGATTCGCCCACGGAATCACGGATGAAATCAAACTTTCTGGCGACCGGGGAGGGAAGGTGAAGGCTCGTGTGATATTCAATCGTAGCTCGGTCCATGAGGGGCCCTCCTTTATATGTGGCGTCTCCGACTCATCTGCACTCGAGTGTCGCAGCAGCCAGTCTATGTGTAGATCTACAGCAGTGGCTTTTGCTATCGCATCGTAGGTGGATTGATCGGGCTCAGGGTATTTGAAGGGAGGTGCACCGAACGCGCCCAGGGCGAGCTGATGGCGCTGAGCAAGAGAAACCATAGCAGTGGTGGCTTGAATCAGGTCTGGCCAGGGCGAAGATGTGTAGAGATGGTCAATGATAACTTCATATCGCTGATCATGCGGAAGCATTTTTATCACCTCGTATGCTGCAGCCGCAGAGCAGTCCAGTCTGGGACACCATTAGCTTCATACACGATTTGAAGCCGGTAAGCAAAAAAGGTCACGCCCGATAAGTTTTTTGAAAAGACAAACCCCTATCGCAAGTACATACCTGATACGGTGAAGCCGATGCATGAACGGCAGACTGTCACGAATTTCGCCAAGGTCAGAGTAATAATGCTCGCGACTATCTGCAGAGGCCGCGTTGTCCGGAGATTTAAAATCTGGTATTTCCAGCGGGCGTTGTACATGCAGTGTGTGGACATAGCCAAGGAGATGGTGATCATCGAGGAGGCAACGAAGAAGCTCGTGTTTCCGTTGGTCCAGTCGATCACGGACAACGTGGGACACGGTTCCGAACAGGAAGGGCAATGCCGATTTTCGAAAGTGGCGTGCAACGAGAGAAAAGGGTAAAAGCGAGCTCAATTGCCGGCAACTACTCTCATAGAGCAGCTCAGCGATTAAATCTATGACCTCTGACGGGAGTTGGACTTTTGCTTTTGTCGCGTGCCAGGGGTCCGCGATAGAATAAGGCAGCCTCATGGACTTGAGTGCCAACATGTTCGCCGCCTGCAGGCTTGAGAGTTCATCCAGGCGGGAGACTCAGATGTCGTACCAGATGGTCCAGATTCAGCTTGAGCGGGATTCTTGGTCGAATGAACATCAGATGATGAATGAATCGAAGGTGGTGGAGGAGTAGGGTCGAAGTTCTCCAGCCTCCTTGATGGCTTGGGCTGAGCGTCACCACGTGAAAGAGGAGGGGAAGTCTGGCCGGATTATCGTTTCGCCGGAGCGCGGGGCCAGCCATGTAGAACCCGAAGCGACCAGCAATTCAGAGCGTCGCGCATTCCTCGCAGCCAGTTTCGCGAGATCAAGAGAGATCCAGAGCGGGACGTGGTCGCTATGCCCACGCTCTAATGCAGAATCCAGAATGTCAGTCCCGGTGACAACGCCCGGGTCATCCACCAAGGCGTGGCTGATAATGATCAGGTCCACTCGATCACAGCTCGCGCCCCAAGCACTTCCACGCGGGTAATACGTGAACTTCTTGGTGTTTCCGTGAGTGTGCCTGAAGATATCGATTCCACGCATGCCATTGGGTTCGTCGAAAAACTTGGAATTGAAGTCAGCTCGGTTCCTTACATGTTGCAGAGGTGACGTTCGTAGATTTGGGTGGCCGTCAATTCGGGATCTAGCGACGTTCATGTCGCCAATCAAGATGACATGGTGGCCCTCTGCCTCGTGTTGGAGGACCTCTTCCAGCATGTGTTGATGAAAACGCAACTTGTGGTCATGTCGGGTACCGGAGATCTGACCCGTTACAGGATCCCGATAGGGAATAGAAGTTCCGTTGACCCAGTAGCCGTTGACGATGACCAGGCCGACCTCGTGTTCATGTATCAAAACTCGACCTTCGAGGTCCCATTCTGGCCGCCGGGTGACACGAACGCCCGAGGCGAAGTCGTCTCTGAGGAAAGAAGCAACCCCATGGACTTTGCCGCCGAATCCAGTAGCATTGTACTGGTCTCTGGGAAGAGAGAAATGTACCGTGTACGTAGGTTCTCCAGCAGCGTGGCCGTGATTGGCAGCCTGATGCAGCTGTCTTTGGGTTCCGACGTCTTTGGAGCTCACTTTGACTTCTTGTAGACATAGCAGCTGAGGCCACTGATGGCGTTTCAAAAATGATCGCAGCGGGGACAGGGAACCAGGGCCGAAGGACAGGGGCGTCTGAAGCAGTGGACCGACGCCATTGACATTCCAACTGAAAATTCGAAGCTGGCCTAGATGTGCAGGCCATGTGCTGGCCACGTGTGCATCTTCCTCAGCTGTGTGTGAAACTTTCCTCCTCAACGCAGGCGGACTGATGGACCTGCCGGTGCTACTGAGGGATCTCTTTGCAGCGGCGGACATGGGCACCGGATGGGTCGCTCGATAGCTTCTCTTTTCGCGCTGATATGGCTAGGTAGCCTCGAGTCTTCCGTGAGATATTCGCTGCCGATGCAGGTGTGCATTGACAGGCCGTATTTGCCGACACAAGGCGACGTCATGAAGGAGACACCAGTCCACTGCAGTCTGGCAAGCCCACATTAGTATCACCGGGTTTCCAATAGGGCGAAATAAGCTGCTTGACACACCCTCTGCTCTCTGAAAGCAACTAGAGCGCCCTCACCATCTGCGGACCGAACCGTTCAGGATGGGTTCATCACCTGTGACGCAGCGACTTGAGTGGTGAGCTGAGCTGCTTCGGGATTCAGGGCCTCCAGTCACTGACCCTTTAGGCAGCCCCAGACACAGCCAGAGGCCGGCCCCGTCAACTCCTCAATTGCGCTTGACAGTTGATCTGCAAGGTTTCTTGTCTCGTTTAGGCAGGAGAGCGACGCAGCCTTCTTCCGGCAAAGCTCCGAGTCGCCAGCTTGGGGTTCAGGATGGGGCTCTGGCGGTAGGTTCGTTGGTGGGGTGGGTGATGGACATGGTCGAAGGGGAAAATAGGAGGCGCGCTGTCGAGGCTCCAAGCATCCCCAAACGGTCAAGCAATTCTCAGATAATATATTGCGGCTCGACTCTGCCTCAGTCGCATTTGTCGCTGACCATTATCTCACAGGCGTTCTGCTTCATTTGATCACACGAGCTCGCCCATTCGTGCTCTCTGACGTGAGCATTGAAGGACTTCATTGAGCTCCAAAAGAGTCGAAACGCGGCACGCGTGGACCTATATCGGCTGCCATTGAAAGTCTATCAAGGCTCGCTCTATCGGAGTTGAGCACTCGTGGCAGGTTTCCTATCAGTCGAACAGTTCCTCCTACGCCTACCTGTTTCTCTCTAGGTCAGTTAAATACCTCTTCGAGGTCGATAGTGTTCTGATCTGTACAGACTTCCTCATATCTCGAGCCCAACGGCCGCCGCCGCTGCTTCCAACCCCATCTGTTTACCTACCACCTTATCAGCCATGGCCCCTCAGCCAGAGCTCTATCCTACCCTCCACCGAGTACGCGATCTCGAGACTGCAGGCATCGAGGACCTGCAACAGATTATTCAGACATTCCCCGCCATCGACAACCATGCCCATAATATGCTCACCGAGGAAAACGCCTATGGCAGTGCGGAATATCCTTTTGAGTGTATCACCTCAGAAGCACAAGGACATGCTCTGACGGATCATGTCCATACGAGCCTTGCTCACATGCGCGGCGTCAAACACCTGGCAGAATTCTACCAGTGCCCGGAAACACTGCAGGATGTCAAGGCTGCCCGGTATGAGTGGGTGCGCAGAGACTACCCGGGTCTGATCAAGAAATGCTTCGAAGGAACACATGCGATCATGATGGATGATGGACTGTCGCCCGAGATCATCCATTCATTCAAGTGGCATAGACAGTTCGTTCCCACTGTGTCACGGATCGTAAGGATCGAGGCGGTTGCGTCAGAGCTGCTTGAACATCTCGCTCACGCAGCGGGCTTTATGAGGGTCGGCCTCGATGCTGACTGGGACATCAGCCAGACCGAGAGTTTCTTGGTGCGCTTCAACACCGTCTTCAGAAACCAGATCCGCACCCTGGCCAACGATCCAGATGTCCGGGGCTTCAAGTCAGTCATCTGCTATCGTTCGGGTCTGGACATCGGCCTGGAGAGCAGGAAGAACTTCCGCCCTCATCAGTCCCTGACCGAATCATCCCTCTTACAATCTTTCCATGACTTCCTGCAGAAGGCAGTCCGCGATCACAAGTACCGCATCCAGCAAAAGGAGGTCAATGACTTCCTGGTTGTCGCAGTCTGTGACGTGCTGGAAAAGCTTGTAGACACGGATGGTGAGAACCTGCCCTTCCAGTTTCACACCGGTCTCGGCGACACAGATATCGACTTGGTCAAGGCAAATCCAGCGTATATGCAGCCTTTGATCGAAGCTTTCCCCCAGGTCGACTTTGTCATCCTCCATTCATCGTATCCGTACACGAGGGAAGCAGGTTACCTCGCAGCCAACTATTCCAACGCTTGGCTCGATATCGGAGAAGCATTTCCGATGCTCTCTCGCGATGGCGAGGAGTCTGTTTTACGACAGGCCCTCGAGTTGACACCAAGCTCTAAGATCCTGTGGAGCACAGATGGACACTTCTATCCCGAAACATACTGGCTCGCCAACAAGCACTTCAGAGAAGCGCTTGAGAGATTGCTTACTTCCTATATTGCAGCGGGTGACGTTACCGTTGCCCAGGCCATCGACATTGCTGTCGATATTATGTTCTGGAACTCAAATTTACTCTACAAGCTTGACGAAGAGCGTAAATACCCCGAGCTGCTCCGAGCTTGTGGCAGAGAAGCTGTAGACAGTATGCGTACGCTTGTGAATGGTGGTTCCAAAGCTCCATCTTTCAAGTCATATGCAAGCACGGCTGTCGCTGCTCCTGCTGGAGGTGCATCGTCATCAGCGGCTGCTGCTGCTGTAGCACGACCGGGTGCGTCTTTGAACGCGGCGTCATCGACGAGCCTTTCGCTGCCCCTCCGCTCCGGGAGTGCGAGTGCGCCGTCCGGCCAAAACTCCACTGCCATCCTCGCGCAAAATGTGACGGTTTTCGATGCCTTTTTGCAAACAAATCCGGGCATCAAGTATATGTGGGTTCAATATCTGGACTATACCGGCACTCTTCGTAATCGTATGATGACCGTCCAACAATTCAAAAAGCAGCTGTCAACCGGAAAACCGCTCTGCTGTACGACTGCTCTGACACGGCTGATGCAGGACGACTATCCTGCAACCGGATGCTCGGCTACTGGCCAATTTCTCATGATTCCAGACCTGTCGACCCTCTCATTGAACAAGGGTATCTCATCTCCGTCCGCCACCGTTCAGACATGGTGGATGGCGGACTCGGAGCAAGTTCCCCTCGTTGAGCACTACGACCGCTGTCCTCGCTGGCTTCTGCAATCTCAAGCTGACGCTCTTAAGTCAGAATTCAACATCTCCATGCTGGTCGGCTTCGAACTCGAGATCATTTTCATGAGGCCAGTGCTGAATGAAAACAAGTCCGACTTTGTGGAATTTGAGCCGTTGCACATGGTTCATTCGTGGTCTAACATGACGTGGCAACAGATCGACATGTTACCGATCATTGAAGAAATCGTGGAGAACCTGGGCGACCTCGACATTCACCTTTCGCAATTCCATTCCGAGGCCGCACCGGGACAGTGGGAGTTTCCCTTGCCAGCTTTTGAACCCGTGAAGGCTGTTGATGTCTTGTTCAAAGCCAAAGATGTGATTCGCAATGTCGCCAAGAAGCACGGCCTGAAAGCAACGTGCTATCCGCGTCCCTATGCATTCAGCCCGGGCAGTGCCAATCATGCCCACTTCAGCATCAACGGACCCGGTGACACGGTTGAAAAGTATGAAGCACCTTTCCTCGCCGGGGTTCTGGAACATCTACCAGCATTGATAGCGTTCTTGCTACCCTTTGAAGAGTCATATCAACGCGTCAACGCCGGGATCTGGGCAGGCGGAGAGTACGTGTGTTGGGGAACACAAAACAAGGAGGTCCCACTACGAAAATGTGGACCTGGACATTTCGAACTCAAGACTGTGGATGGCATGGGCAACTCTTACTTGTCCATGGCAGCCCTGCTGGCGTCAGGACTCCATGGTCTGCGCCAAGATCTCAAACTCGAGCACAAGGATTGCACGGGTGACCCGACTGGGATCGGCGAGGAGGAGAGGCAGAAACTTGGCATTACAACACAACTGCCCAACACTTTGGAGAAAAGTCTCAAAGCATTGGACCGTGACAAAGTCCTTCGACGTGCCCTTGGGTATGCGGTGGTTGACGATTATCTTGCCGTCTCGGAGAGTCTGATGGCCAAGTTGAGGGGCTTTGGCGATGAGAAGAGACGAGTGTGGCTGATGGCGCGGTACTGATGCGGGTTCTCGGCGTGTGTGACGAGCCTGGCCGTGAAGGCCATTGATACTATCGTTGTTGATTGCAATACCAAAGCAAGGCATACCCACTCGCCAGGTTGTGGTTACAACAAGCAAGGAGATGATGTCGCGGATGAATCGCCCGCTGTGACCGGGAGACGTAGCAGTGTCTTGATTGAGAAAGACAATCCAACCATGGACACTGCCACCCGTGGGAGGCTTGAATGAATTGGAGATGGATGGTCCCTTGCTTAGATTTGGGGGGGGCGAGGGTTGGGCTTGGTGGGGTCTACTGAAGTAAGGAGCTAGGAGCGCAGGTATACCCGGGCGTGGTCCAGGTGGGAACTCTTATCGATTTGGGAGCAAGGGGGAAATGCGAGGGAGATGGTTAGACAGAGAGATCGCTAATCGCTATGGAATAATGCAGTTCGGCCAGCGGCTCGCCTTGTTTACTTTCTTTTTCTGTTGGCATGCGTCGTGTATTGTATCTACGTAGCGCAGCGATGGTGCAGCGCAGGAAGACAGCGAGGTGTGGAAAGAAACGATGTCGTGTACAGTAGGTGCTCTGGAAGGAGGAAGAGGGAAAGGGGGTCTGAACAATCGGCGTGGTCTCAAGAGTACTCGTACGGCAGTATAGGCCAAGGTAAGGAGTAGAGATGAGTCCCTCGGATCGCAGTACGAACACAAGGATAGAGAGTACCAGGTCCATAGACCAGAGACAAGCCCGGTTGACCGATTAATGAGATTGGTCTATATAATTACCCCCGCGGTGATATTGCCTTCAGGTGCGCCTGCGTGGATTAAGGATCCGCCATGAGCCTATTATCTATCCTGTCCGCGCCCTGGCAAGGGGGCCCTGGTCCAAGAGAGGTTTATGCAAGCCGTGCCGTGGGCTACTGTAGGACTCCTCGCCCTGCGCTGCGTGCGCTGTTCTATGTATGTATGACATTCGCCAAGCGACTTCGACGTGTTTTTCTTCCTTTGTTTCATGCTCACGGACGAGGCAGTCGTGAGCATCCGTGAATGGATCCCAGAGGTCCGAGGATACCAGCGCAGAGCAGACGGAAAAAGAGCAGATCCGATATCCAACGTCCCACATACTACTCTTCCGGGATTTTCTCCGCCTGTTGTTGATGCGATATTCGACGTTCATGAGCCCTCCTCAATCTGCCCGGCCCACTCGGCGGGCTGGTCGAGCCCCGGCGCGCTCACCAAGCTGCCCTTGGCGGCGTCCTCGATGTTCTGGCCGCACTGGACCTTCCAGTTCTTGGGCACGTAGCCGTCGGCGACGCGCTTGAAGGCCTCGAATGTGCACAGGGACGCGTCGCCGCGGTAGTTGTTCCCAGGCTGCGCGCAGGCGGGGATCTTCATCACGCGGTCGTTGTACCGGATCCGCACGTAGTAGCCATCCAGGCGGCGCTTCTGGGACTCGGAGAGTTCCGAGTGAGGCGTCCGCGCTATGAGGTCCTTGGGAGGCACGGAGGGGGATATGGTGGAGGAGCGGGACAGGGAGGGCGTGGAGAGAGGGCTCAAAGACGAGGTGGCCGAGGTGTTCGATGAGGGGTCTCTTGAGTTGGCGTCAGTCGATGAGGACGGGGATCGAAGGCCCAGGAAGGACGCGAAGAATCCCGGTTTCGACACCTGATCGCCCTGCTGTGGCTGGCTCTTGGGTTCTGTGCTCGCCGGTGTGGTTGGCGTAAGGAAGTCTGCGTCGGAAGGATGTCCCTTGGCCGCGTCTCCGTGGTCTTTCTCCTTAAAAAGTTCGAATGCGATGTGACTCGTGTAAGGCGGCCATTTCTCCCCTCCAAACGCCCCCAAGCTCGTCAAGATGCCCGCCAGCGTGGTATCGTGACACCCACTCAACGCAAACCGGATCCCTGTCTCCCCACCTCGACCCATCCCCAACCGTCCATTCTCCCCTCCGATCTCGTTGATTGAGAGGCCCGCGCCCTCGATCTTGGAGGTCATCCGCTCGACGACGTCGCCTATCAGGCCCCCTATGCCTAACATCCGATACTCGCGGTTCTCATTGTACCCCGAAAACCACTCCTCGACGCCGATCCGCTCGATGATCTCGCGGGCGCGGGAGTCGTAGAATTCCTTGGGGAGACGAGTTTCGGGCCCGTGCGCGAGGGTCGAGTTGATGGTGTCCATGATCCCCGAGAGACGGGGGTGCGAGTCGACCGCAATCTTCTTGTCACTGCTCTCGGGCATCCATTTCCCGATCAGTCTCGTCAGGTACTTCATGTCGTCGGAGTCGTTCCATCTGTCGGCCGTGCGCTGGGCGAAGGCCCTGCTCAACTGCGCAAACCTTCGACAGTTGCCGTCGTTTGGAAAGAGGGTTTCGTCCGCGGGGGTGCGTGTCACGATCGTCGGCGCTGGGAATGCGGCCGTGCGCGACGTCAAGGGATACATGCCCCAGAACGTCTGCTGCACCGATTCCAACGCGCGGGGTAGAGGGGTGGAGCGCAGGTAGATCAGGTCGGCGTTGGCGATGAGGGAGGGCATGAAGTGCAGTTGGTCCACATACAGGGTGCGCAGGCGCGTCCCCAGGGTGTATGTCGTTTGGCGACCTGGGTCGGTGAGCTCGCCGAGTTGACTGTATCATGACAACAGAACCAATGAGTACAGAGATCGTCTCAAGTGAGAAATCGGTAGGCAATTGTCCATACCAGACCCCGTCAACCTCTCCCTTGGGCCCAGCCGCGATGACCGGCCCATCGTCCTCGCCAAACCTCTCGAGTCTTCTCCGCCATTGTAGAGAGTTCCACTGTGCCACATCTTGCGGGGTCATGGCGACGGAGCGCAGTCGTTGCGCCGCACTACAGTAGGGCCAGTATGCTGGCAAGCCTGCCTTTTCTCCCGGCGGTCAGCACATGCCACCAGCCTTGCGAACAACACACCGACACTGGAGCAAAATGTACGGTTTGTTTATGGAGGGACTCACATTTCCAAATCTGGCTGACACGGGAGCGCGTTCTCCATGGCGGAGGAGGACCTGGACCAGTCGCAGTTCTAGGTCTTTGGGGTAGAGTCTGTCGAGCTCTTCCTGCGTGTACGGTGGGCGGAATTGGATCGACGTCATTTTGGAGGGACTACACTGTGTGTAGAGGGAAATTTAGGACTATCATAGGAACGGAAGAGAAAAAGATATCATCTTGAACCAAGACGTATTTAGGAGCGGTCGAAGCGTTGGGCTTTGAAGGGGTGGGGAGGCTAGTTCAGTCGGTGTATCAATCTCGGCGTCATGGCGGTTCGAGGTCAATCGACGCCGAAGCTCACCTCGCGCCGCTTTTAAACACCACACCACCCCGTCATCTTTCCCTCACGTTCACTCACCCACGACCCTCTCTCCCCCTCCTCCTCGACGACCGCTTCTACCGCTCGCAATGCGCACGACGTTGCAAACATTGGACTGGGCTTGGCGGGAGAAAAGCTTCTTCCTGCGACCGACAGCTCAGTACGGTTTCTCACTTCCCGGCAGTGTACAGGGTTCCAGGCCACAGAACATGCGATAATAATCCAGTTTGGCCAGAATGGCGGCTGACGACAAGACCGGCCTCTGCACCTTCATCGAGGGATCGACCCCGGAACATGAGGCGATCGAAGTGTCCAAGCCCGACTTTCACCCCAGCAGAACGTCTTGAGTGTGAGTCGACACTCTTGTTTAGATGATGGCGCGCCCGTTGCATTTACCCCGGACAACAATGTCCGTGCGTTCCTCTTCCCAGCCAAACGTCCCTGATCCATTTCCTGGTCTTGTGATGCTGCGGGCTGCGGGTCAAGGCTTAACGACGAGAAACGACCAACCTGGCCACTGTTGACAGCGATCCCGTCAAGTTGGAAGGAAGGCAAGGGTCAACCCCTTCGTGTGGGTGATTCCGGCAAGCCTGGAGAGCAAAACGACAATTTGCAGGTGTGGCATCGCAAATCAGTGCAGAAGACACCCTCTCGACTGCGGCGTTTGGCTTCGATCGTCTGAAGCGGGATGGGCACACACGTCCAATGACACTGAGGAACTGAATTTGGCTGGCTCTGGGGACGACCAAAAGGCGTCGAGATTGCAGGGGGACCGGCCAGCTTCTGGGAGAATTTTGGGGGGTCAAGCTCCGTCTACAAGTTCCAACTCGACGGGTGGAGTACGTCTTTTCTATATTACCCACGACCCCGTGGTGAAGGCATCAATCATCACTCATGGCACCAGAGACTGGGCCGACTACGAGGCTACCGCTCACAAGTTCACACGCGCGCCGGCGGGAGTGGCTATTAGGGTCCGCGGACTCAATCAAGATGCTATGCGGTCATGTTCCTCTGGGGTGATCACATAGCACTGGTCAAAGCACGGGATGAGAAGCGCTTCGAAGTGACGGGCATACCTTTCGAGTGGGAGCAGGACATTCCTTATTGAGGTCAAGCTCAGGGCCACAAGGCAACGCCATCAGTTGGGGATGTTGTGTTTATAGTAACAGATGACGAGGACCAGGGCGGCGACATCGGCTCGTCGTCACAGACGGCAAGCTCTCCCGTCCGCGGCCAACATCGTCATCGGGCCTATTCGAGATATTTAGTGTCTTCGTACATGGCAAAATCTCCATCTACAGCTTTCCGACCTCGTATGGCCTGTTTTCCCGCCAGCACTGTGCAATCTCCCCCCTGGTACACACCCACACGTCCTGTTTCGCGGCCACGTACTCACAGAACCGCTTCAGCTCGGCAAACCGGCCGGGCTTGCCGACGATTCTGCAATGCAGGCCGACCGTCATCATCTTCGGCTTCCCCTGCTGGCCCTCCTCATACAGCACGTCAAAGGCATTCTTCAAGTACGTGAAGAAATCTCCCGGCCCACCAAAGCCCGTCGGCGTGTGGAACTTGAAGTCATTCACGTCGTACGAGTACGGCACCATCAGCATGCCGACACAGTTTTCCTTGCTGCGCTTCCCCTCGGCCACCATGGCCTGCTCCACGGGCACGTCAACCCAGTAGGGGATGTCATCGCCGTAGCTATCACTCTGCCACAGTAGCGGCAGGCCCATCTCGTCGTAGACGTCCCAGACCAGCGCCCGGCTCCGGCTCGACAGCCGCCCGTAGTACCAGCCGACGGGATACTCGCCCGTGACGGCCTTCAGGCTCTCGAGGCCCTTCCGGATCATCTCCTTCTCCTGCTCGGCGGGCATATCCTCATAATTCACCCACCGATAACAGTGGCTCGCGACCTCCGCTCCGCTCCGCACCGTCCGCCTCGCGACCTCCGGGTTCGCCTCCACCGCCTTCCCCACCGCGTACAGCGTCCACTTGAACTTGAGCCGTTCAAACAGCGCCATGATCCGCCACACGCCCACGCGCGATCCGTACTCGTAGTCGCTCTCGACGTTGACGGCGCGCTGCTGTTGCCGCGGCGGGTACCGGCCCGCCGACTCCCAGAGCGCCGCCTCGGACGTCGGGTCGCCGTTCAGCACGCTGTTCTCGCCGCCTTCCTCATAGTTGATCACGAACGAGAGCGCCAGTTTCGCGTTGTTGGGCCATGGCGCGGCGGGTGGGTCGGGCCCGTAGCCGACCAGGTCACGGGGGAAGTCGTAGTGGGAGTCCCATTTGTAGGGTGCTATGTCGGGCATGGTGGTGGCGATATGGTTGTTGTTGTTGGCGGTGGTGCTGCTAAGTGGTAGATGAGGGCGTCAGGGAGGTGAGAAAGGGAGATAAGATAGGTACTGTATGTTCTTGGGCCTGGTCTGGCAAGCTCCTCAAGGCTGGCAGACGGCTGTGTGGTCTTGGCCTGTACTTGCGGTATTTCCCCTTTATGTGGAATGCTTCAGCGGCCCCATTTCATATCGTATTGTCACTTCTGATTATCAAGCCCGCGGTGAGTGACCTCGGGTACCCCGCTGCGTGACGACGTCTCGCAGGAGATATTGCTTGCCCGAAGGCGGCTCACCACGATGGACGACAATCGTAGGATTCGCCAACCTGACATCTCCAATACCGGTACAAGCATGTCTGGAGTTCTCCGCCCTGTCATGGATCTAGATAACATAAGAGTAGCTCGGTGATTTCCTGTTACGGCACGGACGATGTTTCTCGTGGCCGCTCAGTTGGAGATCCCCGTTGGAGGCGGCGCACGGCAAGTCGCGCAAGTACGAACTTTGTAATGACGGACCATCATTCCTCGCAAGGTGAGTAGTCTGTATAGCCACGAGCTCGTTCATCGAACGGCACCCAATAGAATCGGTCGCGTTCGTACTTGGTAAGCGCCTTGCCGTGTTTCAGGCGAGACACGAGATCAGGGTTGGACGTGAAGTAGCGGCCGATACTGATCGCATCGCCCGCGCCCGACTCGACCACTCCCCAAACATTCGTGTCGTTGTAACCGCCTGAGACGAAGAATGGGGTCGCTCCCATGATTCTGCGGAAAGGCTCGAGGCTGATGCCATCTCCGAGGGATTTCAAATATGAGTCTTTGGTGGCAGGGTCGATGATCTGCTCGAATCGTGGCTCGATGAAATGGATGTACGACAAGGCTGGTATCCTCTGCTTGAGACCTTGGCATAGATGAGACCAGATTTCCATTCTCTGCTCGCCATATGACTGCAGGAAGAGACCGAAGGGCGATAAACGGAGAGCAACGTTGTCTCCTCCCACTGCCTCCGCCAAAGCCTCCATGAGCTCCAGGGGAAATCGGCAGTACCCACCCACGGTGCCACCGTATTCATCTGTCCGCTTGTTGATGTTGGTGCTGAGAAACTGCTCAACCAGATATCCATTGCCACCGTGGACCTCGATGCCGTCAAAGCCACATTCAAAGACAGCACGCTTGGCTGCGTCCACGTAAGCTCCTATAGTTCGCTTGATGTCTTCGTGGGTCATCTCCTTTGGCGGATGATCGCTCATTTGGATGCCTTCTCCGCGACCTGGTGCACCGCTGTCATCGTCAGGAGGAGCGTAGCGCGACTTGTGATCTCCCTCGAATGAGGTAGCACTGGGGCACAGTGCGGGCGCGCCAGTGAAATGAGGCAAGCACGATCTTCCTGCGTGCCAGAGTTGAGCGTAGATGTAGCCACCCTTGTCATGCACGGCATCGACGACCGCTTTCCAGCCGGGTACCTGTTCGGGGAGAAACAATCCCGGCGCACAGGGGGAAGCTGACGCTTCCACCGTAGGATAGATGCCTTCTGTAATGATGAGGCCGCCGGGGGTGGTTCGTTGGGCGTAGTAGGTAGCACCAAGCTCATCATGACCCCAGGCACGGTTGGGTTTGCTGACGTATAAAGGAACCCCACGATTCCGGGTCATTGGCGCCATGACAACACGATGGGAGAGTTGGATACGGCCATTGGCAATGGACAGCGGCGTGAAGAGGGCTGAGTTACCACGATCATGCGAGTGAAGACTCGGTGGTTCTCTTGTGTCCGTCAAAACTGCTGTATTTTCCAGGCTCACAACGGCATCTGCGGGGGCTGTCGCCGCAACTGGGGGAACTGGAGGAGCAGGAGCGGCGGCCATATTCTGACGGACGAACAGAACGAGACTAAAAGTGACCTCTATCTAGGAACTCACTTGGTTGATATAATAACGGATGGAGATGACAGACATTGGCCGAGCCTCGCCCCTGTATTGAGAGGAATGAATGAATGACTTGGCAAGCTGCATCCGGCTATGTAGGTACATGTAGTATTACGTGCCCCAGAATGTGTTTGGTCATTACAAAGCCCCCCACTGCTATCTGTTCAGACGGTCTTACGGTCGGTCATGCGCGATGTCCTGGCCTGTAGGGAAACTTGGCCCTAAAATGCTTCGCAATGTCGCGTCTTGTGGCTACCCAGACGCCTTCGTGCTCCTGGATGTATTTCATGAAGTTCCGCAAGGCTTCCGAACGGCCCGGCTTGCCAACTATGCGGCTGTGCATCGGGATGTTCATCATCTTGCCCCCTTCGCGATATAGCATGTCGAATGTGGCCTTCAGATACTTCTCATACATGTCGCTCCCCACGAAGCCTGTTGGGAAGGTCAGCCAGCTACAATCTGCCGATCAAGGGACTGAGAAAGCTTACCTGGACTCATATGAAACTTTCCGTCTGCCGACGGGTCAGTGCTGTCCTCTGCTTGGGTTACTGTTATGTTGGGGGAGACTTACCATTGCAATCATAGTTGTAGGGGATAATGAGCATACCCTTCTTCTGCTCGTCCGGAAGGTCTTTCTCTGCGGGTAGATCAGTCCAGTATGGCACGTCGTCATTGTACGCCTCCGAATTCCAAAGCATCTCGCTGCCAGCCTCCCTGAATGCCTCGGGGAAGAGTGCTTTCGTATTGGGGGTTCCCCGTCCGTAGTAGGCACCGACAGGCATCTCCCCGGACACATCCTTGAGAGCCTTCAAGCTCTGAACGATATAGTCCTTCTCCCTCTGGAGATCGTAGTCCCATATGTCAAGCCAGCGAAGGCCGTGCGTTGCCATCTCGTGGCCATCCCTCACACAAGCCTTGGCGAACGTCGGGTTGAGTTGCATCGCTTGAGCAACCGCGTACGTCGTCCACTGGTAGCCGAACTCCTTGAAGAGACGCAAAAGCCGCCAGGCGCCAACACGACTCCCGTATTCATACTCGGATTCCGCGTTGACATAGGGGGCGCCTTCCTTGAAGCCCCCTGATGCTCCTTTCTCCCATAGGTATGGCTCGGAATGCCCGTCGCCGTTATGATAGGTGCGCTCCGCTCCCTCTCTGCAGCAGCTGTGAGCATGATGACTCCAGCGCACAGATTCCACCTACTCATAATTCAGCACAAAGGACACGGCGATGCGGGCTCCATTTGGCCACTGGGGATCGAACGAGTCCTCGCCATAACCTGAGCACCATCAGAGACACATGGTATAATAAGCCCTTGGGCTGGGCGACTTACCCTCCAAGTCTCTCGGTATGTCGTATTTGGGATCGAGGTTGACCATGATGGCTTGTGGCTTGGAAGATTTTGACACAATGGTGTTCGTTTCCAACTCTGCTCGCCTGTGCTCCTGAGCTGAATAGCCAATTCAGCCACCTGATCTCCAAGTGCGAGATTCTTCAAGGCGCACGGGATCAAAATGGTTTCCATCCCACCGAGGCCGTCATCACCACGACGTACAAGTATGTAATGAAATTCGGGTTCGGTATCACGGCGAAACCATACAAGGGAATCTCCGTGGAGCTCCACCAATCCATCCCATGCTGCTCTTTCCCCTTGCAACATGCATCTCATCTCCAAATCCGTCTTATCACCGCTCACAATAATAATAATAACGTTCGTGATCCTGGCTGGCAGGCCTTTATCTGTCAGCTACAGCCACAACCGGCCAGTATCGTGGCTATCATAGTGGCTTCACCCCACGAACATCTTGTGAGCCACGACAATGTCTGTTTTTTCACTCGATGTGTCCAAGGATAATCCGGTGACTACGGACGACCTTGACCGGGCATGTGAAATTCTCGGAGTCTCTATCAAAAATGAGGAAAAGGCAGAGTATGTCAATCTCTTGGCTGTATACCACGATTCTATGGCCAAGTTGATGGCAGTCGAAGGTAACATTGATGTCTGTCCACGAAAATGGCGACAGCTAGCTGACTTGATAATAATAATAATTCTAGACTACATCCCACAGGTTGACCATGAGAGGTTCGAAAGGAGGAATGTTCGTTTTCCTGAGCCTGCTGACAACCCCTACGGAGCGTGGGCTTGGAGGTGTGAGATCTCCGATAAGACTCCCAATCCAAAGGCACTCCTTCATGGCAAGACGGTGGCACTGAAGGACTGCATTGCGGTCGAGGGCGTTCCAATGCTGCTGGGCACGAACTTCTTTTCCGACTATACTCCGAGCACTGATGCGGCCATTGTCACTCGTATGTTGAAACAAGGCGCGACCATCTTGGGCAAGTCGGTTTGTGAAAACCTGTGTCATTCGGCGACATCACATACAGCATCGACGGGACTCGTGCATAATCCATACGCAAAGGGGTATGCTTCTGGAGGTTCCTCGTCCGGCTCCGCAGTCTTGGTCTCTCTTGGCCCTGAGAATGGAGGCGTGGATTACGCCATAGGGGCAGATCAAGGCGGGAGCATTAGGGTCCCTGCGGCGTGGTGCGGTATCGTTGGATTGAAGCCAACCTTTGGTCTCATCCCCTGGACTGGCGCTGGCAGTAACGAGCCTACGAATGACCACATGGGACCGATGACACGCGACGTCCTCAGCAATGCCCGGCTGCTCAAGGCTATAGCAGGGACAGACTTTGTGGATGATCGGTCATACGGTGCTCCGGCACCGGACAAGATTCCTGCCTATCATGAAATTCTGATCGGGCAGCAAAAGCCTCAAGACCTAACAGGTATGAAGATCGGGATTCTGGTCGAGGGTCTCCGCACCCCTGCGCTCGATCCCCGGGTTAAGGAGTTGTTCCTCGCTGCGGCGGACAGGTTTCGAAGCTTAGGTGCAGAAGTGGAAGAAGTGTCCGTCCCTACACATGCGACGGCGAGTGCGGTATGGACCGGCATCTCGAAGTTGGGAGGCTATGTGAACAAGACACTGGCGCTGGGAGGCCGCAGAGGCTATCAACTCAACGATCTCAATCAGAAGCTATGGCCGATGACTCAGGACAAATGGGACAATGCCATCCCATCGACGAAAAACATCTACCTGAACGGCGTCTATGCCCAGGACATGCAGAAATTCCCGGGCTTGTTTGGTAAAGCAACAAATCTCTCCATCAAGGCGCGTCATGGCTACGATGCAGCGCTCGGTGACTGGTCGTCAATATCGACCTTTGTCACCGACTCCAAACTCGAAGAAATGAAGCAGCGGCAGAAGACATTCGACGTCTTGATCTTACCAACATTGCCATTCGTTGCCAAATCACACCCTGAGCTCGGCGAATCAGGGGCAATAGGCAATCCCTTGTTGCAGCTGCAGAAACAAGTCGGTCTGACCGGAAACACAGCTCCTTTCAATCAGACCGGCCACCCAGCCCTGGCCATGCCTGTCGGGATGCTTGAGCCTACCGAGGGACCCCTGGCGGGAACTCCAACCAAACTGCCCGTCAGCATGCAGATTGTCGGCAAATGGTGGGACGAGTTGACCGTGCTCCGAGTAGCATACGCGTGGGAGACTGCTGCTGGAGGTCCAAACGCCTGGAAAGAGTTCTAGACCACTCCCCTCGCTTTCAAAAGTTCCGTGCGCTCGAGTATCTTCGGCAGATGAACTGCACGAACGATGGGCTCGTCAGCACGAACGCCCCTCCTTCCAGCCAGGCAGCCAGCCCGCTTGAGCCTGAAACGATGTACATAGGCCTGGCACTAAACAGCGACCGTATCAGCAAGCCTCTCGGGAATTCCCACATTGGGAAGGTCCATCTCCACTTTGTCGAGGCGACTCTCCGTGCATTATCACTGTTTTGGCGGGGGTGGTCAAGCGTCTCTCAATGCCTCGACCGTCGCGCATATCCAGAACTCATGGTCTTATCATACCTTTTCTCTGCCTTACCTGTATAAATACCGCGCCTAAGAACCATATCGCCGGGGCCCGGTTGTCGTCTTACACTATCCGCCTTGACGTCCTCGCCGCAATCTCGCTGTGCAACGATGGACACCAAACAGGACCCCGAAAAGATCCAGACCATTCCCAGCCGCGACAGCGAAGAAATCATCAAGGAGTCCGTTGCGGAGCATGAAGTCTTCCAGATCACCGAGGATGGCGTCGACTTTCGAACCGTCACTTGGCCACGCGCTGCCATCGTTTTTCTAAAGATCCTCTTCGCTACCGGCGTCCTGAGCATTCCGGCCGCTATGTACGAGATCGGGGCCGTCGGTGGTGCTCTGGTTCTGCTTGGGTTCGGTATGCTGAACTGCTATGTCGGCAAGATCCAGGGCGATTTCCGAAACAAGCACCCTAGTTGCCATTCCGTTGCGGACATGGTGGGAGTCATGGCCGGCCCTCTGGCGAAAGAGCTCATCGGCGGGCTCTACATCATTGCCTGGGTCCTGTGTGCCGGCGCGGGCATCAACGGCACCAGCGTCGCATTCAACGCACTCTCCGACCACGGTGCCTGCACCGTCTGGTTCTCCTTCGTTTCTATGATCATCGTCGCGTTGTCGGCCTCGGTTCGCACCTTCCAAAACCTCGGCTGGGTCGGATGGGCTGGCTTCATCTCGATCTATGTCGCCGTCTTTATCCTCGTCGTTGCCGTCACCCAAGTTGACCGCCCAGCTGCAGCCCCCAGTTCGGGGCCGTACGGTAAGCTCCATCACAGCCTCTACCCTACTTATTAACCAACGACACCCGCGCGATTGAAAGAATGCTAAGATCTCGTCAATTGCAGACCTAGGATACCGCGCGATCGGCAGCACTTCGTTTCACGGCGGCATAGTCGCCACCACCACTATCTTCGTCTCCTCAGCCGGCACCTCCGCCTTCATCCCCGTCATCGCAGAGATGCGCCGCCCCCAAGACTTCAACAAGGCCCTCTACGTGTGCATGTCCTTCGTGACCGCCTCTTACATTACTTTCGCCTCGGTCATCTATGCCTGGTGCGGTGTCTGGATCACGGCGCCGGCGCTGGGCTCCGCGGGGCCGACCATCAAGAAGGTCACCTACGGCATCGGCCTGGTCGGGCTGATCGTGTCGGGCGCCTTCTACAACCACGTGGCCGCCAAATACCTGTTCGTGCGCCTCCTGCGCCGCTCCAAGCACCTCCAGTCCAACTCGCTCGTGCACTGGTCCACCTGGCTGGGCTGCACGTTCGGGCTCGCCGCCATCGCCTTCATCCTGGCCCAGGCCATACCCGTGTTCAACTACCTCGTCGCCATCACGGGGAGCTTCTGCTTCGCACCCCTCGCGCTGATGGTGCCCGCGTGGATCTGGATGTACGACCACCCGCACTACCGCCGGGGCAGCATCCTGCAACAGGCCTGGTACGCCGCCCACATCCTGCTGATGCTGTTTGGCGCCTTCCTGTGCGTCGGCGGCACCTACGGCACCATCCAAAGCATCATCGATGCGTATAAAAGCGGTACCATTGGTGAGTCCTCTCCCCCCCTTTTTTTGGGCTTTCCACCCCATGTTACTCGGTGATATAGTCGCGCTAACATGCATCCAGGTGGTGCATTTTCGTGTCAGGACAATTCGGGGACTGTGCTGGGGCACTAAGCGGGCTGTGTTCAAATAGTTTGATTCGAATGAACGTAAGGATGCTGGGCCGATGTGGGCTGTGCTTTGAGGGGTACTGTGCAGTGCAGTGCCAGTATCATTTCAACGAACCCTCATTCTTTGAAAAAGGTTTTGTTTTTCCCTTTGAGAATGATAAGATGCGAGCCAGAACCACGAAAGCTACAGTACCCATTGTCTCGGTTCTGCCATGGTATGTAACCCTTGTTCGATAATGGATTTGTAGCCTTGGCTTCCCGCGCCACATCTGCTTGTGACCGTCTCTGGGTGGCACCAGAGTCGAATATTCAAGCGGATATCTACCCGGCTCTAGTCCCTATAGTACACCTTCACATGCCTGTAGCAAAGCTGGTGTCTTTCAAGCCCGATTGTCACCGTCCAATCGCATCTTCCCACGTCTGCGCACCCGGGTTGTGAGGGAAAAGGGTGTTGTGAAAAAGATGATCTTATTGATTCATAATCCGCGACAATCATGCAAGTAAGTGTGCTGTCAATGCACCATCGCCAGCGAAGGCTGGAAGAGGTTGAGAGAAGACGCCAAGTTGTACCCCACCATCCGCACTCTGTGCCGAGAGTTTGTTTAGCCCAGCCCCAGGCAGTTTAGGCTTTATTTCAATGTATAGAGTAAACTGTGTGCAGACATTAGATCAGACCACTGCGCTAAAGAAAACTTTGCAAGAGGTCGGAATGACAACTAACAACTCCAATATAGCCCTCCTGATCGACGGGGACAATGTCTCGCCCAAAATCATCGCTGGCCTCATGGCTGAGATCGCCAACTATGGCGCTGCCAGCGTGAGACGAATTTACGGCGACTGGACGAATCCGTCCTTGAAGGGCTGGAAAGGATGCCTGCTAAACCACTCGATCACGCCAATGCAACAATTTGCGTATACGACCGGAAAGAACTCCACTGACGGCGCCATGATAATCGACGCCATGGACCTACTATATACGGGTCGCTTCTCTGCCTTCTGTATCGTTTCCAGCGACAGCGACTTCACGCGCCTTGCAACCCGCATCCGCGAGCAGGGCGTGACCGTCTATGGCTTTGGAGAGCGCAAGACCAATACCGCCTTTATTGCTGCCTGCCACGAATTCATATACTTTGACGTCCTTCACGTAGAGCCCGAGGAGTCGCTTGCTGCACCTCAATCAACGCGGACAGCCATGGCGCCGGTTCTGGCTCGCACACAGCTGACTCCGAGACCTCTAGATCCGGCGGCACTCCAGGGGTTGACATTGGCGGTGACCAATGCACCGATCTACAGCGACAATTGGGCCAACCTAGCCGACGTCGGCAGCTATCTGAGCAAAATCTCACCTGATTTGCGTCCACGCAACTACGGATATGAGCGTCTTCGAGACTTTGCGGAAGCGTCTGGAATCGTGGAATGGAAGTGGAAGAACATGGGCGACAAGCCTCCGCTTGTCCTCGTCCGCCTCAAAAGAGGTGCCCGGAGCCAGGACGGGCAACTGCTCGACATCGGGCCGGATCAGGTCAGATAGTGAGGTATCTATGGGCGTCGTTGCTACTTGCCAAGCTCAGTGGAATGAATCTGCCTTGCCAAGCTCCACCCAGACAGACTCGACACGTTGGACGGCGAAGCAGGGCGCAAACGTCTCATCTTCTACTGTGTAGACCGTCTGCTTTGATCAAGCGAATCCAATGGCTAGGCTGCGCTCTGCGGCTGCCGATCACAGCCTGGAACTTAGCGAATAATGTATCGCACGAGCGGGACAGTGGCCCCCAAACGGCCCCGTCAACGTTGAAGAACTCAATTGGAGGGCTGAAAGTTGGGCTAACGTCTAGCCCCAGTGCTGGGCATACAAAGCTTGACCTTGAGGTTTGATTCTTCTGCTTCGCGCCTTTCAGCCCTGTCCTCGCTTTCGTCTACTGTTGGTATGTTCGGAGAGATTCTTCCCAGCGACATGTATATTTCGCTACTGATTGACAGCGTTGACGGCTGTCTGGCATGTACACTGGATTTGCTTCCATGACATCTTGCTGGTATCGTCTGTGGGAATGGATAGCCGTGGGAAACCACTGCCGCGGCGGAAGCCTGTGCCCACGCATCCAGCTATTCGATTTGATGACTTTGACCTGCGGCCACTAAATCCTGCGTATCTAGAACATACGGGCACGAAGATACATCCTGCAGAACCTAGTGCAACGCAAAAGCCTGGCCTGGATGCGCGTGGTCGCCACGTCGAAATCCCACCTCATCATGCCTCTGCAATACAATTTTGGACGCCGTTCTTCCGCAGGCGCGTAGTCCTTGGAGGCTTTGCTGCCCTCTTTGTCGGCTTGATGATTGTCTTGGCCGCGCTTTATGGCTACTCTCAAGTGCATCAAGGCCTGAGCTCCGCCAATCAGAACAACTATTACCTTTGGACATACGGGCCAACAGCAGGTCAGCTTCAATCTCATGTCCTTTGGTATACCATGTTGACTTCGCCGCAGCATTCACCCCTATTGCCGCCTTCTGGGGTCAAGTTGTCTACCGAACACTGCAACTCGCGCCATGGGAGGCAATGGCTGCTCGACCTCAACCGGCTACAAAGAGTGTGAGCCTCGACTACATCTCTCCAATAAGCTTGGTAGCTCTCTACAAAGCAGCGAAAAACTTGCACTATCCTGTGTGTCTTGTACTTCTCAGCTCTCTTCTCCTCACAGGCATCACTGTAGTCTCTACAGGTCTGTTCTCCCTACAATACGCCGAGATAGTCACCCAAGGGGCTACACTGTCAACAACGAACAAATTTGACATCGCCAACTTCGATTGGTCTACCACAGATGCACGTCCAGCTGCAATTGTGTACGCTGCATTGGACCTCGGACTTGCATATCCTTCCGGGACGACGGCGCAATACGCTGTTCAGGATATCTTCAAAACTGGAGGTGAGAACATGCACCGTTCCTAGAAGACTCTTCTGGACTACACATACTAATTATTATGGTAGGTTCTGACGTAACTTTGGAGGCTACTGTCGACAGTTTCTCGGCATATTTGGAATGCGAACCTGCAAGTCTGACTGTCGTTAACGTCAGCGAGCTTGCTCTTGAAGCCCACCTGTTTCATTCCTCGGCATTCTTCACCTTCAACTTTACAAGTTCTTCCTGCACGGCCACCAACGAGACTCTTATCCTCCCGGTGTCATTCGATCTCAACACACCATATAATGTGACGAGTGACTTCATCTGGGGGTTTGGTCATCTGATCGATTGCATACAGGAAAGTCAGAGTCGAGTCCTTGTATCAGTAGGTACATGCCGCGCCGATGTGATCTGGAATGGAACGGATGCCGATGGTCAATCAAACCTTCTATTGCCTTGGAATCAGATGTTCAAAGTCATCAACTCCACCAATGTCTTCTGTACACCCAAGTACGAAATACTGCCAGCAAGAGTAAGCAAAATATCAAACTCGACTTCACCTGAGATCCTTGGAAGCATTACACCCCTAGGTCGAGGCACGAGTCTCCCTGGAAAGGGTATGGACATAGCTCGCGCTGTGTTTCAGTCTATCAACCAAAACACAAATTTGATTGAACCAATCACGTATGTGAATGGCACGGATTACACCAGCGATTTTGGAGAGTATGGGACCGAGGACACTCTGTTTGCGATCCTGGAGCGAGAAAATCCATTCTATGGTGACGTAATAGCCGCCGACGAGTTTTGGCTTCAATCCAATAACTTGGTACGCGAGACAAACGTCGTGTATGGATCTATTGCAGCTCAGGTGGCGGCTCAGAAGCTCCTCGTGGCGTCCACTGGAGATGTCATCGGCAAAGTGACATCGAATGAGCCACGTTTATTCGTGCGGACTTTTTCCTTTGCTTTGATGGAAGCGGGTCTGGGTCTAATCTCCCTGCTTGCGACATACCTCTCATTGAGGGTCCCAAAATCAATTTTGCGTCAAGATCCCGGGCCTATTGCTGGTATGGCTGCCATTTTGAGTAAGAGCCCGGACCTTATGGAGCTTGTTAGCAACACCGCGACGCAGCCCAGCACCGTGACGAATGCTCTGCTCCTAGATCATACGTACTATACTGATATGCAGCATGGCACCCCAAGAACCGGTGGCATTTGTGTCTCTAAGGGTTCTGCTCGTGGTGATCAAGTCAAAATGGCAGAACCGGAACCCAGAAACACGTCGATGACGTGGTGGCAGCCATTGATTCTCCGCAGATGGTCACAACCATTGGTTGTTTTGATACCTCTGATTTATGCTGCGATCTTGGAGATCCTCCTTAGAGTCAGTGAATCGAACGACGGCTTGCTCGGGATCGATAACAATTCATGGGTCCACTACGGCTGGACTTATATACCCGCTCTGCTGATGGTGTGCGTTCAAATGCTATACGCATCTGCCAGCTTCAGCATCAGGCTACTCAGTCCCTACTTCATGCTGCACCGTGGCTCAGCTCCAGCACCCATCAGTGTCACGGACCATGCAATCTCGAGAACACCCATACACGAGCTATTCGTCTCTGCTCGGCGAGGCCAAAAAGCTGTCGTTGTTATCACTGTCGCCATATTGCTCGCACCCTTGCTTACGATTGCCGTCTCTGGTCTATACAACCCTGAGACTTACGTGCAAAATGTAGGAGTGCGAGTGTTGACTGGCTGGAATTTCAACGCGGCGCACTTTTACCCAAATTCTACTCTGGTCCAGAACGTATTCGATCACATGAACGAATCCAATCCCGCTGATGTTACAATGGAGTCTTTGGGCATGCTAACGACGGATCTAATAGTCACAGCCAATCTGTCTTACCCAAAGTGGTCTTACGAAGAACTTGCTCTACCTGTCATTGAGGTCACGAGCAGGGACCATGATAATCAAATTGTTTCCTCTCAAGGTACTTCTTTCGAGGTTTCCTTACCGGCTGTTCGAGGCGCGCTTAACTGCACGATAATTGAGCGTCAGAACGTCGAAATCACCTACGCAACCTGGAATTCTTCCTTCACCACTTGCACATACAATTCTACCACCGACATCCAAATATGCCCCGCTGCGTACAATTTCACCTACGGGGCTGGCATGGCCGGAAATCGGGCTTGCCTCAACTCCCAGTCTGGCACGGACGGGTGCCGCGTTGCAATCTTCAGCACAAACACCTCCCAAGAACTCGGCGGTTGCACATTCCCCAAGGAAGTGGTCTTTTTGCCAAATGGTACCACGGACGCCCAAGGGTTTGGGTACTTCGCACCCCTCTACACAACACTGTACGGACAGAGCCAGACCTACTGTCCGCTTTATGGCGGGATGGTCGGCTCCACCACCTCCACCGAAGTCGAAGATTACACCTGGTTCGTGTGTGCAACAACCGTCCAACGCGTCACGGCACACGCAACGTTCACCCTACCCAACTACGACATAACCCAAGCCTCGGCCGACGAAACCACCGCCTCCCCCATCTCAGGCAACGCCACCATGGAAATAAACAACCTCCCCACCGTCTTCACCGGCGCCAACGCCGCTCTCCTCTCCGACGGCTCCGTCGGCTCCCCAACCGACGCCAACACGCTGCTGACCTTCTACGACACCCCGACCGGCCAGAATCTCGATAACTTCGTCTCGAGCCTCGTCCACGGCACCCACGGCGTCCCCCTCGCCCAGCTAATCGGCACCGCGAACCACCCGCGCCTGCTGGCTGCCGTCGAACACCTCTGGCGCGTGATCTACGCGCAGACCTTCCGCACCAGCGCCTGGTACCTCTCCGCCAACGCGCGCGATGTGGCGGCGTGGACGCCCGCCGAGCCGCTGGGCGCGACGGTCGTGGATCCCCGTGCACTGCGGTTGAGGCAGAGTGTGCTGGCGACGCGCATCTTGCAGGGTATTCTGGCGGCTGTGGCGGTCTGTGGAGCGCTGGCGTTTTGGCTTATCGGGTCGCGGAGGCTGTTGCCGCGTAGTCCGTCGTGTATTGCTGTTGTGGCGGGCCTGTTGGCGGGGAGCGAGATGCTGGGTATGGCGGGTGAGGGTGGGGAGAAGGGGGAGCGTGATGGGAATCGGTGGGAGGGCTATTTCTTTAGTCTGGGGTGGTGGGAATCGGTGGGCGGTGTGAGGAGGTTTGGTGTTGATGTTGGGAAGGCGGAGAAGATGGGCTAGTGCTCGCTCTCAGCTTGAGCGTCGCTTTTAAGCCCTGCGCAAGCTGGTTTGTCTTGATAGAAATATCTCGCTCCTGGCACTTCAGTCTCCACTGGAGGTGACGAGGCCGAGAACGACAGCAGATGCTTTTTTTTTGAGCGACCAGGAGGCCGAGCATCCACCAAGACAGAAGCGCGACCTCTCTAACATATTCCGCGGTGGTAGGTCTCACTATGCCGCTCTATGTGTCCGTGTGTCCGTTATTCTTGAGACCCGCGCTTCCGGTTCCTTAGAAGCGAGCCTCCTTCTGGGTTCAACCCATCACAGGATTAGAGCCCGAACGAGAGCCTCCCTAGTAGGCGAGGGAACGTCGTAAGAGCGGGCTAGAGTCGTAAGGGAGTAGAAGGGAGTAGAGGGGAAGGCAGAAAGAGAGGGAGAGAGTAGAATTCCAGAGGACCTGAATACTCGGATGCAATCACCAAATGTGTAAGCAAGTTTCACCTTCGGGATCCGGCAATGGAATCACTTCTCGAAACGTCGTTGGCCCGTCGTCCGTGCGAAATGAAGGCAGAGAAGATTCAAGCTGAACCACCCATGACCCATTCTTACAGAAACTATGATGATTGGTAGTGAATGGCCAATCAAAAGGGGATTTTCAGCTGCGGGATTGGAGGACAGGCTCGAACAGGGCACAGCCTAGATGTGTTACTCCCGACTTGATGTTTTGGCCCCATCATTCAGCCTTGAAATACCGAAAAGGGGAGTTGGTTATACCTACGAGAAACCCCACTGCCGAATTCGGAAAGATTTGTGACAACGCCCACGAACGCAGTACTTCGAATTCAAGATGCGGTGATAAGTCACCATGCATATATATATGCCCATACCATCCGCTCTGCTTGAGAAAGCGAGAGAGAACAAATTGACATTCGATATCTATTTCGCGAAGCAAGCAGCATTTCCAATCCCTATCCCCCCGGACCGTCCCGTTCAACCGAGCCTCGGAAAGATGAATATCAAAAGGTTCCACCTCCTGAATATCCCGCTCTTGCTAGTCAACGTCGCGAACTGCTTGACCGTTACATGTGACACCGGTGGCAACTTGGTCCTGACATCCGACTACGAAGTCCTCTCCAACGACATCCTGAGCAACAACTTCAATCCTCCCCTTTCCGATCCCATCAAGCTCGGTCCCACACAAGAACAACCGTTTCCGAGAATTGGAACCGCGGGAGCTTGCCTCCACAACGACTTCCTGTTCCGAAGCGCCAGCATCGCCCTGAGCGACGTGCAGGCCGCAGCGGCGGCGATCTTTTCTCAATGCTTCTTGGTTCCCGGGTTGACGGTAGCAACTGGCGGACAGGCTACTCTGACTTCGAACGATGGCAGTGGGATCACTGTCATTTTCGAGGTCGGGCCGCCTGCTCTGATATGTTAAGTGGCGCTAGACCTGAATGTGTCCAGGGTTGAAAGAGGAGGCGTAGGTGACGCTGCAAGATCGGACAGTTTCGAAATCAGCTTTTTGATTAGTGAAAACACGAGCAAGAGACATGTACATAACTTGAGCAACATCGTGACTCTGCACACCTTTCCGCACGTTGTCCCCGTCTTCACCGCAGTGGCATAGATGGTAATAACACAGATAGCTTATGAACAATGTGAAGTAAAAGCTTCCCTCTGACAACCCGAGCGTCAATCGTCTTGGTAATACACACGCCCTCGGGAAAGAGCGCAACGACATTCGACTTGCAGGTGTGATTAGTTCTTCGAGCTGTGGACCGTACCGCGTGCCCTTGGCAAATCCTCTCAGGAACGTGTCGACCATATTACGATAGATCAGGACGGGTTCATGGATAAAGCACCAAGGTGCGCCACGCATCAACGACGAGTGGTCATGGCGGTTATGACGGTTAGGACATAGATGGGGGGAGGGTGGTATGTTGCTCCACACCCGCAGGCTGGCTCCTGAACCTGCTATGGGAATAAGTAGAAAGTCAAAAGAACATGTACCCGGGGCTGTGTGAGTGGTCTCTAACATGACCATGTCTGTCTGTGACAAGTCATTACACCTTTACGTAGCCTTGCCAAGGCGACGGTGACGGACCGACGTTGTATACGGCCAGTCAGCCAGCCCCGCAGCCTAGGCGGGATGATCGCACTAGGGCTAAGGCAGACGACCACCCAATAGCCAAACACAGAATAGCACTGGCATGAATGGTAGGGCAGCGTCACCTTGGTCTGGAAGAAGGCTCCTCTTGGCGCGCATCTCCATGCAGCTCCGGGGCAGCTTCGGCTGCGGTGCCATGCCTGGGGTTTGATACGCGAGCGAACCTCGAATCAACAAAGCATGCGGCATCAATTGTCAGTCATTCTACATAAAAGATTCGGAAAGCAGCAGGCAAGGGTATCTGTATCCTGATTCTCTAGCCCAAAGCCCATTAACGTCGTCACAACTCGGCGCTCGCTTTCATATATGTAAATCATTCATTCTTCGGCCCACGCCCTGGGTCTCATCAATGGGGCTCACGGGGTTGCTGCCGTAGGCACCGCCCGACGGGTACGATGACCTCCCATTCAGCGCCGTCGCAGAAGAAGGCGGAGTACCTCCATGCATGGTGAGATGATCTGCCGATGACTCTTGTCGGTGGATGTAGCTCGGCGTTGGTTGGTACCCTGCACTGTAAGGCCCAGGCCGATCGCTCGGCAACTCTTGTGGATACTGGTGCACGGAATATTGCTGCGGAGGATGGGGCGAGGGGGTGTTTTGAGCTCTGTCAAACAGCGCATTCGATCTCGGCTGTGGTGGTGGAGCTCCATACCCGTCGTCGGCAAATGGGTTCTCGGCTACCCCGTAGTCGGCACTGGATGAATAGGCGTGCGATTGTGGGCGGACCCGGGTCGGGACAGGAGGAGGCTGATCAGGCGCGGAGTAGGCAGAGGAAAAGGCGGCGGCATTGGAGAAATCATAGGGGTTCTGGTTCGTTGGTGGCGGTGGATTTGGCGGTGCTCCTACTTTGCTGGGAGGAGGCCCAGGCGGCGGCGCATATAGCTCTTCCTCCTCTCTCCGGAGTGGACTCACCGGCGTAGGGATCGTGTTTTGTCGACGCGGAGGTGAGGAAGAGAACGGTCCGTGGTCAGGCGGCACTGACTGAGGCTGAGAGGTCTGAGCGTAGACATTTTGACCAGGGACGTGCTGCTGAGGCGCGAACATAGGATTCTGTTGAGGCTCTGGTTGCGGTTGAGGGCTAGGTGTTGCCAACCCCGTGGCTTTCCGAGCTTGCAGGACCGCTCTCTGATGTTTCGACATGGCGATGTTCAGCTGATCATTCGTCTCGATCAGTGTGAGCGTCGTGTCAGGGTCTGGCGCCGGATTCTGGGCATTCAGGTATGACTGGATGCTCCTCTGCATCGTCTTAGCTCGATCCGCAAACTCTTTGACCAGGTCATTCGCCAACAACTCCGCCTGAGGGGTGGACTGGACAGTCTGGACAAGCAGTCGAGCCGTCGTCTTTGCTTCTTCGATCCGTCCGGCCAACTCTTCGGGGGGTGGAAGTATGTCCCGGCGTCTAGACTGTTGCTGGTGGTAATGGCCGGCGTAGGCGCCAGGGGTTTGGTGCTGCTGTGGGGACGATGATCAGCTTTCGTTCGCGGAATAGACATAGAGACATTGTATCTTACCTGAGGGCGAAGAGCGTTTCGCTTTCCCTTCTCCTTCTTCCACATCTCCATCAGCGGCCCAAGGCTATCATTTCCAGGCGCTTTCTCGAATTCAAAGTAGTCCAACGTCTCCCTGAGTATCTGCTGCACGCTGGTGTCCTTTCCTTCCCGCAGCAGCTCTTTCACCGTCGCGACAAACTTGTGGTCGAAGTTTTGAGTGAAGGCGTGGGCGGGATTGTCGGTCAGGATGCGGGTGAGCATGACGGCGTTGTACTGCGCAAATCCTCTTTGGTAGTGATCTTTGCTCAGGTATCGTCGAATGGTCGCAGCCGCCTCCTTCGCCGCCGTAGGGCTCGACTCGGCGGCATCGACAATGGCTGGCAGGTGGAGGTATTCTTCGCCGGCGGTATCAGAATTGGGGGCGCCTGATTCGCAGAACGCTGTCTGGACACGGGCTTTTAGCTGGCGATAGACGACAAGATGGAAGCTGTAGAACTCACGACTTCGCGCACCACGACAGCCTCGGGCGAGTCGCCTTGTGGCAGAACAAAAGTGGTGCTGCTCCCATTCCGCTCGGGACCTGGCGCAACCATCTCGTCAGCCTCAGTAGAACGGGACATGGTGGGGGTTATCGCGCATACTCGAGCTTTTCTTCTTGATGTTTCCCAGGAACTTCTTCATCGCGGCGGTTGACCTCTGACTTCCACCGTTTGATCCTCGTCGCTCGTCGGGTCTGCACTGCGGTGTGCGAATATGGGATGCGACAGGATGGAGGACTCGTAGGTCAGCGTGCGGCAACAGGCGGCGTGAAGTATTATGCTTTTGTGGCCCAATATGCAGGCTGGATTATGGGTATGCAGGAAGTGGTTGGGGCAGCACGGGCAAGGGACAAATGGCCGATCTCCCGCAGAAGCAACTACTGCACGGCGCCGGGGTTTCGTCTTCCGCAGCTCGGGAGCAAATCTCGAAAGCCTGGAGGCTGTGTGGAGAAGTTGAAGCAAGGGACAGAGAAGATGTGAGATCTGATGAGAGAGATGGTTTAGTACTTGAGGCTGCGATGCATCTCGCGTCTGCTGGGGTCTTGTAAGATGGCGAAAGCTTTGCCGGCCGCGTCTCTCTGCCACTCTCGCACCCACGACTCAGCCTTAAGACGAGCAGAATGAATGAGAATCTTTGCCCGGTCAGCCGCGCACTTTGGCTTCTTGGAAGCTTGGGGCTTGCACAACCTCTTCGTCAGCAACCGTCTTCCGATTCCGAGCGACGCGATCTACCACAGGCATTTCCATTGCCAGAACAGCGTGGATATTGGGCAGCGATGCATCCCTCGTCACCCGCAGCTCCTGGATTCCCCCAGCTACACGCCGCATTCTTCCATCCCACCACCCAATACATCTTGCGCGGCACGGTGCAAGTGGAACGAGGCTGTGTCACTGAATGCACATCATCTGGTTGCCCCCAAGAGCCTAGAAAGTCTGTATCCCGGAACTCCTCCACCATCTCTACCTTCTATACGTAAGCATCACATCGTCATTCTCGCCACCCGTTGGCCACTCGCAACGACCCACCGATAGAGTGCGAGGTGACAAGTACTTGTAGATCTAAGAGGAGACCAAGGAATCTAGGTGTTTGCAACAAGAATTGTACTCGTAATAGCCATCTATGTTTGCGACAGTCCCTCCCCACCATCAGCGCCAGGCCGAAGCATTCAATACTATCCAGGCGCCTGAGCAAAGCACATGTTTTCCTTTGCTCGTTCTCTACCTCTCCAAGCTACCACGTAAAGCTCTCCTCATTCAACTCCAAATTACCCTGGTGTATCCTGCTCCTCACTGCCGCCCGCACCTCGTCTGCCAGCGCTCCCGGCCCACAAACACTTACCATTACAGCACCAACTCTCACCGGAATCACCTCATCTAGCACAGCTCCGGGATCAACTCTGCCCTGAACAATCTGCATGGTGGGCTTGCTCTTGCTGTGGTTGATCGCTCTCGTCGGTTTACTCACATGCACTCGGATCATGAGAACGTCTCGCCGGCCTTCCATGTGTAGAATCTCGTTCATCCACGGCTTCACCCACTCCATGGACTCGGTGTCGCGGATCGACCAGACAAGCACAATCTTTCGGGTGGCCACGGTTTGCGACCGTGCCCCTGCTAGGAGGTGTCGGATCTGAATGAGATGATGGGTGATGCCACCGCCTCCAGCAAACATGACAACCGTACCGTAACTGACAAGCGAGTCATGTCCGGCATATGGGCCTTCAAGAAACCCCCGTAGTTCAAGCTTGCATCCGGGAGCAGCGCGAGCCTTCCTGTAGAGTTGTCTCGTCATGCCAGTTCGTGCGACCATGATCAGCGAGACAGTCGTGGGTGCCTTTGATGGTGAATGGAAAACTGATTGCCTCTCCAAAGAGTTCGGGCTTGATGGTCTTTGCAATTCAAAATTGTGGCCACAGACGGGAGGCTCAGACTCGACATTCGTCCATGCAACGGAGAATGGATGTGACATCCAAAGCGAGATCGATGGGAGGTATGCATACATGTGACTGCCGGGCCGGATCGTGATGCGCCGCGGTAGTTGAAAGGTGACACGGCATGCATCACCTGGTAACGCCTCCACGACAGTAGTTGTGGTCCCGCCTGATCGGGAGTAGTTAAGATATGCAATGCTGCCCAAGCGCCAAATTCTCTCAATGAACAAAAGCAATACAGCCGTCAAGATGGAAGGATAGGCGGGCAGATGCATGATGTCCAGATGGACATATACCCCGAGCAGGGCCAAAAAAGCCAGGCTTTGGTGAAGGTGAAGAAATGTTTCGTAGAAGGCATGTCGAATGGGTGACAACGAATGCAACGGCAACAACACTATCGCAATCAATCCTAAAAGGCCGTAATCGAGGAAAGGAGCGCCATGAAAGATTCTGATTGTTGCTTGGTTCCCCTTAGCCAGCTTGTAGGCAGCCAGCCACGCGAAGAAATGAATGGCTGATAAAGCGGCCACAAGCCTGCCGATCCAGCGATGGAAGAGGTTGAATGTGTCGAAGCTGACCCTCAGGAGCGGGATTGCGAGGTTGTTTCTGCCCGCGAGCACAATAAGAGGGATGAGGTTGACGGTGGCCAAGATGCCGCTGCGTCCGCGTAGCTCCGCGTACAGCGCCCCCTTCTGTGGATTGCCCCAATCGAGCAGGAGACAGTAGATCAAGTTGGTGATGGCATAAATGATGAGGAGCAGAGAGTGGATACGGCTGGGCAGGGTGCCGTAGTTGACCGCACCAGACAGCTGGAACTCGCGATTGTGTCGTTTCTTCCAGAGTGGAGCATAGATGATATGCTTCTTCAGCCAGCTCCAGATTCTGAAGTGATCCACACCATAGTAGTTTTGTTGGCAATGCTTTTCTGTAGTCATACAATAGATGTTCCGGATGTAGGATACAAACAACTGTGATAATCGCAAAGCAAACACAATTGTGAGTGCGGCGATGATAGAAAGCCACAGCATTCTGACCAATTGAGCATCCATTTCCAGGTTGACTCCGTTTAAGCCGGTGTAGAATGGAGAGACGGTGGGGGGATTGCCACCAGTCACCACAAGGTTGGAAAAAGTGACAGTGGGCTTGGTGCTGTTGAAAGCGCTTCGGGCAGCTTGGAGACTCATGTTGCCATCCGCTAGATCCCGTCTGGAGTGATGGCCCCGATGCGGGTTGATTTGGTCATTTGCATAGTTCCGCAGTAGGTGCGAGGCAGTGTCAAGCACGTTGGAAAGTGAACGGCCGATTTTGTCCATTTTGTTTCGGTCTGATCTGGTTCGAAGAGATGGGTTCAGGTTTCGAGATGGATGTTTGTATCGTGCCTGGGGGGTGAGCAGACGATATGGGACTTTTGTCTCGAGTCAATGAATTCCGTGAAAGAGAACTTAGCAGTCGTCTCTCAACTCCTTCAAAGAGGGTGTAACAAAGCAGTTCTTTGAACTTCAACAATTACGTTGTCTCGAAGAATGAAACCACCACGGGAAAGGCACAAAGAGCGGACAAAAGGAAATCACCTGGTTTTGTATACTCATGACCATGATGTCTCAATCGCTGACACCCGTTGACGATTGAATAACTGCCTCAATAACACTGACGTTCACATGACTTTTGGCGCCACTGGCTGCAGTAGTCTGGCCTATCGCTCAATAACACAGACTGATTGAGCGTTATTGAGGCGTGCCAGGCAGGTCTCCCGAGACATGCTGCTTCTGACCCTCTTTCACCGTTTAAGTCAGGAGGGAACGTGTTGAGGCATGTTTCGTAGGACGAGCGACGAAAGGACAGGATGATGGTAGCTAATTGCGGTGGTCCCAATCTGCCAAATTAATTCGTGGGTTCATCCCTAGAGATTTTTTCACCCTGCTGACAGAGACAACTGGCCTGATAACTCATGAGGCGATCACTGGAACATGTCAGAGTCAGAAGCATGGCAGAGGTACCGGTAGAATCGCCTGGCCTGGGAAAAGTCACTGTAGCAGGTTGTGGCGGAGCAAATAGCTTCTGCCGTACAACAACCCATGTCGTGAAGTTGTGTACTGATGCTCAGCAGCCTTCAGAGAGGCTGGAACCGCCGAGACAGAAACAAATGAGCTCAATGCCGTTTGCAGTTGGTATATGTGGTCAAGATGGAGGAAAAGGTGCAAGGAGCTGCGGCAAACTTGCCAAATGTTTCTAATGACGAGAAAATTCTGGCCATTGGTGTGTCATTTCAACATCCTCTCTGCCCTGGCTTTTGCCCTCTCTTTGCGCCGTGACGTGAAGTGAACGAGAATACATCATCTTGCGGTCTAATCAAACCCCCTCGGATGGTCTAGACAAAGATAAAATTGAGCAGCTAACCTCTTCTGTTGTTTCTCCGTCACCGTCCCATCCACCCTCCATCGATGGTCAAGATTTCACCACTCACGTACCGACTCGCGTCGCTGGCCAAAAACACCACGGCGCCCTTGAAGTCCTCCGGCGTCCCCCATCGTCCCGCGGGGATCCTCTCGAGAATCTGCCTCGCTCGAGTCTCATTTGCGATCAATGCCTCATTCATGTCCGTATCGATGTACCCCGGCGCAATGGCGTTGACGCTGATCCCCTCCTTCGCCCACTCGTTGCTAAGCGCTTTCGTGAGTTGAGCCACGCCGCCCTTGGACGCCGCGTACGCTGGCACGGTGATGCCGCCCTGGAAGGTCAAGAGAGAGGCTACATTGATGATTGCTCCCCGTGACTGTGACGGTGAGGTGGGGGCAGGTTTGGACAAGAGATAGGCGCCGAAGTCGCGGCATAACGTAAATACCGTTGTAAGGTTGACTTGTAGCACCACGTTCCAGTCATCCAGAGGAAACTGGTGGGCAGGATGTCGTTTTTGAATCCCTGCGCAAGTGATCAGGATGTGCATATCATGGCCGGCCTTCACCAAGTCCGGGATGGTCTTGGAGACGGACGTCTGGTCGGACAGATCAGCTGTGACTATCGTGGCCTTTCTTCCCAGTTGTTGGATTTTGTTGTATGTGTCCTTGTTTTTTTCGTCGCGCTATTTCAGCCCGTCGTAGTCAGCATGAATTCACAGATGAGGCGGACTTCGAAACCAAGGCCGCAGTCTACTCCGCAACCATCAGGTTTCTGCCTCACCTGGATGAGAATGATATCTGCACCAGCTTCAGCCAGAGCGATAGCCATGGCTGCCCCAATGCCTCGACTGCCGCCTGTCACCACGGCGGTTTTGCCAGCAAGCGAGAACATCTTCGTTAGCGCTTCCATTTTGTTTGTGGGTTTACAGCAAGTCAGGATCAAAATGCGCTGGTTCTGCTGTTCCACAGGATCTCTTCCCACGACTTTCTCAGCAGGAACCGGATCTAGAGAATCTGCCTCGCTTTTGAAGGATGCAGAATCCTTCTCGATGCGACTTTCCCTCTCCCAGCGCCTGGGGCTTCACTGAGACAAAACTAGTAATTCACGGCGACACGGCCGGCTTTTCAGAATCATAGTCGATCGGCAAATGAAGCTAGCTAGATCAATTGCCGACATGAGGGGCAGATGGCTGATTTCCCCTGACTCTTCCCCAGCCTTGTCCGGCATCGGCGAGAACGACGATAGTCACCGGCGCGGGGAGAACTGGTACGGCTACGACTGGAGAGGATAATAATTTCATACTTGTCTTATTGATACGTCTATCATCATGGCCCTCTTGGCTCACCCGCATCTTGTCCGCCTGGCAGTCTGCTCAACATTTCGTATGACGCGCTCGATCACAACAAGATCGAAACTGCTGTCGCCTCTGGGTCCATCACATCATAGGGCTTCGTCTGATCGTCCATGTCTCTGCTGTTCTTCTTGAATACATCTGCCAACTGCATCAGATCCGCATACAGCTGTGCAGCTGCAGTCGCAAGCTGGGTCTGGTTGTTCAGCGTAGCGAGCTTGGCCGTAGAGAGGGCAAAATTGAGCATGTTCTGTTCCTCGGCCACTCGGTAGCTGAGGAGATAGGGGACGTGGGAGGCCAGAAGCCATTCACGCGGATGCTCGATCGGATACGCGGCAAGCAAGTCTTTCTCCTCATATGCCTTGAGATCGTCGAGATTCTTTGGCAACGTTGAGAATAGAGCCGAGGGCTTGCTGATAACGAATGTCTGGTAGTAACTCTGAAGATAATTGATGGCGGTGTGTTGAGGTGAAGCGATATGAATGCACATTGTGACGGCGTCGACGAGGGCTTCAAAAGTTTTGATGGCGGGAAAGGACTTCAACTGGCCACCATCGTCACCCTGCATCTCCTTTGTCCATTTATCAATCTGCTCGTCTTTCTCCACCTGTTCATCCGATTGGATGTCAGTAGCAAGAACCGCCGAGACGAACTTGCGGAGCGTCTGCCACATGAGAATCATGTTCCGGGCATAGGCATAGTTGTGAAACTTCGGGTTACTGGCCAGTTCACTAGGGGGGAAGCCTCTCGCCGTGAGATCGTTTGGCACGTATTTTCCGGTCCAGTCGAAGCGATTGTACGCATCCTTGATGAAAGAATAAAGCTGGGGATCCGTGACACCCACTATCTTGACGATAATGTTCGGAACGAGGGTAGCCCGAGCTGCCGCATTGACTGACAAGGTTTTGAACCAATGAGGTTGAAGAAGGCGATACACCGGGTGATCCGTCGAAAAGGCGCGATGAGCTGCAACAATGGTGACCTCTTCCACCAGATGGGTATTGACCAGGTGCACCGTGACTTCGTGTCTCAGCCAGTCAGAGACCTGGGCGCATGTCTTTGCATACCGCCATGGCCAGTCGTCTTTGGACTCTGAGGCGGACGGGGTGGATCGCCTGTTGAATATGACCACAGAGTCCGCAAGGCTGCCCTTGTAGTCAACGACTATCGCCAGTGGATGAAAAACGCCTGCGTCTGTGAGTTGAAAGAGAGTCACAGTAGCGCACAAACGTCTCATTCCGTCATTTGAAATCAAGTCTGCGTGCTGCTCTGCCCCGACAGCGGATCGGAAGTAACTACAATCTTGGACGTAGAAGGATTCGGGGTTCCCACTCGACAGAAGACTATAGATTTCGGTGTTTGACTGGGCGGCATCGGTAAAGCCCTTGAGCCATTCGGGCGATGCCTGTTGAATGGTGGTTGGGTTGGTGCCCACGAATTGCTGTTGAGCAAATACGGCATCAGTCCACCAGTCAGAACGATTGCCAATATTCTCCTCGTCAAAAACATCTTCCTTGTTACTGTGGAGCTCGTTGTTGCGGGCCTCAATAGCATCAACTGTGGCACCCTCCGGATGGTCGTGGATGAAGTCAAGGATAGTGTCCGGAATGAGGGTACCGACGAGAGTTCCGGTATCAAGAAGCCTCATGAAGTCAAAAATCTTGAGCAAGTTAACCTGGTCCACTTTTGGAATGACGTCCAGATGCGGTGGATAGTTGTCACTTCCTGGCTTCTGAAAGGTGTAGAGCTCCGTTGGCTTGACAGCGAGGCCCAATGGGACACTGGTCTCAAATCCAGCTACGTCGAAGAAGGATTCGAATCTGTGTTCATTCAGCATTCCTGCCACTTGAGCAGATATGGGGGTCTCTCGAGATACCTTGTTTCAATGCGCTTCATTATTTGAGTCAAGGCCAGCTTGGTTCCTCGATAGGTACCAGCCTGGAGCGGAGGAGGCTTCCCGACATCTTTTGGAGGGGTGATCTTTCTATCTGTGTCGGCAGCAGAGATATCTCGTGGTACAATCGATTGTTGCAGCAGCTCTGAGGTAAATGCTCCCTCGTCCCAGCCAGACTTCAGCGGAATGGCAGTGACAGACTTGACCGGTGGTTGAACGCTCCCCATAGTGGATGCTGATAAAGACTTCTTCTTAGGGATGCAGGATAGAGATTGAAAGAAATGCTGAATTCTCTGTAGGCTTCGGTGGACGAGGTCTTTAAATGCATCTCGAGTGCAGGTGAACGGAGGTCTGTAAGGTTGGTGCCGCTCTGTTCTAGACCTGGAGATGGACAGACAGGACTGTGAGGGTCGAGAAGGAGGAGCAGAGGCACTGAGTCCGACTTGAGAATTGAGTGAAGCCACAGACTCTGCAGGCGAAACGTTCGTGTTGGACGAGTCCAGCCGCAGCTGAGGCTGCACCTGCGATTGGTCCATTTGGCTGCAGGGGATGTGCAAGCGGCTTCAGCGCAGGCCTGGACACGAACTTTACACGAACTTCTCGCCCTGTGTCAGCTCCACAAACTCTTGTCGCCTCACCAATATGGCGAAATCGGTGTGCTGGACTGAAGCATGGCCAGTCAAGATTGCAAGGTTGAGTGTCACAACGCTTCTGACTTTCCCATTAGACTTTGCTGTCTGTGCTTTCCACATGTCAACTGATCGACCCTTCCGCAGGCTCTCGACCGTGAACGACCTCCGACCTCAAACCAGCAGTTACTACTGTGCGAACTCTTCTCCCTTACTTCGTGCTTCTACATGCTGCGGCTGAGGTGACAGGAGACGTGCTTACAGGTGCCTGTGTAACAACGGCAATCAGGCACCCACCCTCCAGGGGACGGACAGTTGCAGACGAAGAGCTGGGCTTTTTCGTCGACGCACCATCAACAGAGCCAATCTCAGTTGAATGATACTTGCCTGCCCGCCCTCACAGTCTCTTGCTCTTGCTCGATGCTCGCCAACGTTGACGGAATCGGGACAGCCTGCTGAGGCCCCTCGTGTCCCAGGACGGTAGAGTGAGAATCACGAAGAGTTTCGATAGTTTCCGTTCAGGATGAAAGCCTCGTTTTCGGATGTCATCTTGGCGAACATGCTACTTCACACCGGCCAAGAGACTGGACAGGGTCCATCACACCTCTTCCAAGCTTGGAGACTTGGTGTTTAATTTCCTCGGGTGGCACAGAACGCCTTGCTTGACGTACCCTCCTCCCAAGGCTGGTACAACTCGGTAAGTGGTCAACTGGATGACGCTTTCATATGTAACTCCTTGAACAAGAAGCACCCATGACATTCGGCATTAACAACAGTCTCTACCAATTGGTGTACTTCGACGTGAGTATATGCTTCAGCCTGAAGGAGTAGGAGGGGTTGCGTCCAACTTTTCTGCAGTCTCTATCCTCCCCCCAGCCTTATGAGATTTGCCTGAACCCAAAACTAGGCATCCAAGACCTGGCGTCTCGTATCAGGATCAGCCCTCCTTGGCCTTGCGGCAACCCTGTTTCTCAATGGTCCTGGAATACGACGGTGTGAGTGGCACCAGGCACTGGACCGCCAACAACCTGACAGTTTGTCAATTCGAATTGCTAGCAGCCCCGTTATTGAACCCCTATAAAGGCTGCTCATCATGGCCTTTCTACTGGGCCAGCAACCTGATTTCTCGTCTTACTTTCAAATTCCGGCCTGTGACTCTCACACATTCCCTTACAACCCAAACAAGACGCCATGCCTATCCCACACTACGGCGTATGGAAAGGCTTCCCCGTTTCGTACCAAGTTGATGGACCGCACGACCGCACTCCTCATATCAATCTATCCTTCAAAGATGACAAGAATGGAACCATCGAGCGGAAGGCAGCAATCAATGTCAAGTCGCAGGGCCACCCAAACGAACTTGTCTATTGGTTCGACCATAATTTCTCCCACCCTCTCACCCAGGACCTCGCACGTTTAGACTACGGCTTCCACGCCATTGGGTCCCGTGACCGTGACACACGCGACCTTGCACTCGACTATACCCGGACTCGCAGCCTGCTCCGAATCCCCGATGGGAGAATCTTGCCATTTCTCGAAGACGGGCCTGACAATGACATCCTCGATCAACTCCGACCTATCCTCGACGAGGCTATCAGTAACGAGGCAGAAATCTACTTGTACGGCTCGTCCTTCGGCTCTGGCATTCATGACGTCCATATGAACCAAGGAAGTGTCGGGTTTGACAACGGCGTGCGACAAGACGGAGCATTCTTTCTGCAATTCCCGGATCTCCATTGGGAAGCGGTGTTTCTGGCCTTCGCTTCGCAGCAGATTCCAACCGATGACCGAAATGGGCAGCCAACGCCTGACAGCACATCGCTGCAGAGAATCATCGGAAATCAAGGGCGCGCTCGTCTCTGAAGGGTGATCCCACGGATCATAGGACTTGACAGATGGGCTTCTAATGGATGGAATCTATAGGTGACCAGCGGAAAGTTTCGAATAAACAATTGCCAAAGGGTTGAGACTGTATCTAAATTGAAATATATCAACAGTGGTGCGCGCTTATCGAATCTTTGATCAATGTTCCATGATGCCGAATCTCCAGACATCCTGTAACATCCTTGTCATTCGCACGTAGCCACTTGGCCCTGCGGGCGATCCAAGATTATCGTGTTTGAATCAGTCTCTTATGTTTCAGACTTCCCCAAAGTCTCCAACATGGCTTGAGAGGGCGCCTTCGTCGCCGGGAGGCACACCTTGCTTTCTTCAGCCGTGATTCAGCAAGTGAGGGGGATGAGCAGACGAATCTCACTGAACATCTCTGAAGTTCTTTCTGATCCAATACTTACCAGAATCCTGTATCCTCTTCGGGGTAGCTGGCGTTATTGAGCCACTGCGCCAAAAACCAATGCAACGAGGCTGCCACCTGGAGAGGACAAGGCTGATGAGATTCTGCCGCCCACCTCTTGTCATTCATGTGACTTGAGACCCACTCACCAGTGCTTCGATGATATATTTTATTGTCGTCAAATTTCTGTCGCCGAGGGGACTGAAGAGCGGAACCGAGGCAGGCTTTCCGGCAGTAACCACTTGAACCCCTTCCAGTATTCGACCGACTTTCTCATACTCAGTGAGAATGCGTGCGTCGGAGACACGGTTTAAGGAGGTGTCCCCCTTCCAGTATCCAGCCTCCTTTCTCATTGAGATAGCGCTGGAGAGACGGGCCCTAGTTGCTGCCATCTAAAAAACCCACCTTCGTGGAGGGGTTTCTTGGGTCGAGGCTCGCCTTGAACTAAGTTTTTGCCTTTTTGTTGGATGCTGGATGAATTTTTTTGATTTTTTTGGTGTGTGTGCGTGTATGTGTTCGTAGGTTTAGTTCCCTTTCTGAGATGAAGTAAAGGAAGTGAAGTGGTGGTGGAAAAGGTGCGGTAGCGGCGGCAAACGCAGTTGTGCCTGATGAATGAATGTCAGACCCAGATCCAAGACCTTCACGAAACAAACTCTTTCAATCCATGATCCCTATAAACCTTGTCTCTCAGTACCGAAACAAGTTGAAGCCTCTGATTCCTTTCCCTTCCGTGTCCGAGCCTGAAACGTGGATCTCGGCAGCGGCGAGAGAGACAGTCGCAAAGAGAGTCAAGGCAAGTCTCAGTGAATAACGCACCTCGCTGCCTGCGCATCGAAGCTCTCCTCTGACGGTGAATATATAACGCGCAGCATTTAACTGACATTCCTTCTCCCTCAACAGCAGCAACACTCTGAGGATCATTCTTCGTCCAATACTATCATAATGTTCGAATTCTGCCGCAAGACCGGCCGCAACTTGTCCACCAACAATGAGCTCCCCCTTCCTATCGTCAAACAGAAAACTGCCTCGGGCAAATCTCTCCTCAAAGCACCTCATGCACGACATCAGTATGGTCGACACGCTGTAAACATCGCTTCGAAGGCCGCATGCCGTCGTCGCTCCAATCGCCTCGTGTCTGAATGGTCAGGAGTCGGAACAGCGGTGCTGTTGGCACAAGTAGAGGAGATTTTCAAGCGGCTATCCGTGGCCCCAGTCGACAATCCTCCAAACTCGGTCACGCCACACGGCTTTGTTGAACAAGGCTGTCCTGCGACGCTCTCTTCTTCACCGATCCCACAGCCCCGGAAGTTTCTCGTGCCAAAAGGTTCGGCTCGAGGGTCTTCCACCTTGGTGATTCCATTCCTCCACTTCCCCGCCGAAATTCGACTCCAAATCTACAGCAATTTTCTCTTCACCACCCCCGAGAAAGTATGGCAGCCGTGCGATCGAAAGGAGCAACACGAGAGATTGCTTATCAAGGTATCAAGAAAGAATCTCAGACGTGTATGCCACCAGATCAGTGGAGAATGGGACCCGCTCTTTTTCTCGAACACAACCATTACCGCGAGAAACCTGCATTCTGACTGGGACTCGCTCTCCGTGCCCAGCATAGGACAAAACAGACCCTTGACGAACTTTGCGGATATGTGGCACAAAGGCGCTGAAATGATTTACAATCTTCCCCAAACGCGCCCCATGGGATCTGAATTGCTTCGACAAAGCTTTCTCGAGAGGCAGCCTCATTACAAACTGAATCGCATTCGAAGGCTACAGTATGTTATCAGCGGTTCCTCTGTGGATTCCATGGACTTGGAAGACTTGAAATCCTTTGCACGAGTCATACAGGGCACCGGAGAGGAAGCTTTGCAGTGGCTTGAAGAGGTTGCGATTTGCTACAGACCTCTAAACCTTGTGGGGGGCTACGTGACGGTGGACAATGTGTGGGGGAAATGCAGTGAGTGGTCCAACAAATGGGACAAGGTTAAATCCCTTTTCCAGCCAGGAGACGAACTTGGGTGTTTTAGAGAATGGGCCATCATACGACGCATATGTTTCGACAAGAAACTCGTTCCTAGCTATCGCACCGCATTCAATCCAGGCGTGAAGGTCTACGAACTCCAATTAGTCTTTCGCAAGTCGCAGCAACCTACAGCAGCAGTGAATTCGGAATGGATGGAGCTTCCTGGCGATAGAGCGATGGACCTCTCGGGATGGACTGTTAGTGCTTGAAGGAGAATGGTCTGTGGGAAGGAAGAATGGGACTGGGTTAGGGAGGTCGAACGGCGTGGGAGGATAGATTCCAGCAGGTTCGTGAGCCGCTTTACCGCAGAGCAAGTCTCTAGCAGGAGGTGAAGTATTTCTCAGTTATCAGTTCGGCGACGAGAGAGCCCATAGAGCAATGAAGTGAAATTCTTCAACTCCAGTCCACGCACTGGCAATGAGCATCCGTATTTACTCCACGAAAACCATTTCCTTCACCGACTTGAGCGACAAGTGAGAGAAAGGTCAGTCTAGCAAGACGCAGTATTTGCACGATAGAGTGGTTTGAAGAAGAAACTGCTGAAGTAGTGAATTTCTTCTAACTAACATTAACTTTAGTACTCCTCCCTACAACCACCAACTGTTGGACTATCTCGCCCTCTCCCACCTTTCATCTTCTCGTCAACTCCTCAACCTTTGCCCCTTTTCTCACACCTACACTTTAATACTCAGTTCACGGTCCTATATCCTCGAAGCCCCCAACTCGACAGCCTCTCGAACTTCTTTTCCCTGCGTCACCTCGAAGCGCACTCACATCGTAATAATCAGTGCTGAGACAAAATGCCCAAAGTCGAGAAATCCACTCCTCCGAAAGGTCGCACCAGGGGTGGTCCTTACGAACGGAGGGAAGCAGCGACAGAAACAACGACAACCAAAAAGCCGTCGCAGGAGAAGAAGCCCTCGTCACTGGCGCGGGAGACACCAACTGATCTGTCTGAGGGGGAGGGCCAGAAGAAACCACTTTTATTCCTCGATCTGCCGACTGAGATCCGCCTCAAAGTTTACGAAAACTTCACCTCCATCCCGCCGAAAACAGACGATAAGGAAGGGAAGCTGGAGAGGTCCAACGTTATTCGAACCAGGCATTCCCTCCAGCTCACATGCCGCCAGATCAACCGGGAATTCTTGCCTCTCTTCTACGCTACGACTACTATCATCGTGCGGGGCGTTTCGATGGTTCCTGTCAGGGGACCGCCCGAGCAAAGGAATGGTCTGAGACGCATCCCTAGCGAATTTGAACTCGGATTTCTTAAACCTTCTCTTCTCGGCGTCCCTTCACCGAGCAAGTTGACCAGAATCCGTAGGCTGATTTACGAGATCCTGTGGGACTTATTTGAGCCTCGAGGACAGAGGGTCGACTCACTGTTCCCCGTTCTCGAGCGTTATGCAAAAGCTCTCGAGTCTTTGGAGGAAGTCGTCCTGATCGGCCTGCCGTATCCGAACGACACAGATTACGCCGATGATAAGAATCAGTGGGAACCAATTTGGAGCCGGGTCAGCGATCGAGTTCAAGGTAGAAGCTGGACGAAGCTGGAATGTCACTTCTTCAATCGACTTCGTCCACATGGGTACGACAGAACTTGGTCGAGTATCCGACGGATGCATTTTGAGTATTCTTCGAGGATGGTCAGATCCCGCGACTGGGTCGATGAGGTCCAGCTCGTCTTCCGCAAAGGAGTGAAACCTCTGGCACAGCCAAAGGATGGATGGGTCGAGCTCCCAGGCAGAACCCCGAGTGTGTGATTACTTATCAGTGGTCAAGTAAAATCATGCAATATCCAATCGCGTCTTCCTCCGGGGTGAGGAAGCAGCAGGAGAGACATGAGCAGTCAAATGTCCAAGAGATGGAAATCAAGCGAATGAAAACAATACTCAAGAGTATTATGGCAAGGAGCAAGGAGAATGATCGAACGCGCGCGCGGAAGCCATTGGAGACCTGCTCGTGTCTGTATGCAGAACATGGAACGTGACATGCAATTCAACATTGGTGAGCAGCGCTTGATGTGGCTGAGGGTATCGAGCATATTGGAAAGACTCACAGGAAAAACCGGGCTCGACTAGCGACATGTGGAGCTGACTGTGTTCGGGACAAAATGAGTAATGGCCCATGGGTATTTGCTCCGAGAGTAATAGGTTCAGAGATATTTCAATGAATGACCCGATCAGAATCTCAGCAGATCTGCCCATTCACACGTGTTCATCTCCCCAGGTCCTGAACGGGGGGGTTCGTTGTAGATTTCGACGCTGGCTTCCCTCCATCAGCTGTGCCGCGAGCAGACACCCTCCTTCGTTTCCACCAACCCTGCGCTATCAGAGATGGTCTGCGAAGGCGAGGGTCTTTCAGAAAGTCACGGAGAGTCTCTGGACATTAGACCTCCTTCGATCGTCCGGTCACTCGAGAGAAGACATCGTGGATGGACGATTTCCATTGAAGACTGAGCTGAGAATTGTGTTCATTCATATAGAGTAGATTCAAGCGGGCACACTTCCTCATGCGCGCCACATTATACCAGACCGTGAGAGGGGAGCGTTCCTCATATCGTCATCGCCAGAATAGACTGTCGCCCCTTGTAGGCAGTGTTATACAAGTCCTCCCGAAAGGGACATAAGGGAAGGCGTCATTTGACAATGCAATGCGCCTAGAGAGCCCAGCCATAATTGCTGGGAAGAATCCACAATCACTGCCCTTTCACCAAATGCGGTAACCCGTAGGAAATCAGAAGCCTTCCCAGCCAGGCTGTCCTCCCAGCCCGGTCCAGTCCCAGTGGCGCACGTGGCCGCCCAGCGCCTCCTGGCCGGGCACGATGATGTCCATCTGCGGACCGAACAGGCTGAACGCATCCTGCATGCCATTACTATACAGCGGGCTCTGGTTCGGAAATCCCAGCCGGGTCGGCGTAATTGTCGATGTTGGCATGGGATGCTCGTCGATTTCGGGGCCTGTAAACACGCTCGGCGGGGGGTCGGTGTCAGCATTCCGTGCATGCGGCGCCATTTGCGCCAACGAGTTTCTGACGGAGGAGACCACTCTTGGCAGGACCAAGATATCGTCAGATTGCTCAAAGCCGGAAGCCGCTTCACACGCCTCCCACGCCTGAAGGATCAACTTGGTGAAGAGCCGGAAAAAGGGACTGTCTTCTCGAAACTGGTGCCCGAACCAGGCGTCGTAGTTGTCGCTCATGGCTTCCCAGGCTGGCCCGGCCTGCTTGCCCGTCGGCCGGCTGCGCAAGTCCTGCACGATCTGGATGTAGGCAGGGAACGGGAAGTAGAGGTGGTTCAGCCAGCGGAAGCCCTTGGTCAGCGGCGAGCCCATGGCCTTGGTATCGCACTCAAGCACCCTGAGCGCGTGCGAAGTAGCGGTGTCTCGCTGTGCGTCCGTCTGCCGCGCAGACGAGCTCGAACATCGTGAATGGTGCTCTAGGAGGCGATATTTGGCGAGGTGCGAACGGGCCGTCCAGATCGTCATGAAGTGCAGCGGGTGCTCTGGGTCACAGTGTTGGAGGTACTGGTCCTCAATTATCTCCTCAAGCTTGGCCAGCTCGGTGCCATCTCCTTCAAATCTGCCTCGGGGAGGGTCGGTATTGGTCTTCAATGCCGGAGTAGTGAAGTCGAGATGGAAGGAAGAGTGGCGGACCACTTCACCCAGCTCACAGCGCACGACAGCAAAAAGCGCTTCGGTGGTATTTCCTTGCATCGCTGGCGGTTTCTTCGTCTCCGGCCGTAGGTCGGAATCATTCACATTGAGAGGAACCCTGCAATCCCAAGTCGGATCTAGCGTTATGGGCTTGGAGTTGGAGGTCTCGCTGATGCGCGAGTCAAAAAGAACCAGCGACCACCACAATCGTCGACGCATTTCCGCCTCGAGCGTAGTGTGTCTTGTCAATGCCGACTCGCTGTGAATGCCCATGCGTTGGGCAATGCGAATTGCCACGGCCAGCATGGATGACAGAGACTGAGGAACTGTGTTGGGTCTGATGGAGATCTGACATTGTCAAAAAGGAAGAAAGAACTTTGGCTATTGGCCACACTTACTAGGTAGAGATATAATGCGGTCAAGCACTCACGATCGTTGGTCCGTAAGAAGGAGCAATTGAGCAAAGCCTGCTGGCAGCCGTGTTGATATCTTATCAAAAGATCTTCTTTTGAAGCGCCCAACTGCCTTTGACAATCTTCCGCCGCAAGGCTGAGAAGCGAGGTGCAGTAGATGCCGAACATCAGGGCTTCCAAAGTGGGACTGATGTTGGATACATTGCCAACAGCTTCGATGATGCGTCCCTGCAGGGTGGGAGTGTGTGTCACCTTGAGCAGCGGATTTACGTTGTCCAGGTAAATCTGCCAAAGCCTGAAAATCTGAACAGGATCGGGATGTAAATTGGAGAGGTCAACCTTTGGTCCACTGGTGCCAAACAAAAGGTTGTTGTCATTTACAGCTGATTGATCCCATGCTTGCTTCACAGCAGTTTCAAGCTCATCTTCACGCGAGGAAGCGCTGTCACTATCTGGTTCCCGATACTGTTGCAGCAGTCAGCAGAGCTCGCAACTAAGGTCGGTAGTTGTACCCCCTGGCTCATGACATGCCATACGTTTCTGGCAGAATTAGTCACCTGGCATCAACTCCTTGGAAGCAGCATACTTTACTCTATAACTTCTTCCGGACCTGTGGGTGGTCGATGGAGTTGGCATGTCTGAGTGCATGGATTCGGGATGTTCGCCATCCGAGTCAAACCCACTCTCCATATTGGAAGGCCCTTTCTCCCCGGCCGTATCCCTATGGAGTGGTTCGAATGGGACATTGTTCTGACGGAGCAAATCTTCGTACTTGCGAATGCGTTCCAGCAGGTCTCGCTGGGGGATTCTTCGTGCCCGCCGACGCTGGACTACAGATCCAGGAACACATTGCGCTCGAGACCTGACACAATTCGCGCAAGGGAAGATGCGATCGCATTTCACCTTTCGCTGCTGGCAGAGAACGCAGGCAAGCACCCGCTGCGGCTTCGAGGCTTGGGACGATGATGAAGCTGCGGCTGGGGATATACCGGAGATGCTGTGGTCCAGAGGTTGTAGCGCGGTCGACATGATGGGCGATGCGCCATCTAGGAAGAAAGCAAAGCCAGCGTCTTGAAGACTTCAATTGTCCAAGAGAAGAGACGTCGATCAACCATGTGTGCCTGGAACAACAACTATCCAATCAGCGGCTGCACAGACCGCTGTCATGTGATGGGCCCACCTCGGATTTTCTAATTTTCCGAATGAGCATATCAATCTAACTTCTGCCAGGCTGTGCAACTTCCCGAGTTGAAGAGTTTCTTGTTGCTTGACGTTGGCAGGGCATTATGAAGCGGCCGTCTCTGGGACTTGTCCTTCCAAGGGGTGTTTTGACCTGCTGATCCTTTCTTACTCTTCAACTTCTTCTACGGGACGTGAATTACCTGGCTGGACAAGGACAAAGCAAACAGATATTGCTAACTGCCATTCTTGAACGCCGTCTCTATCGTCTGCGGCAGGCTGCTGAAGGATCCACTCCGGCAATGACGTTGGGACAAAGAGAGCTGCTACAGCATCAAGCAAACTTGATGACACGTCCAAATGCTTTGGGGCAGGTCAATTCGACCGTGGAAAGGTATAAGTATGCGGCATGCTCTCAGTGTTGGACTTTCCCCCGCAAGAAAACAGCAGCGACAACTTCTCTAGTCAAGCAGATCAGACCAACGGTCCATCTACAGCGACATTACCAAGTTCCGTTCAACCACCCATAATCAACAACTTCTTCCCTTTCACCAATTATCAACAGTAGACAACATGCCAAATTCCATACCCGACGAAGTCCAACAAGACCTTGAGAGGATGGGACGCCTTATGGTCGAGACCTTCGACTTCGCAATCGAGTCAGGCTTTTTGACCAACCTTTTCACGGAGGCTCGCCGCAGACTCGTGGAAGGGATGCCTGCCTGCGATACGGCTGGGTCGACCGACACCGTGCCAGGTGGAAACACTCAAGCTGGCCTAGATGGTAAGAGTGACGCTGCTGTTGCGAATGAGCACGCTGACGGGGTCTCAGGCAGTACTACTCAAGCTGGGGCTGCGGTTGAGGCTGGTGCCACGACCTCTGCTCCTCCCGCTCACGGTGAACGCGACATTGACCGCCTCGAAAGAGAAGTCAGAGAGAATCTCCGTCGTGCCCGTGCCAGTCAAGCCGAGATCTTGCATGGCGGCCCTTCGCGTCGTGGGCGTGGTGGCAGACACAGAGGCCGTCGTGGGTGAGCCATACGCCCTCGAAGCACCTTGCTGGATATCAGATATCGTGGAAAGTTGGTTCAAATACAAACACTCAAGGCTCGATGTTCGAGGTGGCTGGGATATTGTTTCATGTCTCCTTGGATAGGGATTAGCAATACGAGCGAGGAATGTGTGGATGGCCAGTATTGGGTAAGAATGTGCGGTTTCCGTCGCTCGGAGGAGAACAGAGAAGTTGATCTGCTTGAGTAGGGATGTTGATTGGTACGGAGTTCTGATATTGGTGATGGTAGGACAGTGCTGAAAGAAGCATAAAGCTCAAGCCAGCAAAAGAATAAACTCCAATCGCTCTCACTTCTATTTTCTCAATCTTCCTTCTATTCCCACTCCTTTTCGCATGAATCCCTTCTCCTGTACAAATCCGCCAGCCGCTACAGACTGACAGCTGGTGTAATTGGCTCTCCCGGTAAATGGCAGCACCGCCATGCTTGCCCTTTCCAACAATGCTTGCCCTTTCCAACAATGCCTGCGTTTCGCACATAGGACTACGTTTCTTTGTCGAGCCGCTTGAAGGCGGCGTGTTGCCTTTGTTCATTTCCTCAAAAACTTTTTGTTGCCGATATCTTCTTTGTCAACTGTGATCATACCGACAAAGCCTCAAAGGAAGCGGCAGGTACAGCCACAGCAACTGCTGCGTAGTCTTCGAAGCCCCCTGCTCAGGTGTGTTTCATCGACCCTCAAAGAATCAGCACAAGATGTGAGACACAGTGGCAGATGTCTCAGTTTTCAATGCGATTGTCATCGCCTGACGGGCCTCGAAGCAGTTGTCTTCCATCGAACAGCCCTCTTTGCAACGATGCTGGAAGGGCATAAATACCTCCGTACTTCGACCTTCGTTTCACACCTGGCATCATCTACCATAAAAACAAGCTCCTTCGCAAACAACAACTCCACCATCTCAAAACTGACAAGCTTCTAGGCCATTGAAGGTTTCTTGAGTCCTCTTACTAATCCAAGCAGCACCCCCAACCACTACAGCTCAAAATGTCGCCCAGACTGTTGCGTACCATCAAGATGGCCCGCAAACTGTCCAAGCACAAGTATTTCCTGATCTGCCCTACCGAGTTTGACCTTGCTCCTCCCCATCACGACCACGACCCCAACGTCGACATTGAAATGACAGCTGGACTTGACGACGACTTCGACTATGATGATATGGAAGACTGCCGCCCTAGCAGCGCTTACACGTCCGACGATTCCAAGACCCAGCTGCTCTCCGCACTCGAGATAGACCTACCCCGCTGGACGTGGAAGAACACGGTCAAGTTCTGGATGTGGCAGGCCAGAGCCAATGTGACTTATGCGATCGAGAGCTACAGGATCAACAAGGCCTTTGGCCCCGAGTTCGACTACTGATGTCTACGTGGAGTAGGTAAGTGGATGAAGACCAATGGGGACGAGTGATCCAGGTCTGTCTGCCTGTAGAGCAGCAGTTCGAAAATGCTTGACCATGAGATCCTTGGGCGGTAGGTTTCGGCTTGGTGTGATTTTGGTCGAAGAGGACAAGGGATCCCAGGTAAGTTGTTGCAAAGTTCATCCACGCTAGAATGCAAGTATAAGGACAGCATATGAATACATCTAAAACAAAGATACATTTTCTACTGACGCTTTGATCTTTTCTTTCTCTCGTTTTGGTACGCTTCGATCATGGTCTCTCCTGTCTCGGGTTCAACAATCGGCGAGAAATGGGGGAGGAAACAACTAGCTAATCCCATGGCTGCTTCTCCTGATCGATCAGGTCGCGGAGTAGATGTCTAGAGAACCAGGTAGGAGGCATACTGAACTGTGGAGCCTGTGGAGGGGAAGATGGCGAGACAGTCGCTCAAAGCCTCGTTTATCTCACGAGGCTGTGACCTCCTGGATTTGGCATCTCAAGCCAAAATTGTCCCAGCCGCCGTCTGACCTCTCGCATCGCCAAACGCGAACCACGTATCTCTTGGTATGCGAACGAGAGGGATGCAGGATATAACAGTCGACAAGCCAAGTTACCCTCAAAATGTGACTTCCTTTTCTATGCCAGAAACTCCGCGCTATGTATATCTCATCTCCAGCTCTTCTATATGCAGTGTCTATTTCCCCCAAAAATGCCATGTCCTGTTCGTCCATTCATCATACCCGATCAAACATCTTTTCATCGTCCTTCTCCCTGTTCCCTTCTGTTGCTATGTCGCCGTTCTCAACCCTCAACCTTTCCTCCCTCTCTTGTTCTTCGTCCTCTGCAGCTTCCCTGGCTTTAATGTCCTTCAGCTCCTTGCAAAACTTACTGTTATCCCGGATCCGGTCACCAAATTTGATAAATGCAAAGGGTATAAAACACATTCCCAAACTGAGGAACGCAAGCAAGCTGCACGCCCAGGCGATGCCCAAGTGGGAGAACATGCTCTGTGCAGCCAGTGGCAAGAGCGCACCAAACACACTTCGACTGGTACTGGTGATACCCTGTGCGCTGGCTGCAAATGTTTCGTAAGCGTCGGTAAGGTAATTGAGCAGGGCCATGAAGATGAGTAAGAATGCTGCTCCAAAGATGATTCCTGAGGCGACCGGTGCGAGCCAATAGGTGCCGGGTTTTGCACTCCACCCAATCCAGAATAGAGAGACCACGTAGAGCGGCCCTCCAATGCAAGCCAGCGGCAGTCGCCTATACTCTTCCTGTTGTGCCCATTTTGCTTGCCGTTTCTGCGCCTTGGCCAGATATGAGTCCCACCAAAGATATATAGGTGCCGCGAGGAGTGATCCAAGTCCAATGGGAATAAATGCGAGACCAGCAAGTCCGTATGACCATTTGTACACAGAGTCTGGCCCCTGGAAAATGATAGGGTATGCTTCGAAATACAGGTAAAAGATTGCGTACGCCAGAGAGCAGTATGCTGCCACACACATGACAATGACTTCCTGGAACAGCATGCGATACGGTCGGGTCATGACAACGGTGACGACGTGACGCAACGTCTTCTTCTGAAGATCTGTTTTGGCGACGATCTCCGGATCACCTGTTTCTTTGCGAAGTCTTGCTGCTTTGCGACTCAGGAGGACTGGGGTGTACGTCTCTGGCATAAAGACAATAAACGGAATGGTTGCCACCGCCAGCAGTGTGCCTACGGCAAATACCCATCGCCACGAGGTGTTCTCTGCGATGAACCCAGAAATGGCGGGTGCTATGACGGGACCAAACGTTGTCGCAACCATGAACCAAGCCATCGCCAGACCACGCTCTCTTGGATCGTTATAGACATCGGCGTATAATCCTCCCGTAATTGCAACTGGCCCAGAAAACCCCACCCCACACATAAAGCGGAAGAATAGGAGACAAGGCCAGTTAGGTGCCACTGCGCAGGCCATGCTAAACAGGGTAGACATGAGGAAAAATGATAGGATGACTCGTTGTCGACCATTATTCTCAGACAGAGGGCCACAAAGCGTTGGCCCAACCACGTAGCCCGCCAGGAAGCATGATATTGGTAATGGGAGCTGAATTTCCTGTGTGACGCCAAAATGCTTTGCAATGAAAGTGATTGCTCCGCTCGGTAATGACGAGGAGATGGTGCTATTCATAACAGTTATGATGCCAGTGAAAAAGATGTATATCTTCTTTCTCCGCGGCCAATTGTAGGGATTCTCCGGGTCACTCGAGCTGAACGATATGATCTTCCTCGAGTCTTTTCTCTTCTTGGGCTCGTCGTCTGGCGCCACGCTGGGAGCTCGCCCGCTCGTGAGGGTATCTTGAGAAGCATCGCATCGGTCGAGATCGCGGCGGCCGGCTTGAGTACCTGTTAAACGTCAGAGTGCTGCATTTGTAGACACATGCAAAAGGGGAGGATACCTGGTAAGGACTGCGGTGCAACAGTGGTATTCACCGACTTCTGGTTTTCATTGTGAGCACCAAGACCCATGGTCGGGTCTGTCTACCAAAGGTAGTCAAGTCGAAGTGCGAAGGAAGGGTACAACCAGCACGCAACAGAAAAAAAGGAGACGGGAAAAGGAGCGATCATGGGAGCAAGCGTATGAAGACACCAGCCTTTCCGGGAGACGGAAAATGGGCGACATTGCAGTGTGCCTATGCGGCTAGATGAGGGGGTTCGATTAAAAAAGTATTCCAGTATGCATGACGGTGGGAGGAACGGATCCAAGCTAGTCGCGGGGCGCGTTTACGGCCAATCCGCGGCGGCCAAGGAGAGAGGGAGTGTATATTGATAAGCCATTGATCATGAGAATGAAGCTCGCGACAATGAAAGACTGCGAGATCGGTTATGACGGCAGAGAAAGTGGAAGCAGGTGGTGCAGGGAGATCTCCAATTCCCATCAAGTCGAGTGTAAGCGGTGGAATGGAAGCCGAGCGACGCAGGGGTATCATTAGTAGCATCATGTGATGCCTAGTCTATCTGAGGCAAGGCTCACGCCAACATTCTGCGCTAGTGATGCTGCGGCTGTTAACGACACAAAGATCGCGCCCTTTGACCATCTTGACCCCCTACACTACTCGTGTATACTATGCCATTAGAGCAACATGTACGAGCAGAGACCATAAATGCTAGTACAATTGGTTCAACCTGCCGAACTGTCCCTCAGCGCTGTCCCAGCAATCGACCTCAAGTACGCGCACGCCCTTTGACAAATAAAACCTCACTTGCAAGCACAAGGCTGTGACACATTCATTTGCGTTCTCTCCTTGACGACCTCATCAGCCCATCGAGCGGGAATGTCCCCGCTTTCCCGTCGCTCACCGTCGTCCGTACTCTTCCGCCTCTGCCCATTTCCACTGAGGACGGCGGAAAGCTCGTGCCGGGTCTCAGCATGCCCACTGCCTGGCTTGGCTAGAACGTGTTGCTGATGGCTGCCAATCCTACTGGCATGTTCATGCGCCAAGTCGCGATACCGCTCCTCATACGCTAGTCTCTTCTTCTCGCGCTGTAGTTCTTTGTGTTCGTGGAGTTTCTGTCGGAGAAGAACAACGCCGGCGACGAGGAGATATGCCATTCTTACTCGCCCTGGCAAGGTATTGCTATTTGGCGATAGAAGAGTGTGTGGGATAGCAAGCCAAAGGTTAGTAATGGAGACAGCTATGAAGATCTGGAAAAGTGAAGTTGCAAATTGGATCTGCGCGCCGAGGGCAGTCCAGAGTGTAGCAGGGCCGGGGGATCCTGGGACCATTCAGACAAGGATAAGTAGATGGACCATGTCTTTTAACATGCTGGATTCGACTTTCGGCAGAATTCTCGGATGGCCAACCGTTGACACAGCAAAAGGCGTATTCGCGTATAAGGCATTGACCGCTTACGGATTGGGCTGCGTAGACGGGTACGCGCTGCTTGATTTGAGGAAAGTCTGATACATTTGAAATTCCACCAGTCCTGGTAGCAGGACTAAATGCGAGTCGCCGAACGCCTCTGCTCAATTCTGAAATATTGTACAATGCCACAATAGTCGTACAGATTCGTTAAATCCTGCTTGTGTTTGATATGCTGTCCACCTCGTGCCCTAGATTCAACGCATCCCTGCAAGGACCAGGTCCATCAAGGCAAAGTCCTCCAAGGGTCAAGTTAAATCTGCATCTGCAGGGGCGGAAGCTCGGCTTGCCAATCGTTGGGCAGCCGGACGGATTTGCAAGTCACGCCTGTAGCGTTGCCCAGAGCAAGCACAGCTGCATCGTGTCAAGGTGTATGGGAAATAGTCCATGTATTTCTCCGAGGGGCAGTCACGCTCCACGTCAACTGACTTGTTGTTAGAAAGAGATGAGAGAAACGAAAATCAGCCAGAAGAGTAGTGCTCCGGGTCCAATATGAGAGCCATGGTGACTTACCCAAAGCACATGAATCTCTTCCAGCCCTTGGCTCCCTCCAATTTTCGGTTCATTCGTAGATCGGCAAATCTCTCACCACGCGGTCCCATCACACGATCGAATTCGTTGGCTGGGGGACTCGAAATTGGTGCGAGAGTGGGCTTCTGTCTGGAATTGACCACGGCAGCGTAGACATGAAGTTTGGTGACGGGGTTCTTTTCACTGTCACTCCAGAACGGCAGGTCAGGCTGTATGGTAGGGCTGTCTTCATCTATGGCACCGAGAAGTCGTGACGGCGGTGTTAAACGGCGGGGGCGAGTGCCCAAGCCGCTGTACATGGATGGCGGAGTTGCAACTGTTAGCGAGGAAGGTGAAGGTGGTGGTGAAGAGGAATCTGGAACTGGTGAGATGAGAGTGCTTGTAGATGACAACGCGCTTTCGACCGAGTCGGGTGGTGAAGGGGATCGAGAGGCCGATCGACCGTCGGTCTGGCGATAGCGGGCAGCCATTTTGGTTTCTCCTGGAGAGAAGTGATGACTATGGCGAAGATCCGAGGCTGGGAAATTTGATGGAAACCTCGCTTGGTGGTGGTTGCCGAAGAAGCGACAGTGCTATAGAGGAGTGGCGCGGTGGGAGAGCGCACCGCAGTCGTATTGACATATGATCCTGGTGGCAGTGACTTCTACCCGGTAACAGCCTGCAAGACACGATGTGAACTCCAACCAGTCCTCCAGCGGCCAGCCGAGAGATATCAAGTACCTATATCATCCGTCAGTAACGACATCAAGCAGAGGGAAACTCTAGAAGGCGACACAGGACGCAGGCTGGTTCAAAAAGCCACCGAGCTACACCGTACGGGGCTTGTCGAACGGAGCATGTCATCTCATCATGATGATTGACCCTCCACTGACGGCGGTGTCGTCGATCACTCGCTTGAGGGGAGCTGGTGGTGGTGTTGGCACTGGTGGTGCTGGCACATTTCGTCGCTCGTCTGCGCCTAAAAGCGCCATCTGGCCGTCCGGGGGCCTTGATTGGGCCCTGCAGCTGTCGCTAAGCCCGGAATCTAGGGGTTACAGGAGCCAAGAGACCCCGGAACTGCGGTAGTGGCCCAGGGGATGGGCCTTTCGTGGCCCTTGCACCCCCAACAACCCCCCCAACAGCCCCTCCCAAGCCCCCGAAGTCCCCGAACTGACCGTTGTCTGCCCGCTAAGCCCGCCAAACAGCAGCCACCGACCCCCAATCGGGGAAACAATGGGCGCATCTAAACTCAATTCGACCCTGGAGCTGCCTGAAAGGATCCGACTTTTGACAATGGCTGGTGTCAATGACGCCGATGGCTTGATATGCAGGGTCACATTTCTCAAAGGATGTTCAACCAGCTCCGTCCACACAAGCAGCTTCTGACATGCTAGATTGGGCATGTGAAGACTGTGTTACGAGTAAGAATGGCAATCCCTCTCTGAATGCCGTTCAAGCAAACAGGTTGCGAGTGTGATCAACGAGAACAGCAGCTTCTGGTCACGGGAATTCATCGGTTAAAAGTAAATCCGGGCCGCTACCGGAATCCCCATTTCGGTCCAACCCGCGCCGCGGCACCTGCACAGAGTCGTTATCGCAAATGCTCGCTTCGGTTCTCGTTACTGTGATGGTATAAGCATTCTTACCCATATGGAATCGCAAGAACCCAACACAATAGCACACCTGCCTAGAAGGCTCCCTGCACACTCACTGTCGCCAAAATGGCGCGCCCACGACGAGCGTCTGCCGCGTCAGACCTTAGTTCCGTACCGGACCAGAACCAGGTACTTGCGCGCTCTCCAATACTTTCCCAGACCATTTACATAGCTGGGCGGCCTGTAGTAACAAGCTGCCTTTAGGAATTAGGAAGCATGTACGACTACCTGGCAAAAATCGTCCTCCTTGGCCCCAGCGGCACCGGCAAATCCTGCCTCCTGCACCGTTTCGTGAAGAACGAATGGCGCGTCCTCTCTTCTCAGACCATTGGCGTCGAGTTCTCCTCGAAGATCATAAAGATTGGCACACCCCCCAATCGCTCGAAACGAATCAAGTTACAGCTGTGGGACACGGCAGGCACGGAGCGATTTCGAAGCGTGAGTCGGAGTTACTACAGGGGGGCAGCAGGCGCAGTCCTGGTGTACGACGTTGCGAGTATGGCCAGTTTTCAGGCGTTGCCGACTTTCCTGAGTGACGCACGGGCACTGGCGAGTCCGCAGTTGACGGTGATTTTGGCGGGCAACAAGTCAGATCTGGCAGACGAGTCGCTACAGGCACAGGGCCAATCCGGTCAAAATCACGGGAGGACGCAGGCGGTGCACATGAACGGAAGCGCCCACCACCATCGCATACAGAGGGAGGATGAATCCAGCACCCCAGCCGCATCGAGCGCGTCAAGTCGACAGTCATATTTCCCCTACGATTCGGGAGGCGGAAGCGTCACCGACTCGGTGAAAACGACATCCAGTCGCTCTCGCGGGGACAGCATGAATCTTTCCAAATGGACAGCCACCCAATCCGCCGAAGGCCGCGAGGTGAGCGCCGAAACCGCCTCACGATGGGCTTCGAAAGTCCACATTCCCGTCACAATGGAGGTCTCGGCCCTCACTGGTGAAAATGTTGATGCATTGTTTTACCGGCTGGCGGCCATGATCCTGACCAAGATCGAGCTGGGAGAAATTGATCCGGATGATCCGGCAAGCGGTATCCAGTACGGTGACGGTGCTGTGGGAGCTGACGGAGACAGTATTACCACAGATGGAGGCACTGTGAGGAGGCGGAAGGGAGGACGGGGTGGCACGGTACGGAACGGAGTGCTCACCAGTCTCGGGGAGTGGGAAGACGTATTTCGCAGACCGGCCTCGAGGGCAGGAAGAGGACGGTGCTGTTGACGAAGAGTTTGAAGGATATGTTGTTGTTCTTTTGCGACGGGCCACGATTATGAGATGTTCTTCTCTCTCCCTCTCTGTCTTTTTCTTTCTGCCCCAGCAAGAAGCGCGTTTTGGAAAGAACGAAAAGCAAGCACTACGCGAGCAAGCGAGCAAGCAAGCGATGCATACAGCTTTGTTGGGTTCACTTTGGGCGAGTCTATGTACGGGTTATACAGTTCTCTTGGTTGTCACTACTTGTGTTGCACGATCAGGCATGCGGATGCCCTGGGATGTTCTACTCTTCTGCAACGCGGGCATCCCGACTAATGTCTAATATGTTGGATCCTTTTTACCATCGCATCTGCGGGCTTTCTACTGTATACCCCGAGTACTTCCCTTTCTTGTCTGCTATTCCGCGAATCCAGGCGTTCGTCCTTGAAGACATCGCCACCATGCGCACATCAATTCAGACGTCCCTCCCCCAATCGGGCGGATAGGCCGTGTGTCTAAGGGATGGATTGGCAAGGGTAAGAAGAAGCTGGCGCTCATGGAAAACTGTCAGGTCCAAAGCAATACGACCATGAGGCACTCAAGTCAGAAACGTGATCATACTCGTGCATCTGATCTGAGATAGTGTTCCAATACCGTAAGTTGTAGCCCTGTGTGGATGGAATGCCTTGTGGCAGCTTCATATGTATGTCATAGCCTTATCAGCCTCCTCTGACATCTACCTCTCGCGCCTCTTCAAACCCTTCCTGACCCCGTCCACTGCCCCCATCCCCTGTCTCGACTTTCGGCCCGATTTTCTCACACAGCTCGACGAACTCGACCTGCCCTATGAGATTCTGCGCCGCGCTCAACGCCTTCATGATCACGAGCTGGTTCCGCTCGGTCGTGGCAGCACGGAAACTCCTCACCAGGAATTCACTCAACATCTCCACAGTCCAATCATCCGGGATGTCTCTCAGAATCCGCAGAGGGTCAAAAAACGTGGCGAATTTCCCGAGAAGGTGGGATGTGCGTTCAAGGCGGTCTTCAATGTCGGAGATGGAGAGGAACTCGTGCAAGAGGAATGTGAATAGTTCGATCTGGCTCGTTCGGGAGGGCAAGGTGGAAGGGTCAATGGGATAGGATGAGGGGGCAGAGGGGCTGCCGAAGTAGCAATATCGTGTGGCCGTGTCGTAGTCGCCCAATCCGTGGGTTAACAGGCGGAGGGCTTCTTTGTGACGGCCTTGGCGGGCATCGAGGATAACTGATTCTGAGACAAGGTAGGAGGAGAAGGGTGCCATGCGCTCCAGGACCATGGAGACCGAGTAAGTCAAATCGTTCCCAGCGTCATTTGTACCCGTCGTTGCGTATGCGCCAGTTCCAAGAAGCTGGAGGAGACGAAGGCGTGACTGCCACCATGGCTCTTGAGGGGCGTTTTGGTGGATGAAATCCAGGTAGGTCGGCTTAGGCGACTCAAGCGCTCGGTAGGTCGAATAGCTTTCTGCTAGCGACGAACGGGCAGATTCGGACTTTTCCAAAACGGTGAGGACCGAGTCGAGGTAATAGCCGATCAGGTCGTCGGCGTACTGGCCGAGATGTTTGCCGAAGACGAGGTGTTCCAGGTACTGCTGGACTGCTCCTGGCGCTTGTTCTTTGAGAAGCTCGACCACTTCTTGAGGTCTGAACTTGACCCGTGCAGCGTCATCTGTGAAGATTTGGACAGCGAGTTCTGGATTCCGCTGTGCAAGCCACAGAGTATAGCTCTGAACGAGGTCGGCATCTCGAATGACTGTCAGGTAGCGGCGCAGCTGACCTTCCACATAGCCAATATTCGAACTGTAATCCACATCCTTCTCTCCGTCTATGATCCGCTTCCACGTCGCAAGGACATCCTGAGCTTGCTTCCTACTCTGGTAGAGCCGGCTTAGGACGTATAGTCGATTGTACCGTTCCAGAAGCAGGGTCGCACGATCAAAATCGCCCTTCCACTGATCGACGACATTGTGCAATTTAGCTCGCACTGATCTCTGGGCAGGGCTATCTGTCGGCAACGCCTGGTCCAAATAGAGCAACACATGAAGAAGCGCCGCATCAACGGAATCAAAGACATGTTTGTCATCTGCAATGCTCCCATACCCGCGCTTCTCTTGCCACAGCATCAAGAAATGTCTCATCATCATCCAGAACTCAGTCGGAGCATCCTCAAAATTAGAAACGGGCGATTGACGGTCCTGCAGGAGCTCTGCCATGCCTTGGTGAAGCCAGATACCTTCCGGCCCGTACAAGACCTCTGACGAGAGTGGAGGTAAAAGGAGAAGCACGATCCGCGGATCCAATCCTCCATCATGTAGTGTATTTTCAATGGCCCGGAATATGTCTTGAAGGGCAGAGGCACCCGGAAGCTGTGTCTCCAAATGCAAAAACAGTATCAGACTAGCCTTTTGCCTGATATAGTTTAACGTAAGGAATTCTGTTTCGTCCTTCGGTTCGCGACCGTGTATACTGGCCAAGAAGCCAAAGATTTGACCAGGGATTACATTGGCAGGCTGACCGTCAACCATATACTGCATCAGGCGATACTCGAGCTGCGAAATCAAAGGATTCTGCAAGATCATGAGAAGATCTTGTCCGTGCCAGACCAAGTTCCTCGTGAAAGCTCGCCCGAGGCGACGGGCAAGCTTTTCTTCTTCGACAGCACGCTTCCTCACGAGTTCATTCGACGGTTCCACGGGCGTGCTCAAGGATTGGCTGTCGAACAGAGCGCGCTCTTGCTCCACCTGTTCCATGGCCGATTGTGTCCTCGGGTCACTCTCGCGTTGGGTGCTTTCTCGGTGATTCAATGACTTGATGGAAAGTGGCGCCAGTTGCAGGAGTTCTCCGGGGGTTTTGAAGAAATGGTTATGCGTACTTAGCGTGTGGTGCAAGCCAGCGGGAGCATTCTCGAATCTGCTTGATGGCAGTGCGACACAAGTGCGAGGGTGAGCCAGTTCAGATGCATTCTCGACCAGCTGTATTTCCAACTTTCTCTCTGTCATGCCTTCCTGAACTTTTCGCAAAAGAGCAAAGATGATTTTGCCTTCATCTTCCGAGCGTGGGGCACCTTCATTTTCTGGTACAACGAAGTTGTCCACGAGCAGATCTTCGGGATAACTCTCAAAGTCAATCGTCCCTCGAACAACATCACCATCCAGATTCACAAACATACCAACACCAGGCTCGGATTCTGTGGTGCCAGTTGTTAGCATGAATTCCGTCGGAAAAGGCGAGAGGATGTGCGGCTTGAGACGCTTGTCAGAATGCTTGCTGTTAATGCCAGCGGCTGATCTGGAGGGGAGTGCCTCGGTTGACGCACGGGGGCGCGCTCTTGGACGTGCGCTCCCGTCAGCACTTCCGTCGGGGCCTGGTATGTTGGTAGATGGTGATGCGGGTCGGCCTGAACCAGCTGATGTCGTGTCCGGAGGCATTAGATAGGGAGACTCCTGACGCCCGTGAGGACTCTCCTTCCTGTCCTCCGTAGAGCCGATCAGGTTTCCCATGCTTGTGCTTCGGCCATGACCCGCTGCTTCTACAGGTGGGGGAGACCGTGCTGGAGACCTCCCCCCATTATCGGCCGGAACATCATCATCGGTGGGCTGCGACGAGATGGGAAACAGCGGGATCTTCTGCTGGTGTTCGACCTCTAGGAGTGCATAACTCGTGTCATCAGCCACGCATGCGATAGTCTCTCTTCTGCTCGATCTCAAACAGCCGGGATATTCGATGTTATTTCTGATTGCTCGCAGCTTTTCACCCACTCGGACCAAAATGATTCTTCGCGAGTTTGCAATCATCACCACAGGCCCCTCCGGATTCTCTTTGTCTTCATTTTCGTCGATGCCACCAATCCACTGGACCCCAGTGGGTTCCCTGTTAGGAAATGCCGGACTAAATTCTGGAAGTGAGTAGAACGAGACCACGCCGTTGCACAATACGCAGGCTTTCAGAGGTCCAGGCAGGACAAGGATCTGCTGGATGCCTGGTGCATTTGGCGAGTCGGTTGATACGGCATGGCCGCTGGGTTGAAGTCGGGAGGCTAGAATGAAGGTCGAAGCAGCATTTTCGTCGTCCTGTTCAGAAGGGATCGAGACTAGATGCAGGATTTCGGCCGCAGACGTTCCGATGTATAAATTGTTGTCTGAAGGATCGTGAGAGGCATGCGGGAGGTGTAGGGTATACAGCCTCACCTACTCCAATATTCTACACAAGTTATCGATACTTCTGCTTCACCGTCGTCCGCCGCCAGCGGAATGTCCTCGAGCACGGCACGAAGGACATATGGACCTGGTTCGGACGCGGCCAGCTTCTGTCGCTTTGCAGGGCGTTGGTCATATGGGTTGGCTTCATCCATTGGACGCATCAGGTTTCAGGGATATTGAGGGAGAACATCCATAGCTGCGAGCAGTCTGGCAAGCTTGTGTTGAACAATAGGTACGGTGTCGGCCTGCCTCGTTACTCTTCGTGAGGTCGAATCGTGGTTATGAGTGGAAGCGGAGCAATGCGGCCCAAGCGCAGTTACTGCGGGATATTCGGTTTCGAGGTGCAGTCTCGGGGTCAACCCCAAGGCCAGATCTTCCGTCTCGTCGTCGCTACTGTTGACGCGTTCGTCGTTAATTCGAAGGCTCCTATAGGCTCAGACCACTTTATTTGCTCCATCGACAGAGGTCTGCCGACTTACTACTGCTGATGGAGTCTCCAAGTCGGCGGAATTTCAAACTGGAGGATCAGTGAATCCACACCCCTATTGACGGTATGGATGCAATAGTGGTATCAGAGGTCAATGCCCCTCGGGCGGAGGATGGTGACTCCCATCCTGAAGGTATACTCGAGCGGCCGCCTGGTGAAGCAGAAAACAAATTCCAAAAGGCAATCGCAGCATGGCGGAGTAAGTTCATGTCCATCACCTGGTGTCCACACAGCGGGCTAACTCATCAGATATCGATCTTTCCTCGTTGATGGCCCAACTAGATTCCACGGCCTCGGAAATTGTCGCCCAGCAGAGGGACGCGTTGCTCGAACGGAAGGAGCTCGCCCAGAAGACGAAAGACTTTCGAAAATTGGAGGATGCGGCGAAGTTGACTGAATATAAGACTCTCTTGAAATGTTTGTGTACCCTCCTGCAGGAAACGGATCCGAAACTAATCGCTTGCAGCGTATCAAACTTTCATTGACCTGATCACTGGCCATGGCAAGACTTCCTCGTCCGCATTCCTCCAACTATACCAGTCGTTGTCCGAGGCTCCGGATCCATTTCCTCTCCTCGAAGCTTCAGTCGACTCTCTAGTTGCCTCCGAGGACACGGTGCCCAAGCTCACTACTGAGAATCACCAACTGCTCGCTAGGGTCAGTAAATTGACTGCTCAGCTCGAAGAAACGGAAAGAAAGTTGCAAGACGAAAGCAAGGCCAGGAAAGCTGCTGAGGCCGGAACAGGTACCCTGGTGCAAGAGGTCGAAGCCAAATGGGAAAATGTCTTGGAGGAGAAACAAAACAACTGGGCCGCAAAGGAGCGCTTTCTGGAAGACAAGGTCGAAAATCAAGACAGGCTACTCAAAGAGTTGAAAGCCAGCTACGAAGTGTCTCAGCGACTTCAAGATGGGTCGGCTGAAGCAGCATCATCTAAAGCTGCCGCTGCAGAGCTGGAGATGATGACCTACGAACTTGAAAAAACAACTGCACGTCTGGCCGAAATTGAAGCGAGGAATGAACAGCTTCGAGTCGACCTTGCTCGAGCCACTTCTCAGAGCGTTGAAAATCACAATATTGAAGACGATCCTTCCTTTTTACGCCTGCAGTCCGAAAACTCTTCCCTCCTTCGAAAAATTGAGGCCGCAAGGTTCGAGAGAGAAACAGAAAAGAGAGATTGGGACAACAAGCTGCGTCAAGCCGATAGACAGCGGTCTCAACTCGCAAATGAGAACGAGGAGCTGCGAACGAAGGTTAATAAATGGTCCGATTACGAAGATCTGAGACGGGAACTGGATACTCTTCGGTCAATTGAACTGTCAATTGGCGACGATGAAGACGGGGACGAGGCTGTTGTGGACGGATCGGTGGACAACAGTGCGAAGCAATCTTTGGAAAAGCTGCTCCTCGCACGTAACAAAAAGCTGACCAACGAACTGACTTTGCTGCGAGTCTCACACCAAGACCTCCAGCGCCAGCTTGAAGATCTTCAAGAAGAGCTATCCCGGACGAATGCCGAATTGGAGAAGTCCCAGAAGCTTTCTTCGACCCTGGAGAACGACCTCATACGCGTGCAGGAGGAGGCGGCCAACGTACTTCCCTCTTCGGGCATGTCTGTGGCCGGGACTTATGTGTCTCGGCTTCCGACGGGCTCTCTGCGGAGAGGAAGGGCGTCACCCACATCCTCAATCATTTCGGGCTACGACATGCAGCCGAGAACCAATACCTTGGAGTCACTGCGAGCGGGAGATGCGCTTGGCGGAGGATCTGGCATTTTGCCGATGATCCAGGCTCAGAGAGATCGGTTCAAGCAGAAGAACCAACAACTTGAGGAAGAGCTATCCAAAACTTACGCTACGGTCACCTCCCTGCGTCAAGAAGTCGCCTCGCTTCAGAAGGATAACTTGAACCTGTACGAAAAAACACGATATATCTCCGCGTACAATCGGGGCCCAACCACATCTTCAGCTTACTCCGCGACACCAGGACACACCGCGATCCATGTGGATGACACTACGACCGGCCGCTGGAAGTCCCAATACGAGGCCAATATTTCTCCTTTCGCCGCCTTTCGTGGCCGAGAAGCTACTCGTGCTTACAAACGCATGAGCTTCCCAGAAAGAATAGTATTTTCGCTGACGAGGGTCGTTCTCGCTACCAGGACTTCGCGCAACCTCTTTGCCGGTTATTGTCTTGCGCTCCACATGCTGGTTTTCGTGATGCTCTACTGGATGGGCACTGCAGATGTTGATCGAAATGTTGTCCATCTGGGCGAAGCAGCAGTCGCCGCAGCGGCGGGCGGCGCAGGACTTGGATCACCTGAGTCCCACGACCCTGACTGGCATCAGCAGGAGTTCGGATAACTTCTGGTGAGCAAAGTCGCTTTGCTAGAGGCTCTTCTTTGTTCCTACGGCGGGTTTCCAAGGACTCCGGCTTCTTTTTTCGTCGGACGGAGTATCCTGTTGCTTCTCAGAGGTCGTTCCATTTCTATCATCTCGCTGCCTTTCTTTAGAGATGAGATAATGGCACGCTCCACACGGGTCTGTCACGCGTGCGCCTTCTAGGAGGCTTTGATGCAATGGAGTCTGTCTTAAAGCCAGGGCACTCCTCCCTTGACTATACAACATTATTTACAACTCCAGGGTGACAACAAATTAGAATCCTCCAATTTCAAATCCAAGGATTACGGTCATTCGGGCAGCCGGCCGTTTCTGGGGCGGCTACACGCCAACTAATATTTATGCGGGATCCATCGAAGTGAGCACTAGATCGCAGGAGGCAGGGTATCGCCGCGGATGATAGAAGGACTGGCTGCGACTTTCTACTAGTAGTACGACCAAGACTCCAGCACCGTAAACGTTGCCTGAAACGACTCCAAGAGGCAAAGTCGAGGCTGACGGGAATGATCTATCGACGTTGTCAAGTAAGCGCAGAAGACGGGCAACGTGGCATACGCACGCAACTCCATGCGAGCCACGGATCTTCCTTGTCTCTGTACAGAATCTCCAGAAACCACGCTGGCTCCCACAGTCAGCTTGATGATGCCTCACGGAATCCAAGAGACCTGTTTTGCGCTCCGTGGGCAATCCTTTCGGGGACAACTAGGATCCAGCTCTCCAAGACATCGCCTGCCCATGCTGCACAGTATTGGTAATTGCGCCCATTTACGTCTGATGGCATGTTTCCGTACTTAGCACTGAAGAACATCATCCTACCTAGCGGAGCAATTCGTCTGCGCCGTCGCCACTGCACACGCGTGGTGCAAGGACAGTCTACGCGGCAACTTGACAGATGACAGTGTCATAGTTGTGTTGGTGGAAGCGCCTCAGAGACTTGCTTGCTCTCGCCCAAGCTGCCTACGCATGGTTATAAGCCCCAAGACAAGCGCCAACACGGATTCGATTGGATGCCGTGTCTGGAAACGTGAAACGAACACCAAACGCCGGAAAGGGGATGTCTGGGCGCGGACAAAGAAGACAACGACTCGGAGAGCGACTTGGACGCCTCCTCGACAAGGCGTATCCGCTTTGCGGGCTGCATATGCACGTCATCCAGCGCCCAGTGGACCAAACACTCTGGGATTGGCCTCTGGGATGGAGGGCTGGCGGCAGGCCGGCGGCAAGGAAATGACCAGAAGAACATCCGAGGACGCCTGAAGGAAGCCGATAGGAAGACGGAGCTTGGGTGTCGGAGGCCAACAAGCGGCCAGCCGACCAGCATATCGAATGCTTGCTCGCCAGGGCATCCTGGGTCCCAGCCTAACCAAGAGGGCACAAGAGGCTCCAAATTCCCTGGTCCTCTGCTGCCGTAGGCGCCAATTGCCCATCTATTATTACACCGGACCCTCGTCGATCAGACACGCAGCCGACAAATCTCCCTTGCCGCCTCTTGCATCTCTCATGCGGCCAAGAAGCCTCCACCGTGGCTGGCGAGCCAATTGCAGGGGCAAGGACCTCAAGATAGAAACACTGCCTTCTCGACCGCGATCCACCGTCAGAATAGCAACCATCCTATCCGTGGTCGGTATACCAGTCCACTTTACAAGTTGATATAATGCGGCGGCTGGTCTCGACAATGGCCTCTGATTTCTTGGGTTCCTCATATACAGTCTTTCTTCTCAGTCTCAACGGCTTCTTCCAGCATCTCATTAATCAGTGTGAATCTTTCGTTGCAGTCCCAACAGCATCTGCGGGCCAGAAAATTCCCTTCATTAATATCAATCACGACTTTCTTTTACCAAAATGAAGTACTCGATACTCCTCGCCTCATTGGCGCCTACGATGATGGCCGCACCACTCACTCGCGATACGTTTGAATGGACGCCAACATTAGCTGGTTACTTCGACGTTGTCTTTCAATACATGCAACAAGCTAAACAACCTGGCCAACCATCGCCAACTTGTGATCTGTCAAAAGCTGCTATGCCGATCGCACCGTCACCACTACCGAGTCCGGCGGGTTTGGTTCTTGAACATGTTGCCGTAGGCAGAGGTGTTCAGGTACGAGTTCTTGTCTCCATTTCCTAGCCAACGACATGCTGACATTACATTGAATAGAACTATACGTGCGCCAATGCCACGGCCACTCCTGCAGCAGTCGGAGCTGTTGCAAGATTCTACAATGCCTCGTGTGTGGCTGCCGACTATCCAGATCTCCTCGGTCTGATCCCCAACCTGGCATTACAATACCCTCTGCCAGCCGATCCATCTGCTCCTCTTGCACCCTCGGAGCTTCAGCTTTCATCTCATCACTTCTTTTCCAATACCACCACTCCGGTTTTTACTTTTGACACTCCCGAGTCCCCCGACTTCGGCACTATCTTTGCACAGAAAGTGCACTCCTCCGATGCACCGGCCAATGCAGTCCCCGGCATCAGCGGTACTGGCAACGGTGCAGTCCCCTGGCTATACCTGACATCCCGATCCGATACTGAAAGCGAAATCAAGGCCGTCTACCGCTTGAGCACGGCGGGTGGACAGCCACCGGAGACATGTGCAGACATGCCTGCGGCTTTCAGCGTGGACTACTCGGCGACGTATTGGTTCTACAAGTAGGAGAGTAATGTGCTGTCGAGACTGATTGTGTTTTCACTTTGCACGGCGTTGGGGTCATGTACATAGCATTTCTGGGGGCACTAATGCCCATAGTGGGCGGTATTCTTCATGGATATTAAGATTTTGCGAAGCTGTCGGGTAGTTCATATTGCTGGAATATATACCCCCAGATACATCTGAGAAAATGGCAACGCTTCCCCACGGGATGATATTACAGTTATGCTCTTCATCCTCACCACCGTCCATCATGGAAAGCGGAATGGAATGAAGTTTTTCCGTAATTGATCCGAACTACACATCATTGCGGCTATCGTGTCTCATTCCCTCACTTCTCTCCAGCGAAAAGAGCAGCCATCACATCTACTACCATTGTGCAAGTTAGCGCTCGCGATGAATGAGCAGGCTTCTTCGATCAATCTCCGTGCACCATTCGGGCCTCTCTGCCAACAGACGCTCTCGCCTCGTCGCCTATCCATCTGAAAATGCTCCCCAGTGTACACCGTGAAGTTCCGGTTCACGTCGCGATTGCTGGCTGGCAGACCTTCGAGAACCAAGGATCCCAACATACCTTGTCTATGCCTGAGCATTCGCCGCCCCTCCCTTTCTTCCAATTTTCCCGGGTTGACATAAACTTCGTGTCGAGCCTGGTCGAAAGCCTAAGAAGGTGGACGGTACTCCACTCACAAGATCTTGAGAATCTGGCGGACGCTGAGGTTCAGCGTGCTTTATAACGGCATATATGCTTTCTCACGACGGCTCGCTCAGGCTCAGGCGACCAGCCTGACGCCAAACACTGCTATACTCTTGCTCTTGAGGTCTATGTGCATCATCCGGTTCGATTGCAGATACTCTACCGTCGACCTAACGTGTCAAGTTCCGAAGGCTAGCAGACATTCTCTGCGTTCCGACACGCAACCATGTGCACTGCAAACCTTGCCGCGTGAAGGCTTCTGCGAGGGGTTTGATTGGGGAGACTTTATTCACGCTCGAGCCTGTTTACCCCGTTGCCAGATCAGTCATCACGATATCTCCAGTATCCGAACGCGATGCTGCTGATCCAAGGCTGGATAGTCAAACGACCCAGTCGACGGAAAGCCTCTTTCAGAGAATCCAACCAATAACCAGTTGGATGAGGTATATGGGATGGTACTCCTTTGCTCAATCATGGCAGTGACCAAACTTGGTGAGACTTCGTGTGTATGGTAGGTCTTGAAAGAACCTTTTCCACCGCTTCTCCTTTGCCCAACAATACAGTCTTGGTACAGAGGTGTATGAACCATTTCCCGGGCTTCCTCCCTTCGAGTATAAATTGCCACAATGCCGCCCCTCTCCTATGTCTGCTGTCCATAGACCCAAAATACCAACACACACACGGCACGCTCGACGGCAGGCAGTATACAACTCAGCACAGTCTAGCTACATTCGCTCTCCCAGCAGCAAATCCTACAGCACACTCGTTCTCTACAGATCCGGATGCACCAACGGACACAAATAGCTCGGCACACCACTCATTTTGGACAAATCGTTCGAATTCATCCTCAATCTTACGAAATCCACAGTTATCGACGCATATTTGTCACATCTATGCGACATGGCTATCCTCAGTCCAGAATATGGAAAGATGTATGGTCAATACAAACAAGCTACAGACAACGTTCTGTCCTGGATCAGGACTCTCTACAACCGACCGAGCACAATTCCCCTGAATAATCATCTCCAGTTGGCCGTTTCAGCTGTTCGAGACGGAATCCAAATGCCCGACAACATTCTCGAAAATCTCACAACAGCAATCGACCTACGAAGCAAAACTACGGAGTTGCACAGACAAAGTGGCACATCGGATCACGGGCACGACCACATGATCACAGTTCTTCAAACAATCTCAACAATATTCTCTCCTTCGAGACTAGCAACACCAGAACCGACTTCTGCATGTGCTACACTTCCAGCACCCACTCCTTATTGGCAGGAGCACCTCACACCTCGACCTCTTACTCCGCCTCATCAGGGGTGTTTACCACCATTTCCTTTTCAACAAGAGTGGTACCCTCCCTCGTTTTGTGAATATGATCACATCTATCAATATCAACAACACTGCTACGGGGACTTCTACTCGCCTCTTCCCCCTCCTCCACTACTGCCACCGCCAGGCCTGTATCCGATTTGGGGGCTCCCTCAGCATCAATATCCTCATGTCAACCCAGCCATCACCATGAGCACTCACAACATGAATATGCCGGCTTCTATGTTTGAGCGTGCCCCTGGCTATTGATTCAGAATCTCAGATGTTTCCCATACAACCAATTCACCACGAACCCAGTCAGCAATAGATTCAGCCATCAAAACCGCCGTGTCTATCAGATGTTCATCCTATTTGTCAGAAATATACGTCAGTTACAACAAAGCCAAAATGGCAAACCCTCTAGCAATAACTCAACACATACCACGACGACATCGAGACTGAGTACATTTGATCAAATCAACCACAACTACCGCCGCCGCAATTGCATCAACAGTTCCCACACGAAGGACACAATTACAATCCTCGTGCCGGTTTACACCTTTGGAAAGATCCAACAAAGTATGAGTTAGTGCCGGTCCGACAACGCTTATAATTATTGACCGTCTCCAGTCTATTCAGAACAAGCCTCAGCACGCAGCAGACACGAACGCGCGGGTGGTTGGAGAAAGGGAGGAGCCAGTCACAAAAAGCTACAAGTCAACGCGAGCTGCTAAGACGTACAACTCCGCGCGTCGCTTGAAGTGCGCCTATGCGCATTGAACGGTCAAGTCTTTGGAATGGGATTTGACGTATGGATCTAAAAACGACAACGAAGAACTCGATGAGCGAGTCATATGTTTTCATAGTTGACTCAAAGCATCCACTCAGGAAGGTTTGGAAAATCGGTCCTGCGGGACTTTGGAAAGAGGAGGACGCCCTGCGTCAGAGAGGCACCTTCTCGCGGTGCAGGGTGTGAGTAGCAGTTTTCTAATTCGTCTAGAGACTGCGAAACCAAGACCTCTCATTTTTGCTTTAAGGTTCTGGCCGCCATGTGACGGTGATGCGAGGCAGTTTGGGTAAGAGATATTGCTGCTGCACGTTGGTGTTCAGGGGGAATAAGCGAGACAAGTTCCTCTACAACACAGCGGGTGGAAGCTTCCGAGTGTGACAAAGATAATTAGCCCTCAGTGCCTAGCCGCTGCCCTCTTGACTCCAGGTGAGGCTGAAAACCAGAGATTCTCCTCCAAGCAGTAAGCCCATGTGACAGATACCATGCAAGTTTCCGCAACTTCTCAGCCCGTGGCGCCCAATGGACTGCTGGCAAGTGGTTCCATTCAGCCTAATGAGCAACACCCGGCGGTGGCTGTACATTGCACAAGGCATCGCCCTGCTGCTCTGGGCTTTTTTCGATTCAAGACCTCACTTTCTCCCTGCGAGCCATTCCTACTTGGCTCACTCTTCACCTGCTGTTGAGCAATGTCGGAAGTCTTGTATACGTTACTTGGTCAGGTGACTTCAGGATTGGACAAGCAGAGCTCTAATACTCCTACGACCAGCACTTGTGAATCCCTTCGCTATGCCTCAAAAGACTCAGCTCTCCGCCGATGCCTACACTGTTGGAATTATCTACGTCAAGTCTCTTGAAATGAATGCAATCACTGCGATGCTGGACGAACACCACGAACAAGAATGAAGGATCGGTATAAGCGTCCCCCCATTCGCGATCGGTTATTCCGAGCAGACTGTGACCACGAAAAAGATAGCAACTGCATTGACCACAATGATGATTGTGAAGTGCAACGGCCTGATCGCGACCCTCCAGATGAGATCCAGATCCACTATAGCACGATCCTATCAGGCGACTTGGTCATGAAGTCTGCAAAGAAGCGAGACGAGCGAGCTCAGCAAGAGATTTTACAATTCACTCTGTTTCGAGATGGAAGCCGCTGGATTGATGGATGTCTTCCCCTGCCTGGTTGTCCGCGGCATTTGCGCTTATTCGGATTCTCACAAGAGCACAGAGTGGCAAGAATATGCAGCGGCAACGGCCGCTGCTTATGCTCGAGAAGTTCTTCTTGTGATGGCTCCAAGAGTCGTTCAGGGGCTCGCAGAATCAAACCGTGGTCAGTCAATTTGATATTCCTGAAGCTAATATCTCCCGTCCACAGCCACGAAGATGACGGGTGAGCAATTTGTGCACTATCATCTTTCCCTTGGCAACAAATTCTTCGTTACGTCCCTGGGCATTCGGAGATCCACCGAGCTGCGGACTATCTGAAAGGCCAATTGATTCTGTAGTGGGCTGGCGCTGTAGCATGCGCTGACAATTGATGCAACTAGGTCGACTCGAGTCATTTGACGAGCGTAGCTACAGTGGTAGGCGATACCTCCAAAGCCCCTACATCTCTGCTTACAGAAATTCCACAGATTTTCTGAAAATGCTCTCCTTCACTGAGATGAAAGTTCGCCAGGAACAGGTCGACCCTGCATATAAAGCCACCTACAGGTGGGTGCGGACATCCACCGAGTATCTATCTTGGAAAGCTTCGGACCCGGGAAAGCTCCTCATTAAAGGAAAAGCTGGCTGTGGAAAGTCTACGTTGATGAAACATTTGCTGGATACCGAAGAGGCGGAAAGACCTCCCGACACCAACTTCGTCGTCTGCGGGTTCTTCTTCAACGGTAGAGGAGTTTCAATGGAGAAACGTCTTGATGGAATGCTGCGAACCATTCTACACCAGATTCTCTCTCAAAATCCTCTCGTCTTTCAGTGTCTCGAACCATTCTACCTCAAGATGAAAGCGGCAAGGGGATCTCAGGTACGGTCGGTGGAATGGACAAAGGAAACCCTGGAGAAGATGCTCAAGGAGGTAATGCATTTCCCTGAATTTCGAGCGTTAATCTTCATAGATGCTCTCGACGAGGGTGAAGGGTTTCTGGCGCCCGACGTGTTTGAACTTTTGGAAGAGCAGTTGCAGACAAGCCAGGACCAGTCGACGGCAGCTATACGGATTTGCCTGTCAAGCCGGCCTGATAATTTCACCGACCACAAATCAACATGGACCACGATTGATCTTGGCCGATGCAATTTTGAGGGCATCAAGGCATACGCACATGCCAAGCTCAGCGATACTGCGAATCAGTGCTCTAATACAGGATTATATCCCTGGTAACAGAGCTGACGGATGATATTTTGCGCAGAGCCAACGGCGTATTCTTGTGGGTCAAGCTCGTCATCGATCAACTGAGAGAAGCCATGGTTGATTGGGAAGAAGTATCCCAAATCCGAGCAATACTTTGTGCCACGCCAACTGATCTCTACGACGTCTTTCGAGGAATGTTGAACAAGGTCAAAGCTCAGCATTGCTCCGCAATGCAGTTCATATTGCATGTCATTTTGGTAGCAGAAAGACCTCTGTCCATTGGGGAGCTGATAGGACTCGTGGAGTCGCGGTCATTATCATCGTCGAAGCCCTCCGACAACCCATATTGCGACACAACACCTGCCAGGTCCAAATCTACAGAGCAGATGAGAGTCTGGATTCAAAATCGATGTCGTGGACTTGTCGAAGTCACCGAGCCAGTCGACAAAAATAATTGGCGGTACATACACAATAAATGGGCAACAGAAGTACAATTTATTCACCAGTCCATCAAGGACTTTCTCGGAGCCAATCTTCTTCTGGTCGACCAGAACAACTATCCATCGTCGAGCAGCGAAGCAAGGGGTCATGAGCTCATGTTCGAATGCTGCCTGGCGTACCTTGAACAGCCAAAGATCTTATCCCTCCAAGACGGTCTTGTCCCTTCCGGTCAGGACGATCGGCGAATGTCTGAAGAAGATATTGTAGCGAAATACCCACTGTTATTTTACTCGCCCTTCTGGATCAAGCATCTCACGAGATTCCTTGAAATTTGTCCTGAATATGGAGACAAGCAACAACTTGAGCGAGCCAAACAAGTCTTCACCAAGTGGTGGGCATTCCCATACTATGGAGGCGCACATAAAACCTCTACAGGTCTTTACGTAAGAGAATATGACAGAGAGTACGGTTACAACCCAAGAAACTACTCGAGCCTCATGTCATTTTCTGCCTATTATGGCTGCATTGGGTTGTTTAAAAGCCTCCTGGGCTGCTGCGGATTGCGTGCAGAGAGACAATCCCTTGGTGAATTGTTGCTGATTGCATGCAGTTTGCAGAGCCGGAATTGGCGTTGGGCCGGCGGAACGCCTTTCGGCTCTGAGGACACTGTATGGCGAGCTAAGGAGCAGATAGCTAGCCTGTTGCTCGATGAGGGTGCTGATGTCAATTTTCAGCTGCCTGACTCCGAAGATTACGCCTTTGGATCGCCTTTGATTGCCGCTTGTTATCACGGGGATACTAGACTTGTGTCCACATTGATCAAGCATGGTGCCGACGTGAACATGAGAGTTGAAAATGGAGTCTGCAAATCTCCTTTGATTGCAGCCTGTGACAGTAGAAGTGTCCCTGTGGCTGCGCTGTTAGTTGACCATGGAGCGCTGGTTAATGTTCACCTTGGGGTTGGGGGAACTCCCCTCGCCGACGCTGTTTGGACAGGGAATCAAAATATGGTAGAGTTCCTGATCGGAAAGGGGGCAAATCTCAACCCGCCTCGCGAATGGTGCAATTATGGGTCTCCACTGATTATTGCAGCAAAACGGGGAGACGTGGAGATGGTCAAGTTACTCGTTTCTCGCGGCGCAGATGTCAATCTTCAATGGAAATACAGGTTCGGCTCTCCTCTGATCGCGGCAGCTGCGTATAAGAAGCTGGAAACAGTGGAATACTTGGTCAAGGCAGGTGCAGATGTTGATCTGCTTCCTGAGTTTGGCAGTCATGGCTCAGCCTTGGCTTGTGCTTGTGCCGGTTCCGGAAACAAAGGAATGGCCGAGTGGCTCGTTACAAATGGCGCCAATATCAATCTGGAGCTCAAGAGTGGAGAATACCGATCAGCATTAGCTGCTGCAGCGGCGCAGGGTCATGTGGGTGTTGTCAGGATGCTCGTTGACCGTGGGGCCGAGATCAATTTGACGCTTCGCACAGGACCACACAGATCTGCCCTGGCAGAGGTGGCCTCCTCATACAAGAGTGGAATCAAGCGGCGTATAAAGGTGATGGAGTTCTTGATCGCGAAGGGTGCTTTTGTCGACGTGGTGCTGTGCGAGAATAAGTTTGGCGCTACATTCCTTCGGGTGTTGAAGGGTTTCCAACAGCGCAACGTTGAAGTCGGCACGAGCAGCCAGGGAAACCGGTCGGTGGATGACCTCTTGCTTGAGAACAAAAAGATACTCCATCCCTGGAATTGGATGGACTTGAAGGCATTAGGGCCTTCAGGAGTATTAGATGACGATGGACCGGAAGACGCAGAGGGATGGCAAGAAAAAGTCGAGAGCTTTGCCTTGGAAGAGTTGTTCCTATTGGAAAAGGACTGAGAAGCTCCTCGACTTTGCCCCTCGCTTCGAGCCTGCAGCTGTGTTAACCAGGATTTGCAAAGCTTGCCAAAACGAGATCGATCATGGTCGCACTGGAGATTGAAAGAAGCTGTCGAGTCTGCTTTTGTCGTGTGAAGGACTATACTAGCATATCATATACAGCTGACTCGATGAGGCAAGCAGTGGCTTTTCTGTCCTCCGTCTCCAACAAGTAGAGGCTCTATGCGAGTGCCGGTGTCTCATCCTTGCATACAGCATGTAGCAACATTCCGCTAGCGACTTTCATATGGCAGCAAAGAACCTGGATGTTGGCGCGAAGGTAGGAACTATTTGCCCTGGGCGAGCATCCATCCCCGATCATGGAGTTCCGCCCGATATCATGGTGGGATTCACATCAGGCTTAGGCCACCCGTATCCGAGAAATTACTGCATTTGGACGCAGATGGCCTCGTCATATATGTTACGTTACGGGCCAGGCCTTTGAGAGACTCGCTGATGTCGCAGCTGCGTTGTTCTGACATATAAGAAACAAGAATCCAGGACAGGAGGCCTGAAGGCCTGATCTATGTGACTACAGGCTGGTGTTTCGACAAATATTTATACTTGATCGCCAGCTCGAGAGTGGCTGTCATGACTGCTGGACAGTAATCTTCAGCTGCAAATCTCAAACATGTATCTCCAGAGATCCCCGTCTGGTGCCGCTGTGGTGCCCAATGTTATTGGAGGCGAGGTTGTGTCTTTGCCCGAATCCCAGAACTTCCCCGTCGTTCAAGGCTCGACCGGTGACACCATCCACTACGCCCAGAGCGCGACCGTCGACGTCGGAATCAACGCTGTCGAAACCGCGGCTGAGGCGTTCAAGACGTGGAGGAAGACTCCGCTCGCCCAGCGCCGGGCGATATTGGACAAGGTCGCCGACATCCTGGACACCAAAGCGGAAGAGTTGGCAAAGAGGGAGATCCCCGAGACCAGTTGTGACCCGCACTGGCCAGAGTTCGAGGTGACCTGGGCGTCGAAGTTTGTGAGAGAGACGTCGGCCCATGTTTCGACCGTGTGCGGGAGCATTCCCGACTCCGAGATACCGGGAACGACGTCGTTGGTGTTTCGAGAACCCGTTGGCGTCGTCCTGACCATCATACCGTAAGTACATTCCACTCCTTGAGCAGCCCGCACTCTCTGACCAACCCGGTGGCAGATGGAACGCTCCAACTATTCTAGCCTGCCGTGGTATCGCGGCTGCCCTTGCCGCTGGCTGTACCGTGGTGTTCAAGGCGTCTGAACTGTGTCCGTGGACCCACCAGCTGGTGCTCGAGGTCTTCGCCGAAGCAGGACTACCAGCCGGAGCACTGAACAAGATCCAGTGCTCCCGTGCTGACGGCCCTGCCGTCACCGAAGCCATCATCAGCCACCCGGCCCTGCGAAAGGTCGAATTCATCGGCAGTGCCGCGGTCGGGAGGATTATAGGGAGCGTGGCGGCCAAGCATCTCAAGCCTGTCTTGATGGAGCTGGGGGATCAAAGCCCGACCATTGTGCTGGAAGACGCCGATTTGAAGGCTGCCGTGCAGAATTGCCTGCAGGCAAGTATGTCCCTCCTCTCCTGTCCCATCACGCATGTCTCAACGTGTGTTAGCGATCGCCCACCACGGCCAGATCTGTTTCGGCACCGAGCGAATCATCGTCCACGAGAAGGTGGCCCGGGAATTCACCCAATTGCTGGTTGAAGCCGCGAAATCCGTACCCTCAGCTGGCCACGCCATCACCGTGGAGGGAGCAAAACACGCCCACGACATCCTCGAAGCGGCCGTGGCCGACGGCGCCAAGTTCCTCGTCGGCAGCGCCAAATACACGGGGCGCACCTCACTTGAACCCTCGATCTTGACGGGCGTGGATCCCAAGTCTCGGCTCTCCCGCGAGGAGTCGTTCGCGCCGTCCGCGAGCTTGTACGTGGTCAAGAGCGACGAGGAGGCCCTGGCCCTGGCGAACGACACCCCCTACGGCCTGTCCGCCTCGGTCTTTACGAGGAACCACGCCAAAGGACTCGCCCTGGCCAGGGACTTGGAATTCGGCCAGGTCCAGATCAACTCCCACACCATGTCCATCAACGGTAAGAAAGTCCTTTCACGTCCATGTTGAAGATGGCCACTGACAGCCGATGAAGTCGCCGCGCCACAGACGGGGTTCAAGGGCAGCGGATGGGGAAGCAACGGTGCCGCTTATGGCATTGGGGAGTTTCTGTTCAGCAAGCACGTTTCGCTCGCTCCGTAATTAATCTTGAAGGAGCCATGTGGACGACCGAGGTCGGTGCGAGAGCCCGCGCGGTCGAAGCAGCGGATCAAATGGACCTCGCATAAGGAACCACAAGGCACACTGACTGGCGCCCTGCTAAGAGAAGTAAAGACCTGAACACCAGTTTTAGAGCAAAAACGCAACGTTGAGCATGTCGTGAGTGGAGAGGCCCCTTTTCTGGCATCCCGATTCGGGGCTGGTGGGCTCAGGGGCGGTTGAGGTTCGAATACGAGTACTCCGTAGAGCGCCATCCTTCCTAAATGGGTCTAAACCTGTTGGCTCTGGGGTCCACAGCCTTGCGCCGCATGGCGTTGTTCGATGCGAGATCCAGTGGTCTTGTTCACCCTTGCGTATTGAGCTCGCCATGAGAAGAGATACGCTCACTTACTCGTATTAGTGTACAGTTGCGCTTCCTAAATTGGTGGTCCGGACCATCCAGTGTCCCGAGACTGACGAAGAATAGCCAGCCTTCGAGCAATGATTATATCCATATCCCCTCCGTCTCAATAGCTGGAGGATGTGCCTCGAGACTCCCATCAGCCAGCCCAGAGGCCAATAACGAAGAGTGCTGGCAGCACCTCTGCTAGGGGTACGAAAAAGCCCAAGAGCAAATAAGACGCAGTCCTCGAGGACTCGCTACAGCAGTAGTTCTCCGACTGCGGGTTTGGATCATGACCACCAGACGAGCAGGACAATGCCTCTGCCCGCCCCCCCCCCCCCCCCCCCCACCCCCCCCCCCCCCCCCACCCCCCAACTGCATCTAGCTCTCACAGCACTTCGATAAGTATCTATACTACGTCTAGCTCGCATACTTCTTCAACTGATGCCTAAACAGCATCCAGCACGCCTAATCTCTCGACAGGTGCACATCCTACGTCCAGTGCTCCCGATACTACCTCAACGACTATCCATCCAGCCTCGACAAGTACCAATACCACAACAGCCGATGGCACATCAAGTATCAGCACCTCTTCAAGGACGACCTTATCATCGAGCAGCAGATCCATTGCGTCGGCTGGGGGGTTGAGTTCTGGCGCCAGCCCTTCATCGTCCTCTATCTCTTCGTCTCCCCCCAGCAACCATCTCGATGTCTACTGGCCCAACGACATCAAGCACTAGCATCACGTCTACTTGATTACCAGTCAGTCTACGTCGTCATTGAGCACCTCGCTCTCGTAGCTTGATATCTTTTCTTCGTCTGGACAAGCTTTTGGATTGGTTCCTTTGTGGGCCGGTATCCATTTATTTCCCTCTTCCATCCTGTTTGGCGACACAGCCACAGAGAAACTACCCGTAGGTCTCTAGCCAGATAAGCCACAGGGACGAACAGGGATGATGCACCGCCACCACATCTTCAACCACTCCGAAGACACAGAATGCTAAAATGACATCATGTTGCATGTCCCCCACGCGTCCTTCAAGCGAGAACAAGGTACATGCCAGGCTTTGGAAGGGTCGATGATCTCTGCAGAGCGCGATGATGAGGCTCACTAGGGCCTGCCTGGCAACCCAACCGTGGTGTGTCTCCGACAATCCTGCAATGGGGGAAGATACCCTCGTATCTTTTCACCCTCACCTTCGTCCGGACTGATCTACCTCTTTGACGCGTGGACGTTTCTACACTCACGCCTGTCTACTGTCCTAATTATCCTAAGCTGATATGATTGCGTGCCTGGGATCGACACCGAGTTGACCAAGAATTGGAAAGATAAAACCTGGCTGGCGCAGCTCGGGCATCGTTCTGATATACCAGCTCCGTAACCCAGCCAGGAGCGTTGTTTGTGCGCCTTGGATCGCGGCTTCCCAAACCCCCAACAAACGAGTCCAGAGATTGCGAAAAGTTCCATTGACCTTCCCCAGCTGAGAGCGTTCCAAGGCCTAGACACAAGGGAAGCAAACAGTATTATTAGACTCACACCTTCAGCCCACCAACCTGGACCCCTCCACGACCTCTGGTGCCGGGGTGCGCAGATATACCCTGGGAAACCCACCTAGAGCCAGTCTTGATACAACTTCCATCTCATCTCGGGGCAAGATAACGGAGGCGCATCTATTTAGGCACGACTTTGAGCGAATATTATCAGTCCGATCGCGTGGAGACGTCCAAGGAACCACCACCCACCGTCATCTCTAGCTCTACAAGCCTTTACGGACGAGAGGGATCATCGATAAGGCCAGAACGCAGGGGGAGAGTGAGTGCATGCACAAGGGGGTATTCGCTGTTGCCATCACTTTCCAGCTATTAGCTATGGCCCGAGACCGGTGTGCAAACGGGAAGAAGCACCCCAAGATGTCCAGCCCACGAGACCATGTCCAATTCCACACGACGTCGTCCCACGCACCATTCCCGCTCTCCGCCCTCGTCGCCGTCGTCGTTCTCCTCCTCCTCCTCTCCACCGTCCAACTCGCCGCCGCGGCCGCTGCGGGGGACGTCCCCCTGCTCCCCCTGCGCGTGACCAACAACTGCAAAGAACCTATCTGGCCAGCCATCCTGACGCAGTCCGGCACCGGCCCCGCGAGCTCGGGCTTCCTGCTCGCCCCCGGTGCCACGAACCCGCAGACCGTCGGGCTCGACTGGAAGGGCCGCGTGTGGGCGCGCACGAACTGCAGTTTCCCCACGACGGGGTCGGGGTCGGGGTCCGCGCCGGCCCCGGCGAGCGGGCAGGGAGGCAGTCCGTGCCAGACCGGGGACTGCGGGATGTTTTTGGAGTGTCAGGGTGCGGTGAGTGCCTTCTGCTGCTATTCCTTCACACATTGCAGGAGTGAACGGGGGAGGATATTAGTCGAGGGAGAGTCGGATATTGTAGGAGACTTTTGCTGAGTGGGATATTTTTGCTGATTTGGATATCATGCTCTGCTTCAGGGTCAAGCACCAGCAACACTGGCCGAGTTCACCATGTCGTCCGACACCAACCAGTGCTTCTACGACATCTCGCTGGTCGACGGCTACAACATCCCCATGGGCATCATCTCCTTGCTCAGCCAGACCGGCGACGCAAACCTGACCGATATCCCTCCCAACCTGACCAACCCCGTCTGCATCGGCACCTCGTCCCTTCTCGCCCCCGTGGGTGACGCCCCGGACGCCGACTTTGGCTCAAATTCCACGTACCCCCTCCCGCTCGACCAGGCCGTGACTTCGTCCTTCGTGCAGGATTGGTGCCCGTGGCCGCTGCAACTCACTCCGCCCACCAAGCCGGGCGACGGCGTCTATCCTTACCCCGATGACAACATCCAACGACCCATCTTCAACCCCTGCCTCAGCGCCTGTGCAAAGTGGAACAAAGCTAAGTACTGCTGTACTGGTAATCACGGTACGCCCGCCACCTGCTCCCCGAGCCTCTACTCGCAGCAAGCGAAGAAGCTGTGTCCCGATGCATACAGCTATGCCTATGACGACCAGACCTCCACCTTCATCATTCCCCAGGGCGGAGGATTCGAAGTCGTGTTTTGTCCTGCGGGCCGGAGCACCAAGATCCTCGCCACGTTTGGGGACCAATTGAGGCAGTTGGCACAGACGGGACATGCAACGAGGGATATCATCTCGTTGGCGCAGAATGTCTCCTATATCAGGGAGAAGAGTGCTGCTGACCGGGTCACCGTGCCGAGCACTCTGTGGGTTGTCTTGGTGGGATTGCTGCTCTCTTGGGTTGGAGGATTTTGAGTTTCGCGCCGAGTAAGAAGCGGAGAGTGCCTGCGTGCACTGGCTGCGCAGGAGTTGGGTCTCGGTCTCAGCATCGGATCCTGTCGCATTGTCGATGATACCCTTTGAACGCAGCAAGTGGAATTTATTGTTTTCAGTCATGGCGATCCACCCACCCCCCTTTCTCACCCCTTCTCATCCCCTTTACTGTTCCAACTCCATCCCAGCGTCTTGTGGTCCATCTCGTAGCTCTTGTTCTGCCACTGCAGGGTGGTCACGCCGGGGATGATGGCCGAGCACGATCCGGGCCACGGGGCCTCCTCGCCGCCGTACAGTACGGCCCACAAGAGCCTCAGGTCGCGCGTCGGGAGCTTCTGCATGAGCACCTTGGTGGCGGCGACCTGGATCTGCTTCTTGCGGTCCTGGTCGTCCTGCGCGAAGACCAGCGCTTGGTGTTCGCTCAGGTAGCTGTCATGCTTGACCGGGTGCGCTTTCCAGCGGCCCGACGGGGTCAGCGTCGACAGTCGTGGAATCGCCGGCGCGGCGGGTTGGGAGGGCGCAGCTTGCCCGTCGGTTGGAGCTGGAGCTGGCGCTGAAGCTGGCGCTGGAGCTGGCGCTGGAGCTGGCGCTTGAGTTTTGGGTCGAGCTGGAGCTGGAGGTTGAGATTTGGGTTGAGTTGGAGCTGGCGCTGGAGCTTTGGGTTGAGCTTTGGGTTGATCCTCAACTTGCGACTGAAGCTGAGCTTGGCCTCGAGCTTGAGCTGTGACTGGGGCTTGAGCGTTAACCACTGAGTTGCCTTCACCTGGGGCGTCACATTGACACGGAATTTGAGATGGATGCCTCCCTTCGGCCTTCAGCTGGGCTTGTTCCGCCGACCAGGCTCGAATTTCCGTCCGAAGTTGAGCAAGAGACTCGATCCGAGCCTGGAATTTGGCCTGTTCTTCGGGGTCTGGTTCAACTCGACCGTGACGCTCAGCCTGAACCTCAGCCTTGATTTCAGCCAAGGCCCGCTCTGCTTTCTCCACCTCGTCTACGATAAGCGTGTAATCGAATGTTTCGGGGTCGAAGTTTTCGAGATCGAAGGTCTTGAGGTCAAAGGTTTGTGGCTCTTTGCGAGTATGTTCTGCGTTCGAAGGGGCCTGACCCGAAGGTCCAGATGATGTGGTTCCTTCCTGTTGCTGCTGTTTTGGAGGTTTGTTCTTCGGCAGATCGATGCTCTTGTCCACTTTTTCCAGTGACTTCTTTGCAGCAGAGCCTGAGGTGGAGTTCGTAGACGATGAGGGTTTGCCATTGACAAGTTCCACTTCACTCTTACTTGCACCAGCACCAGCGTCGGTAACCGAACTCGCACCCGCAGTAGCACCTGGGATGGCGCTGCTTGGATTTGCGACACTTGCTTGTTTTGCCCTTGCCTTCAGCCGCATTGGAGTGAAGTAATTTTCCAGCGCCCTCCAAATATCTGACGCGATCTCAATCGGCTCGGCGATCTTCCATGCTTCACTCCCGGGCACCAAAGTTGACAGGATCAGAGCTTTCGCGCGGGCATTCTTCGTCCAAAAGTCATCCGTGAGGCTCGGCGTCGGGAGGGTCAGAGGGATGTAGGGAGTTGTTTCTTCGACAGCTGCAGCGGGTGCAGAGGGCGCCGCCTTGGCCGGACCAGGCGGTTGAGCAGGACTCTTGCCCTTGGAGGCATTAGGCTTGGATTTCTTGTTTGGCATGATGTCTGTGTTTGTTGTGCGGTGGGAATCTTTTGCGGTTCTTCAAGGCAAGGAGGTGGCCTTTGCTTGAATCCCCCCAGTGTCCTGGCATAGTTGATGTCACAGCGACTGAGCGGATCACTACGACAGCGCTGAACAAGAAGTATGGTCCATTTAATGTGCACAAAGGCGACGTGTGGGAGTCTTGAATATGCGCTCATGGGGAAAATACTTGGACGAAGAACAGTGCGGTGGTGCAAAGAAGCAAAGAGTGCATTTCACTTCACGACTTCTTCCCTCCCTCTGCCTATGTCTGATATTTGAGACAAACCACCCACAGACAATGCCAAACTTATCTTGTAGTGAAGCCTCTGACGATGCTACACTGTCCATGCTTGCGCTACGAGCTCGGTCGCGCCCTTTTGTCATCGATTTAGAGCGTGTATTTGAATCCCTCCTGCCCCTCGATTGGCTTCTCTAGAGTCCCAGCATCGACCTGTCCATTCTTCTTCCAGAAATACAGCGTGGTGCAGCAGACAGAGCCCAGGATCCAGAGCTGCAGCGCTGCAGTAGTCCACAACCCGCTTCTATAGGTCGGAGCCTCGTTCTGGGAGAAGGCCGTGGATGCGATGATGCCGCCAATAGCTCCGAACCCGATCTGAAGAGCGCTGCCTACGCTGCGCTTGGACTGCATCCGAATGTTGTTGGACTGATATGCGAGGATAGCTGGGATATTTCCCTGGCATCCAGCGATACCAAGGAAGATTCCGAAATATCGGACACCGTCAGAACCGTGATAGGCGGTGATCATGAGCCCCGTGATGACGATAAGTGCCTGAGTTACAATCACAGGGGCACGCTTGTGGTATTTATCGCCGATCCAGGCGAATGTCAAAGCACTGATCACCGCAGCGCCAACTGGAGGCGCCGATAGTAAATTAGCGATCCCGGCCGTGTATCCCATCCCCTGCCACAGGTTAGCTCAGGCTTCCTTCGACAAGTGTCAGCGCAACGTTTACCTGAATGATGACTGGTGTGAAGTATGCAAATGCATAAGCTGGCATGGTCGTCGACATGAACATTGTCGCACTGGCAAGAGTTAGCCGAGGAGACAGGAGACAGCGTGAATTGGTCCACATACAAGGCCCAGAGTTTCCAGTCTTTGAGATGGTAGCAGAACTTTGCCCATGTCAGAGGATCGGGGATGGCATCTTTCCGGTCATTCTCAATCCGTCGCACGATGAAGGAAGCTTGCTCGTGCGTTAAAAGACCCATTTTTTCCGCCTTGTCTGGGAAGTCAACAATAATGAACCATGCAATGGTGGCAACGACCACCGTCATTAAACCTTCAATGATCTGTTTTCCATCAGCCGTGAGAACACATCAGAGACTTATAGTCTTACAAAGATCCATTGCCACCCGCGCAGGCCGCCGACGCCTTCCATCTGCATCAGGCCATACGCAAGGATATTCGAGAAACCGCCGACGAGAACTGACAGAATATAGAAGAAAGCAAGACTGCAAACATTAAGCCTTTACGATTTCAACCAGGTTCCCAGACACATACCGCTTTTGAACCTCATATCGCACATACCAGCAACTGATCAAGTACACACATCCAGGAAAGAAGCCTCACAAGCACTGCGTTAGTTCGCTCCAAATATCGATGAAGTCTTTCCTTACCTGCTTCGAACAGACCCAGCAACGTGCGGCAGACGGCGAGAGCCTCATACGACTTGACGAATCCCTATGCCTGCGTAAGCCACAGAAGACACCGACAAGGCTGAAGGATGTCTTCTACTTGGCCTATCATGACGCATCCCCAAGAAAAGGCGATGAATGAGAGCCAATTGGCGCTTCCTACCCGGCGAAGGACGATATTCGACGGCAGCTGTTATGCGTTCAGTTCGGAAGTTTGAGAGACACGTGAGGAATCGTTACCTCGAACAAGAAGTATGGGGGGAAGAACACCACCAAGATGACAGTATATCGGTTTCCAATCTCCAAATCAAGGTCCTCTCCCATGCCGGCGACCCGTGCATTCGAGACCTGGTCAAGTTAATCTTGACGGCATTCCAGAGAAAAGTCTGGGATTTATACATTGACACGATCAATGAGGGCAATTGAGTACAGAGCCCCCAGAATTGGAAGCAGTCGCCAATCAATCTTCCGAATCAACTTGTTCTCCGCATGTCTGTCGTACTCCAGTTGGTCTTCATCCAGACTTTGTGGCTGCTCGCGTGCACTCAGATCCGACAACTGGCCGATCGAGTCATTGTATTTCTGGTCTGTGGACGACATGATGTCTCGAGATATGTCTTCCAATCTCGAATTTGTCTTGGTTTGAAGTCTGCTGGCCTTCAATCGTATGCTTTCACCTTCAGCTTGAGTGAAGCTCTTGCAGGAGCTGGAACTTGGAAGGTCGGAGTCTTATGGTTCTTGCTCCATCACCTCTGCCCAGGCATGGCAGACTGGGGTGAGGAATGAATTCCTCGTCCAAGACCCTTGGCTGTTCTTGTCAGGCGCTCTCATGTCCTTTCCGACCATGTTGTACGGTTTACCCCTCTTCCTGGCAGCTTGGCCCTCATCATTTAGATGAGTTGCCGCGTTATTGCCAAGCACCAACGCTGGCATTTGCTGATGCGTTCCTGGACATGCCGATGTTGTCGCAATACAACAGTTCTCATGCCTCGGTGCTGTGAGGCAGGTTAACGAGCTTTCTCGGTATATTTCCGTACGTGCGACTTTCCAATACCCGTATTCCGGGTTAGCAACAGAGACCGCATTTGAAAGACTGCGATGGCCAATAGGAGCGCTACCCTTGCAGAATCCGGGGATAGCGCTCTGCGTCTTTAAAGTTCAGTCGAGGCGCTCTTGAAGCTGGGACCAATAGCTGTCAAGCCCTCCGTGTCAACATTCCAACAAATGGTACAGGGCAATGCCCGGGTACTTTCGGTCAGATTTGGAGGTATACATTCAAAATGTTAGGATACGATTGCCAAAACGACACAATCGATTCACGAGCGTGCGAGAAGGACAGGGGATTAGATATGATAGCATCTACAGCGTTTCTTTGGCAAGAAGAGGAACTGCTCTTCTGCTGATCTGTCACCAAGCGGACCAGGAGAAATGCCGGTGGCGATCCTTGAACTCCTCTACCCCGAGGGTATCACCGTCCAACCTCGCCTAGTCAGATAAACTGGACTGTTATTTTTCTTGCGTGATCAAATCCGCGGCTTGGGCAGCAATGGCATAGGTCGCGACCTGAAGGTGTCCACAAATTGGCAGCGGAATCACGCTTGCATCCACGACTCGCAAACCGCTGACGCCCTTGACTCGCAGCTCGGTATCCACTACAGAGCCCATGCTGGCTGTCCCCGCAGCATGGAAGAAAGTGCGAGCTTCGGATCGCACCCGAGCGTCAATTGCTGCATCAGAAGACTCAGAGGTCAAAGCTTCGAGCGGAGGCGGAGGGGTCTCGGACTCGATCATGTCGGACATGGAGCTGACGGCTTTGAGCAAGCGGCGAATACCATAACGCATGATAGTGCGGTCGACATTGGTTGCGTTGTAGTTAGGATCGATGACCGGAGGGTCTAACGCTGAGGCCGAAGATATGCTGATCCAGCCACGGGACGTGGGAGACATAGCCCCAAGCACGGCGCCCATATGTGTTCCGTCGAATGGAACATGCAGGTTGGTGATAGGTTGGCCGCCAGGGGCGTATATTATGATTGATTCAAGGTGCGCTGACCGAGGATCGAGAAGAGACACGGCATACTCGTCTTCACCCCGAGAGGGATCGCCGGCCGTGTCTTTCTTCACAGCCTCCTCCAAGATGGGCCTTGGGACGTTCTCAGTCACGATCCAGTCCCCTGGAAGGCCAAATTGGTATACTGGGTCCCCCCAAGGACCAGCTGCTCCTCCCATGGCAAGACCCAACGAAGGGTCTTTGAGTCGAAAAGCAAAGCCGACAAGGAGGTGATCGTGGAAGTTCTGGCCAACCCCAGGCAAGTCGAGTTGTGGTGGAATGGTTACTTTCTTCAATTCTGCAGCTGAACCAATCCCACTCAACATGAGGAGCTGTGGCGTGCGAAAAGCCCCTGCCGAGAGGATGACCTCTTTTGATGCCAGAAAATGTCTCCCGTCGTGAAGTTGGACTCCTGTCGCGGTAAGCATTCCTTGTCTTTCCTCAAGAAGGACCCTCTGCGCCGCTGTTTCCGTCATGACTTTGGTGTCTCTCAAGTCGAATGCTGAGCTCGTCAGCTGCCTTTTCCCGTCCTTCCAGTTCTCAATCAACTCGCCGACACCTAGGGGATTGCCGCTGTTGGCGTTCTCGATTTTGTCCAGTCCGAGGTCAAGCCATGCTTTCAAGACTTCGTCTCTCAAGGGATACTTGCGGTTAGGGCTGCTCTTCGACACCGTCACAACCGAGATATGGTCCTTTTCGGTCCTCTCGAAATAAGGCAAGAGGCCATCATAACTCCATCTTGCGTCTCCCACCAGTTTACCCCAGCGGTCGTAGTCGACTTTCGATCCACGAGTCCAGGTGGCATAGTTGGTTGCGCTACCGCCACCCAGAGCCTTCCCACCGGCTTCATATAGAGACCGATCGTTGAGGTGCGGTTGAGGCACGGTCTTATAGTTCCAGTCAATGTCCGATCCGTGTGCACCAAAGCAGGCCAAGGGAGCCTGGGTTAGTGGATGAGCCGACACATCAGCGCCAGCTTCAATCAACAGCACCGAAGGCGTTGATTTTGATTTTGACAGGAGAGAGGCGAGCGTACAGCCGGCAATGCCGCCGCCTACTATAATGTAGTCAAAGGTGCCCTCAGCAGCAGCCATTCAGAAGGCTTGGAGAGCAGTGGAGAAATGGAGGAATCGGATTTTCGAAGTGTTTTCAGTCTTCGGCGCAACCTGTCTAGACTTCAGGCAAGGAAAGAAGCGGCGAGAGTGAGGTTGGGATTTCCTGCCGATGTCCGGACGGGCGTCCTTATAAAACCTCCCCGACTGGTGTCCCTTTACTTCCGCCAACTGGAGCGTTGGAGTCGACAACGTTGGATTCGGGAACAGAGGTCTTGAGGCAACCCATGCACGAGATGAATAATGCTTCGACCCCCCGGTTTCTCCTGGCCACCCACACAGCTGTCTGGGGATCGCTGGGTGGCCCGACCTTGTTCTAAACGAGTAGGCATGAATTGCCGATTTGATGAGCATGCTCTGGCTGGAAAAGGGCAAGCTGAATCGAACAAGTTTCGATATTTTCGGATAGTTCCAGGACCTAGGACGCCTCCACCTCCCAATCCAGGCTGTTTGTGCTGTATCTGAACGACCCGGGATTTCCGTCCGTGCAAAGGCAAAGTCTGAGTTTTAGGGCTCAGTAGGTGGCAGGCTGAGCAGGCTGAGGCTAAGCTCCCACCATCAGTTGCTGATCTTCTCTTGGGCGGCTTCTGTGACGTATCGTCTATCATGTGCAAGTCCCAGTCCACTCCGGGGCACAGGTGCTCGCATCCTCCAAAAGGCCAGAACCGATCCGTTACCGCTCGTCCTGACCAAAGGTCTCGCGAATCGTCGCAAGCATTTTTACCGTGGAGAACCCGGGCCAGTCAGGCAAGAGTTACTAAGCAGACCTGTCGCTTTTGGGCTTGAACACATTCCGTGGGCATTCCCAAGCATATGAGAAGGCTCCTTTCTCCATCCCCCTGGTCACCTCGACGCTGGAAGAGGCGGCTTGCCACCGTGGGATCGAAGGCCACAATGACCGGACTGGCGAACACCAACTAGCTGCATTATTAATCAGAACTGGCGAAGTCCAGTTCGTGCCGGCCACTCAAGTGCCAGTCGCCGGATCTCTCAAATGGATACGCCGGTGTGGTGTTTCGAACTTCTGCAGGTACCGCGGGATCAGCGAATGGGAGCAAAATCTCTCGGAGGTTCTAACGACACATTGAGACAGCCAAGAACTCGGTGCTGCAATGGCTAGCTCGACAGTTTTGTCCCTCTTGCCACGAGTCAAGCCAAACATCTCAGGACCCTTGAAGCCCAGCCTTGCTCGCGCCAGATCCATCTGTATCCGCGTCCACGCTGGCGCATCTTGCGACCCCGCCGGTAATCGCCACAATCTCGGGGCGAAGAAGCAACGCTAAGCTTGGTTAACGATGCTTGTCGGGTGAATGCTGGCTATCATGTAACAGTGTGATCTCGGGCGAGGAGGCTATTGGGCACCCCTCGGTCAAAATAGAACGCACTATCGGGGGTTGCACAATGAGACGCCTCTGTCGATACGTTTGCTATCTATTAAGGGATGTCCCTATGATCCCCATCCGAACCCTTACCTGCGTTGCAAAAGCTTCAAGCAAGGAGACTCAATGGCCCCTCAGCAACATTATCTCTGGGTCAGTGTGGGCTCAAAGGGAAGAGTTGGGAGTTCAGACCGACAAAACAGCACCATCAAGTCACACTGTGCGCAGTACTATCACAAAATCAATCGGCAGAAATTACGGACTGCGTTGGTCGACCTGGCAGTACCTGAGCCCACTTCAACCGAATCGTTCAGACCGTCACCGGCTTCATCTATATCATCTGAAGAGGAGGGAGAAGTGACCGTTAGCCCCAACCGACAAGGGGCCAGAAGGCTTCCCGCAGGGGAATCAAATCAGCAGATCAAAGCGCAAACAGAGCTGAAGACCGAAAGCAAGTCACGGATTAGAAAAAGGAAGCCACAAGAATGGCGAAGAGTCCGATGCCATAGATTTAGAAAGGTATCTATGCTCCATGTCTACAAGTCGTGTCTTGATGCCAGGGTAACACTTGAAAACTAACATGCGTCAGCAATCTTACGAGCGAGCGCCTAAGCCCGATGCTTGCGACACTCAACAAGAGGTTCCGCAGCGCTTGTCTGCAGAAACAGATTCCAACTCATATGCGACGCTCAGATCTTGTACGTTTGAAGGGAGAGGCACAACACTTCTTGCTGGCTACGAATTTAAGACGTTGTAAAGTCGCGATTGTCTGACTTGCTCGAGCAGTGTATACCTCGTGGCTTCCACACCTACACCCAGATGAGAATCCCGATCTCAGCACACAGGACCTCGATTTTGATGCAGGGCTCGGAGACCCCTTGACACTCTGTGTTAAGCTGACAGCCTTTTTCTCCCGAGCTGCATTCTTCTCAAGTTCCTCGCGTCGAAGCACGATTGCCAACAACGAGCCGTTCCCTATTCAACGAGCATTATACCTCTACAAACTTTCTGCAATTCAAATGATTCGATCAAGACTGAGCGAGAACCCGCAGAGCCCGGACCAGAACATCTTCTTGGGTATTGTAACTCTCGCAGGCTGCGAGTTCATGGCCAACAACCCAGAAGAAGGTAGATTACATCTTGAGGCTTGCTTAGAGATCGCGCACGCTCGTGGAGGTCTTTGTACGTTGTCCAGTCTTGAATTGGAGCTCGTGTGCCTAGCGGAATTCGACATTGCTGCTCTATTAGGGAAGGCGCCTTGTGCTCCTCTCCAAGAGATGGAAGCGGCTGTATATTCGAACATCTCCAAAGAGCGAATAGTGCCAGCTTGGGCGGAATCTGACCTGGCAAAATTAGACTGCTTGTGCACGGAAGAAGCTTCGCAGACCCGCCAGGGCCTTGCATGCTTGCTGCAGTCGACACATGGGCTCAACGGTTCGAAGTCTTCGAAATCACGCGCACGGAGCCAGGACAATCTCGTCCTGCGTGGTCTCTTTGCGGGCTTCTTGCTATGCTCCAACCAACCATATACGACCCCGTTGTACCTGACCGAGGACATCGGCCTCTACGAACCGTTACGAGTGGCTGGCATGCTCGTAGTTGCGGCCACATGCCTGAAAAACACGCCAAAGGACCACCTACTCGACCGCCTCACCACGGATCTGGCACTACAGCTGCAGCTGATGCCGTTGCCCTTCTACGGTCCGCGGCCTGTGGCCTCCGCCATGCTGTGGATCTACTTTGTGGGCGCCCACGGGTCTCCTGCGCCCCAAAAACGGCTGTTCTTCCAGCAGGGGGTCGCGCATGTGGCTCGCCTAATGGGCCTGGAGACCTGGGAGGAGGTTCGCGAACAGTTGAGGCGGTTCCCCTACGTCGATGGCGAGTTCGACGGCCCGTGCGAGGAGATTTGGAACTCGGCTATGATCTTGTCGAGCTTGACGGCACGGCCATGACCCCATCAGGCTGGTCCTGCATGGGGGTTTCGAGGTTCATTTTCTTTGAGCGTCCTTGACGTCCTGTATCGAATAGATTTCTAGACTCTCGGATGCCCTCTTTCCAACCCTACATTTGCTTTTCGCTCCATAAATGATCCCCTTTCGGCCATTAATCTCATCGACACAGGCTCCTATAGTATACCACCTTAGCCCGTACCTCTCTACATAAGTCACAGAGACAATGTGTCTCGAAGATAGCACCACGATGTTCTTGACGCATCTACCAGAGATCAAAGAACCGTGCGCGGGTTCAATACAATCACTCCACCCATTCACTCGAAGAGGCATTACTCCCTACCTCGTACAGACCAGGGCACAAAGATCGCATGCTACGCACCACCGATCTCCCCAACACCCTCCCTCTCCCTTTTCCTCGCTATGTCCAACGAGAAGCACCCACGGGCAGCATTGTCGCGGTGGTTCAGTCATCAAGGAAGATAATGACACTATTCCGACTTCAGCAAACGCACGGTCCGTCTGGTTGGTGGACTCCGGAACGAGGCTTCCGGGTTTAGCACGGGGGCTGAGGGTTGTTGGAATGGAGTATAGCCCCCCTTACCGAGTACCAGGAGTCCTAGTCGCGCTACACAGCGCACAGGCTAGTGCTGGACCCTGGCCTCTCTTTTACCAGGTACTTGTACTTGCAGTCAGCCCTGACCGGTGACCGGTTCCGGCGACCGGAGGATACCTCCTGGGTGACCACAACTCAGTACAGACTTGTTAGTTAGTAGTAGGAGTAGGAGGAGGAGTTGGTGGCCCTGGCACTGGCCCTGGCACAGCCCCCGGACGGTGCAGTCCATTATCATTCGGCGAGCCCGCACCGCACCGTAGTACCTCGCACTCGGATATCCGGCTCGGTTTTCGTTCTCGTTCTCCAGCCCCTCGAGAATATGTATCCAGACTAATTCGTGTGCGACGTAGCATGCAGGGCCACCATGGCAATGCTGAGATATCCTGCATTCCGCGAGCGCTTTCTCTGCCTGATTACAGTCAATCATAGTGTATTCGATGAGGGTAGTACTACAAGTACAAATAGAAAGTATACTACGCTGCCATCTACATCTACTTAGGCTAGGCTGTCAGGACGACCCAGCTGAGCGTGCAGGAAGGAGGCTTTAGCCTAGGATCTGCCATGACTCTGTGATGTGTGAACAGGGGGGGGGGGGCGCTGGGCTGCAGAATTCTGAAACCCACTGCCTGACGCTCTCTAGAGCTCTGTCGAAGAGCATTGGAGGCTTGGCCGCACTGTCAGTCGCGGGTATGACTACTCGATTGTCTTAGTTGGCACGGGGTTTTCAGCCTCGTCGCGGCCCCTCCAAGTCAAGTCAGCCAGAACACCCCGACCCTTATGCGCTGTGTCAGCCTAGAAGTTTTATAGATGTGGCCAGTGAATTACAGAATGATCCCTTGAGTTCGCCTAACCGCATGCTAATCTAATGCGCCACCTTAGAAATCGACTCGCCGCCTCTGGCTCTGCCATCCTCAGACCCCGATTGTCCTGCTGGTGGCCCTTTGTCTTGGAGCACAGCAACATGCTACTACCGAGTCCCAGCTCACTCATGGAAGCCGAGCCATCACTCGCTGGATGCAAACCTCCTTGGCTTCCTTCTTAATCTCCTCGCTGGCATTGGGCTTGAGCTTCATCCCCTTGGCGTCGGTCCCGCTGTCCACGGGAACCTCGGCCAGGAGCTTGAAGCTCAGCCGCTCGTACGCGCGGATGCCCTGCGCGGTCGTCGTGTCGAGGATCACCGGGCGGTCGGGGAACTCGGCGAAGTGCTGCTCGATCTGGTGGGCCAGCAGGGCCGACGCGTAGCGCTTCCCGGCGTACTTGGGGTTGCTCGCGATCATCTGGACGAAGGCACAGTCCTCCTCCTTGATCCCGCGCGGCGGCAGGTCCGGCAGCGTCCTGGTCCACATCTTGTGGATGTTCTCCTCGAAGACGAACTGGATGCGGTAGAAGCCCGTCAGGCCGTAGTGCCACGGCAGCATCAGGCCCAGGAAGCCCGCCTGCCACAGCTTGAGGAGGTCGAAGGCGCCCATCCGCTTCTTGGGCGGCAGCCAGAGCAGGATGGCGCCTATGTCGGGTTGGGTGGTGGTGGTGGTCGTCGTCGTCGCGGTGCCATCATCGGACGCGTTGACTTCGGCGACCAGAACCAGGCCGCCGAGCAGCCTCGTCACCTTGATTAGACTTCGGTAGAAGCGGACGCGGGTCTTCTGAAGGCTGTTCATGTGCGGTTTGCTGGTGGGCGTGCCGATCATCACGGGCTCCAGCGGTCGCGATATGCCCTGGAACCAATTGTGGTTCCTGCGCAGCGTCAGCGGGCTTGGTCCATGCCGCGCCACCCAGCACGCCAAGAGCCAGAGGTATCACTGTCAACTTACCAGAGTGGAAGGAATGCATTGCAGAGTATCCTCGAGAGCATGTCGTCCTCTTCTGGCGGTGCGGGCCGGAATATAGGGGTCGCCTCTCTATCGGGGGCGGCCGACGTGTCCTCAGCCTGGTTCGCCGCCATGTTTCGAGCGTTACGATAGGCGGCGATAGAGTAGGGAGTTCCTTGAGCAGTTGGAAAGTAAGAAGAGAGGCGAGAGCACTCTTATTGAGAAGTCGTGAGACGATGGTCTCGAGATAACTAGGCCGCCAGGTACTAAGTTCTTTGCGGACACCGGGGGACGAGCGACATTCCAATTGGCGGAAGCAGCTAAACGAGAAAAATACGATATACGACCACAACACTTCAAAACCCAGGAGAAATTCCGAGTCGCTTGTTTTCCTAACAACTTGGCCGTCGGTCTGGAAGAACCAGCTGTTACAGCACTTGCGAGGCACTGCAGGTACGAGGTATACGAAATACCGGCGACGACACCAAAAGTGCCGTTGGCATGGGCACAAGAATAGGTGGTTCGCGCAGATCGGAGCATATGCCTTGTAAGACCTCAGCTGGAAGGAATCAGGGTCGTGATGGGAACCAAGATGGGGTTTAGCCTCCACCAGGCGAAGAGAGTCTCGTTCATCTCTCCCAGACCGTCAATATTCTAGTTAATTTTGCCCCGAGGCAATGATGCAGCTTTGGGCTTGGCCGAGTCTCCAAGCGCGCTCAAGTATGGGGAACCGCGTGCTTGACTTCTTGTCGTGGCCCTGGCTCTTATCCCAAACAGGTGCGGACTCATCGTGCAGAAAACAGTCTGCGCAGATGCCTCCCACTTGCTAGTCGCTGGAGGTGAGGTATGATGCTTGACAGACTGATTATCCGCGTGCACACCATCGGTTTTGACAGCCTGGAATCGATCAACACTCGTATTCTTTTCGGTGATGTGCACCATGCGAATCAGTGACAAGTCCTGGCTGTCTTCGCCTGATCATACTCCTCCAGCAAAGGAATCCAGCGATCTCATCCGTGAGGACGACGTTGTCCTAGTCGAATCAATGATGGAGCTATCCCTCACCGTCGCGGTGTATTTGGCACCATTCGGCTGATTTGTGATGCATGCTGAATTTGTAAGTGAGCCGCTGCTCCGCCTCCCTGAACGTGAAGGAAACGCCAGGACATTCGACCGCGCGTTCTGTTGCAGCAATCTCGAAACGGTACAAACGACATGACGTTGAAGCTTGGTTCTTGGTTCGACAAGGCTCCCGATTCCCTTGACTGTCGCCTGCGCTAGGATCCCAGGAATCAAGCCGACACTGGGCCTTTCACACGCACGAAGTGAGCCAGAGCCAAATCTCATCCATCCTTGACAAACACTATCCTTCTCTTGCGGACACACTTAGACCCTACATGGCCAGGGCCGAGTAGAATAACCACCTGATGTCTAACGTGGGATAGCGTCGTGCAACTCAGCTTCGTCGATTACATCCAGCACACAACCAGTGTTGAGCTTGGCCTCGCATCGAATGAGGCATTTCGCGTGAGACACGGCTGGTTCGAGCGCAAGGTATCGAGGAGAGGACACGATCAAGTCTGCAAGGAAGACACGTCGAGTGTCAAGAAAAACGTTGTCAATTGGAGGGGAGGGGGCACAGAGGAAATGCCCGTAGGCGTGACAGCCCCTACAATGACGCCTGGAAGCACCAATAAGCCGTCGCTCCGGGCATAAGCATAGGGCGGCATCATCCTCTTACCAAAACAGGTGGAGCTCGGAACGGCTTTTGCTCACCTTGGCCTCCCGAGCCAAACTGTCAGGGTTCAACGATTCGAGTCGACAAACGCAGGCAGCGAGAAGGTCATACTCATCAACCCTTCATCTTCTCCGGGATCCAAGCCGGCCAGCTGCAAGGCAGAGCCCTTTCACTCCCTGTTCAATTCTCGCCTGTCGTTCAGATACCCTTGATGTTTTGGATTCTCTCTTGCTCCTCCTAGACGTCCACGCGATCTCGTCCCAATCCAAGACCGTTCTCACCTTCGTCATCTCTCCACTGCCTCCGCAACCATGAAAACGCCAGTTTACTCCCTCTTGCCGCTCCTCCTGTCGCTATCACATCTAGCCGCCTCTGTATCAATAGACTGCCAACATATCCGGGTCGACGGCAAGAAGTTTGACCTATCGAAGCTCGCGGGTCGTCATTCCGTCAATGTCCACGACACCTCTAGACCACCTGCGGAATATAACACCACATGGACGATTGACCTTTGTGCGCCATTAAAGAAGCTTGAGGGCATAAGAGACCAAGATCAATGTCCGCATGGAACACGAGGTAAGTTTCAGAGTCCAAGCTGGTAGACCGGGGACGAACAAGACTCGGGCCCAGTGAATACGAGCTCGTTTAACAATTTGCGGACAGTATGCGGCGTCGTCAGATCCTGGAACCCTGCCGACGACCCGGAGAAGAAACACGTCGAAGTCGAGAACGTGATTCCTGTCGCAGGAAACTTCGAGTCCAGCACGGGTGCAAGTCTAGACCCCAAGGTGTCGAGACTGAAAGCGCAGGATGCGAACTCGGACGGCCTCCAGATTGAATTCAACGGTGGCAACTACAACCACATGAAGCAAAAAGCCGTGGTCCAGTTAACATGCGACAAGGACCGGACGGGCAACGAAGAGAAGAGGAAGCGAAGCCTGAAGCAGAAGCGCGACGGCGAGGATTCCGAAAAAGACAAGGACAAGGACAAGGACGAACAACCAAGCACGCCCAGCCTGACATTCGTGAGCTACGGCCAGGTCGAAGGAAAGGATAAGATGGAGGTTCTCAGACTCAATTGGCGGACAAAGTACGCCTGCGAGGACTACGCCGACAGCGACGAGGCGAGGAAGAGCGGTTGGGGTTTCTTCACCTGGTTTATTCTGATGTATGTGCTCTTCTATGCCTTCCGGCACTTTCGTCTTCCGTTGTTCATCCCGACGTGGTACCTGTACTGACCGAATGGCTACAACAGCGCCTTCTTGGGCATCGCCGCCTACCTCATTTTCGGCTCGTGGCTGAACTACAACCGCTACGGCGCTCGTGGCTGGGACCTGCTGCCGCACGGGGACACGATTCGCGACATCCCCTACCTCTTCAAAGACTGGTCCAGGAAAGTGATTGACACCGTGTCAGGAGGAGGCTCTAGAGGCGGGTATAGTGCTGTATAATCAAGATAGTCTTTTTTTGTTAAACCTTGGTCGGGTTTTGGAGGCTTTTTGCCCAGGCCCTTCTGTCTATGGGAGCACTGCCAGTTTTTATGGCTATGTGTGAGGCTCCATCAAATCGGGGACCTGAAATAGGGGACTGAGAACACCTCTGTAGAAATAAGCGAAAGACTGGGTACGGAACTTGAGGGAGAAGGGCCTCTCTCGCATAGCGCGGCGCATGAATTTGGAGAGTTTTTAATATGTATTCCTTCAGTACCTAGCCTGGAGTCGATTCGTCAAACGCTTCGACTTTCCCCAGAGTCATGCGCATCTAGCCTCCGTAACCCTGATACTCTCGCGAAGATTCTTTCGGTCCGGCCATAAAGGGATCACTCTTTGACGCTGAGCCGGAAGCTTTACAACAGCTGGTCTTCGCCGGGGACGATGTCCCCGAATTTCTTTGCCGAACCATGACTTCTAGCGACGATGCCATAGGCCGGGAAGTACTGTGTGGGGAAGACACAATTCAGCGGTTTTCTTCTGGGAGAAAGGTTGCACATCCAGAGAGGAAGTGAATGCGGGTATAAGTGTGCACACCGCAGAGTGGTGGTGGAGGAGTATTGAACACGTACCTTGTCCAGGAATGGAAGCACCTCGGCCGTGCCAGGCGTGTTGCGCCAGTCTTTCATCAAGAACATGGCGATGCCGAACATGCCAGTCTAGGTGGGCGCCGGGGACAGTCAGCCTTGAAGGGGGATTGAGAGAAACATGTTCGAACGGATCTTGAGGCATAGGCCGACATCTTGGCTATCGCCTTGGGCTGGCTTACCAAGTGCACACCGGCATTCTCCATCCTCCGATTCGCATCCTCGGCCAGCTTGGGCGTCGCCGTCCCGCTGGCTTCAGTGTTCGCCCACACCGAGTAGCCCGCCTCTCTCAGACTCAGCGCCAGAAACATGGTGCACACCTCCGTCACGATGCCCCCTAGGATGACCTGTTTGCGCCCCGTCGCTTCCACGGCCTTGCGGAAATCCGGATTGTCCCAGGCGTTGACCTCGCCGTTTCTCCTGATAAAGGGGGCGTTCGGGTACATGTCCGTGATTTCCTTGGGGAGCGGTCCGTTGGGTCCGGTCTCGGCGGAGGTCGTCAGGATGGTCGGCAGGTCGAAGAGCTTGCCCAGTTCGGCGTGCGCCAGAACATTGTTGCGGAACTCGGCCGTGGTGTAGTCCTTGACGAGTTGAAGAAGGCCCAGTTGGTGGTCAACGATCAGGAGGATGGCCTTGTCTTTGTCGAGACGTTCGAACTTGTAGGGCGGTTGTTGGTAGGCCATGACTGCTGTGTATTAAGATCCGTGTACAAGAACGTGAGACTCTTGGATGAGAGGCTGAGATGTTAGGTATGGTAGACGACTCGAAGTCTCGACCTAGTAAAGACAATCCATTAGGGAGGCAGAGGTGTGGCGGAATATATAACATGTTCTCCATTTGCTTCTTCTTGCTTAACGCCGCATACAGTAATCACGTTGCTTTCCGAGTGCTCGTCAAATATTGGGTACATGTTGGGCAGTTCAGAATCTGGCACATGGTCAACGGCATCAAGCGCGCGAGGCTCGACGAAAAGGGCGATTGGCTTCCCATTTGAGGCTAGAATCAAGGCTTCATGACTAAGGGCTGGCGGCTTTTGCACGACACATAGCGGAGCTCTGATGTGGTAAGCTTGGAGTAAGTGGTGGGTGCTGTTCAAGCAAATGAAGCCTCATCGAGCGCTTGACTGATGGAGATTTGTGCCTGTTTCATAGTCTGTGTGTTGGTGGCCGCATACGTAAGTACTGGGCGCTGAGTAACCAGTGGCTTAAGGGGATAACAACGACATGCCCGTGGGCAGTTGGGTTGGAAGTTAGTCTGCATATGAAGCTGCAAGCCGTGTGCGTATCATTACTGAGTGGCTTGAGTCAATAGTCAACACTGTGGTGAGAGGCGTAGAACCGTAGATGGAGGAAAAGTGAGAACGTGAGTGCGTCGCAGAGAGTCTAGAGACCGCAACTGCGGTTAAGAGCTTGATACGCCGCCGTAATAAATAGTGTTCTGCGGACCATAGTGTCATCTGCCGCGTCATGTGTTGAGACACCAACCAAGCGTGCCATGGCATCGATTCGACTTCGTGGATCATGGCACATGGATCAAACCTTGGGACTAAAACGACGCAACCCAAATCTTTCGACTACTTTCTCGAGTGTACCTCCAACAAACTAATTCAGGGTGTTGGCATCGAGCCATAACCTGCCACCTTCACCATGCTATCCAGAAGAGTTGTAAGTCCCAATAATCCCACGGTGTAACCACGCTTCAAGGGTTGGCCCCACGAGACATCCCTATTACTTCCTTCTTTCTGTGTCCGGACGGGTAAGTTTCTAACTTTGGCCAAAAAAAGCTTTCGAAAGAAGAAGAATCAGAGTCCACAGACGCCGAAGTCACAAAGGAAGACCAGGAAAAGATCAATACCTTTTCCAGATTGCATAATCGGAGTAAGGCCCTGGAGGAGGAGTTGGGCTCGAAACAAGTAAGTCGGGATTTGCGCTTATTCTCTTGAGCTGTTGTTGTGAATGGACGTCGTTGGGACGACAGGAGAGGCTGTGGTTCAAAAAACATGGCTCAAGAATAGGCTGGACATCTTCTAGCCACCATGGCTGTTTTCATCCCAGCATCCTCCCCCTGCATCCAGACATGTCCAATCCACTCACTCATATCCTACAGAAAGAGAAAGAAGACCTCGAAGAACTGTCCACCGAACTGGAGCTCGCCGATGAGGACTCGTTAATCCCGTAAGCTTGGCCCCGTTTCCGTCCCTTTCCTACCCCGTACCACATCGAGAGTCTCTCTTGCCTCGTTCTCCATACGTATCGTCCTCTCCGTTTCCGCCTCCCACTGACACGAAAACCCCAGGTACAAGATCGGCGACTCGTTCATGCACGTCCCGCTAGGCGAGGCGCAGGAACTGCTGGCGACGCAGACGACGGAAATCGAAGGCGAGGTGTCGACGCTCGAGGAGGAACTGGAGACCATCAGGGAGCAGATCCGCGGCTTGAAGGCGCATCTCTACGCTCGGTTCGGCAAGGGGATCAATCTTGAAGCCTAAGGGTGTCATTCCCACCAAGTATGGGCTGGCCCGTGAGAGACAGGGGGTAGGAATCTAGCCGTGGTTACTCAAAATAATCAGTGGCGAGTTTCGTGAGATGAAAAGGTGATCCGGACGGCGTGTGCTCATGTTGGGCCTACAGAGTCTCGTGGGTAAGTGGATGAGTGAGTACACCATGTGGCTATTCACTGGAGCTGCCGCGAGAGTCGTGGCCGACGGCCCGACGGCGTGACGCCTCGATCCTGGAGAGAACCGCGACTGCGATTGAAGAGGGAACGCGTGAAAGAAAGCGGATCATCATGCTCGGTTCCAAGGTCCAGAACGGAAGCGACGGATTTGCTCTCTCCAGATCCAGAGGCCTGTCTATACCACTATACATTCCGATACCGTGCCGGGGTGAAGATAGTACAGAAAACAATCAAAAGAAGACAGTCGTACCGTCCACCGCCCAAAATCATCGTCAAAACTCACCCGTTAACGGCCAGAGCGCACTCGAAAACAGCAGTAATATCCTACAACTTACTGTCCGTGGGGTTCTGAACCAGCCTAACCACGCCCTCCTGGGTACACGTCGCGATCAACACCCCGTCCTTGCTCCAGATTCTCTGCATGACCAAACCTCTCCCGTCGCCGGCCCATGGACTATCCATCTCCGTCAACATCCACTCATCCGCCCTGAACGCCCGCGGGTTGTGGAAAAATATCGTGTGGTCCAAGCTCACCATCATGCCGATGCGGCGGTCGTCTCTCTTGGTCAAGGCCATTTCGGCGTGCTCCTCTTCTTCCTCCTTGGCAATGTCTTCGAGGTACTTTCGCATCTCCTTCTTCTCTTCTTCTGAGCCCCGGAAGGTACTCAGTGTGCGTTCGATGTTGCGGCGGTTGGCGAAGCGTTGTAGAGTATGCACCCGCGCCACCGTGCCGATAAAGTATGAATCACTCATGTAGGCCAGCGCGCTCAAATGGGCTTGGTGGTTGTCGCCAGGCCGGTTCGCCCGCTGGCCGGACTGCAATTCCTCTTCGCGGACGTTTGGGGGACAGTCGGAGATGCGGCCGCGCGCGCGGATCCATTGTCGCAATTTGCGCTCCGACGGCGGTCCACTGCGGTTGGTGATGGGGATGCGCACCGATTCAAACGGCCGGTCGTCGAAGCTCACGTTCTGGCGGTCCGAGTCTGCGTCCGGCGGGGGGACGACGTCCGTGGGCATTCGGGTCGCATGCTGGACCGTCTCTTTGCCGCCGGAACCCTCCTTCATAAAACTCAACGTCGTGGTGAAGATACATTTTCCTCTCTGGCGCGCTTGCACGGTCCGTGTGATGAAGCTCTTCCCGTCCCGGACTCTCTCCACGTGGTATAGAATAGGGATCTCGCTGTTGCCGGCAAGCACGAAGTAACAGTGCATGCTATGGACGGTGAAATCGGGCGGGATCGTGGCTTGTGCGGCGGAGAGGCATTGGGCAATGGCCGCGCCGCCGTAGATTCCCCTTGCGCCAGGAGGGTGCCAGAGTGGCCGGGCGTTGGTGTAGATGTCGGGACCGATGTCAATGAGGGGGAGGAGGGAGAGGACGTTTTCGATGGGGGAGTGATGCGGGAGGGATTTCGGAGGCTTGATGAGCGTTGCGTGTTTGGACATTGTTGCAGGAAGATGTCAACGGGGAAAAATTGTTGGGGCTATGGCAATCAGATACCTCTCTGTCTGCACCTCAAGTCAACGTCGATATGACGGGAGCAGGCAGGTAAGAAGGCTGGGTGGGCTGACGATGGACGACCGCTGCTGTTAATATGGTCTTCGGAGCTTGTGCTTATCGTTGTATCGTTGCCTCAGTCGGATGATGCTAGTATAACCGCAGTCGACAAATCGTTCAATCTCGGTTGGTCTGCAAGATCTCGGAACAACATCAGGAGTGCGCTTCGGTCAATTTGCATCTGATGGCAGCATGAGAAGTCGAGGGCGTTGGTTCGGCCGAAGAAATCATTGGTCGAAGTCGCCAAACAGCCGAGGCTCGTCGCAACGGCGAGCCCGTCCAGGCACTCGGCACGGATAGGAAAAGCCAGGCCATGGGTCTAGACGGCGGACAGCGCATGTGGTATTATCGAAACAAAGCATAGACAACCTACACCAGCAACCTAGTTCGGATGGCCATGTAAATATCCACCGGATTGATCCAATAGCCCCCAATATGTCCCGGCCCATTGCCCCGGAGGTAGACGTACATTTACATTTGAATGTTGGCAGAAACACCATATATGCCAAAAGATCCATACATCAGACCGAGACGCCTCGCTAAAGTCCAGATTTCTTTTTGGCAACTTTACATCATAACCTATGCATACCTCGTCGACCCTTTCCAGACCGGGTTTGGAGAATAAGAAAAAGTCTGAGACTGTGATGACCCGGGGGTGTGCGGCCAGGTACCATGTTCGGTTCCTGGCGTCAGCAGGATTGACGATCTCTCGATCTCTTCCCGCCGCCGCTCTCGAAGATCCCTGGAAGCTCCGCTCTCAGCAGTCGGGCTTCGATCTCTTGACAGCTTGTTTAATATCTGCCATTTGTTGGTGGTGGTGGGGAGACTGCCGCTTCGGGGTCGCGTGTCAGGCTGGACCACTTCCAATCCGTCAGATATCGTGTCGTCGCCTGGCAAGTTGATATGGTAGGTGCTCTGAGAATTCCGGTGATTGGGCGACTCTGCCGAGTCTCGAGTGAGCAACAGTCGTAGAAGTTGCCGACGCTGTGCCTCGTCCTCGGGTATGTTGTTTGCAGTCCAGGGTGTCATAGGTATCAGTTCTGTGGTGGAGGCAGCATCGCCATAGCTGACATAGGAACTTCTATCCCATCTTTGAACATGTTGTCTTCTCTGCCTGTCCAACTCTTTAATTTTGCTTAACTTTCTGTAGGTGATGTAACTGAGGACTCCGGACCCTACCGTGGTGGCACATGCGATCACCAATGGTACATAGATATAAACCTGAGTTGGAATAGGAAACGTTTTGTGGAGAGCATGGTTCATGACCGTAACGAAGACGCCCAAAAAAGAAGAGGTCAAGATCGGGAGCAAAACGGCGTCGAAGAGAAAAAGTAGGCTGCGACTGAAATATGCGACTGCTGTGATGGCGCCGTAGCCGACAATGAGGAGCACTGCGGCGAGAACCGTCAGAAAAGTGCGTGATACTTTGATATTATCTTCGGCAGAGGTGAAGACGAGTGAGAATACAATGTAGCCGCCTAGAGCGAGCCATGAGGCAGTGATGGCGATGGTTCTGAAGTACCACGGCAAGGCATCGCGTTCCGTGTAAAGATCGAAAAGGGTCTCTCGCATTCGCTGGTAGTTGCGTTGCATCCTCTTCATGAGAACCGGCAGGGCAAGTCTCGAGGCATCCAGAAGAGAATCGTTGGGTTAAGAGAGCTGGGGAGCATGCAAGTGTGCTTCGGGACGCTCAGCTGGTTGACTGTGGCTGCTCAGACGGGCACTGGACTGCTGAGGCTAGGACGCCTGGAACGCAAGGAGGAAGAGTGGACTGGTCAATCAACCAAGCATTACGGAGTACTGAAAGATATCTCAAGGAAGAAACTGTATGAAGGTCGGCAGCAATAATAGGAAGAGAATGTGCTGACGCCGAGAGCGTGGTGAGCAGGAATGAGACATCATTATTGCGCCTGCGCTCAAAAGCAACGCAATCCAGGTCGTATCGCATGGAGGCGTCAGGGCGCGAAAGTCAATTATTGCTCCAGAGCCGTGCGCCCACTAGCCGGGACATGCGGTAAGGCTGGGGGGTGGCCAAGGTGGGTCGGGATCAGCTGAAAATGGGGGAGACATCGCTGGCTTGTTATAGGCGGGAGAGTGCCTATGGTTAAGAATACCGGGCCCTGACGACGCGACAATGGGCCCTAAAATAAATCTCGTAGGGCTGGCAGGAACCCATACCCACCTAGGTAGATATCCGCCTGAGTACCCGGGGCTGCCCATTGTTTACGAGAGCGGGTGTCACCACGCCTTTATTCCAGCTGACACGTGCGACAATCCCACCATCATTCGCAGAAGACATCTATCCACTGCCGACTTGTATGCCACATCTCCATACCTGGTCGAGACCTCTGCGCCATGGTTTCATTATCTCATCATCTTGTCTTCTGAGTGCCATTCACCCGTGTGGCTCGACGTAGCAGCTCGTCATTGACGTATGCACTGTATGTCCCTCTTAACCCAAGCACAAATCCAATCGCCAACGAAACTCTCAACACCAAATGTGTCGCCGCCCAGCTGACCCATCCATTGTCCTCTCCGATCAATACCGGCCAGTTGTCCCAGGAGCAAAAGATGCAAAACAACTGCAATGCCACAACCCAGTGCTCGATTCGGGTCTGGACCCATTTGGGGATCATGGCGGGCGGTGTGTATAGGGAGCTGGGATGAGTTTCTGTCAGAAACGAGTTGAGCATCCGGAAAAAGATTTCCTTTTGACCGTCCTCAGGCACCGTCCATTCACGGACCACGAGGTCTTCTTGCTCCTCATCTCCTGCAATCCGGCGCCATTCATGCACTGTATATCTCGGTACTTCGATTGCGCCATCCTCCGCTCTATAGACCGCGCATCGATTCCCAAGTCTGACAAATGCGCGTCCTCGCAAGATCTGAAGGAATTCGGTATGAGTCTCGTGCCAGTGTGGACCAGAAGTCCAAGTAGATGAAACAGGCACAGTGATGGTCACACTGTCAGCCCTTGAAAGATCATAGGTGACGGCCGCAGGAGCTGTCCTTTTAAACACTGTGATGTGGGATGTCTGTTTTCTTGGGATCGCCATCATTTGCTCAGCAGTGTGTATCTGCCACAACCCCAGTGGTCAAAGCCATGACCGATCTCTTATAATTGCTTCTAGCAGACTGTTGAGAGGCTGACAAAAGCAAATACGGGCACAATTCCGCCGCGCGACCTCCCGAGCTCACCTACTGACGAAGATCAATTCCAGATTAGCACAACATATGTCGAATACCGAAAGCCAAAATCTACTGATGGAAAGTGGTCTGGGCAGATTCTGGCATGATATACATCCACGATCGAAAGTTGGCATAATCCCTGTGGCGAGAACTGAGGAAACAGCCTCACCACCCTTTTCAGGAGGACGAATCTGCCTACGCTTCGCCTTCGAAGGCGATTCCAACCCCTAGCGCATTGGGGGCCAGCCACGTGAAGCATTCCGATTCAGTGCGAACCCTTGGCGTGGCCGACAGAGGACGAAAGCCATTGGTAGCGCCCGCAGGACTAGCACAAAGCAACGCCCCATTGCAGAAACGGACTCGGAGTCCCATTGTCCACGCCTCGCTTCCTGCGCCCAAATTCTGTGTATGAATCATTTGATTGGGTTTCTACAGCCACTGTCTCAATGCTTGCCTAGAGACGCCTCGACGCATCATGGCCGTTTGGGCCTTTCCCCCATGGTCCCCCTGGCGGATGTCACATCAAAACCTCTATTATCCATGCCTACTGCCCAAAAGGTTGCCGACCTCTGATTCTCTGCATCTAGATCTCATGTTTTCTGGGTTATCCTGATGACTTTGGCTTAACCGCCCAATGCTGGCACACAAGTCTGCAAGGATTCGACAACTGTCAGGCGGGCTTTATGTTGAGGAGCCGCCTCTTCAGCGGATCGGTCTTCAGCCTCGTTTCCGCGTCGAAACCATCAGTCAACAAGACAAGGCCTTTGCCGAATCTGTCCTCAAGAAAGAAGCATCGGCTGCCAGAGGGTCTCAGCCTCTCCTTCGAAGAGTAAAATCAAAGTTGAGCCGGCCGGATAAGGCTGTGACTTCGAATGCGCTATATAATCATGTTCAGGCAAACGGTTCCGCCGAAGTTGCCCAGATTTACGTTGACAGACTGTTCCTCGATGCCGCACAGTCGAATCTACAACTACTGTTTCCAGATGTTCTACTTGTCACTGCTGTGAAGAATGCAAACACCAATCTTGTCCGACTCCTTGCTCCTTTCACCGCGATTGAGGGAGTCAATGCAGTTCTTGAATATGCCGTCCTCAGTCAGAACCTGCATGTCGTCGCAGCTTTGTTGGAGTATGGCGCGGATCCGAACTGTTTGAATCACGCCTGTTTACTTCGACTGGCTGAAACCGACCTTCAACTTCTTCAGCTCATCCTTCGCGCTCCGAGGCAGCTATGGTACGAGACTTTCTGCAATCTGTGTGCCGCTGCTATCCGAAATGGACTGTCAAATGCTGTCAACGTCATCCTTCGCAGCATCGCTGACTATCCAATATTCCGCGACTCGGCTCCTCCGTGGAATCGAGACAGTCTTCTCGGTGCAGCAATCTGTTGCCCTGACAAGAGTATGTTTTTCTGTATTGCCACGGCTACGTCTGCATGGCCCTTGAAGGATAATCGCCTGTTTTTGCATGTGTTGGACTCTACGGCGACAGATCGCTTGCAGGCTAAAGACATGGTGGAGGTTTTACTCTGCCTGAGTGGTATGTCGCCAACATTTCACTCGAGTCCAGAGATTGAATCCTTTTACTGCCGGTGTGTACAAGAACAACTTGAGGATATACTACGGCTCATGGGATCCTACGGCGTTCCTGTCCCGGCGGAGACTCTTCTTCTCGCATGTCAAAATCATGACGAAAAGGTCCTCGACGTCCTCCTTGCCGGTCCTATTCAAGGAGAAGAGCGGGTGGTTGCTCGCACCTTGCACTTACGGGGCACAATACAAAGGGATATGCGTCAGAAGATCCTCAGGCGTCTCCTTGCGAGGGGAGCTAATGGGGTGTGGAAGCATAAGGAACTCGTCACGGCGGTTTCGCTTCAGCAAGTCCAATGGGTCGAATCACTCATCAACGCAAATGCTTCAGTGGACTACCACAATGGCGCCGCCCTTCTCAAAGCTGTTTCATTGGGGCACGTTCTCATTGTTCAAAGACTTCTATCTCGTCCTGTATCTCTCGAGAGCTTGCAAGCTGCCTTTCCAAGCATCAGTCAACTCGAAACTTTGCCCCGACGACTGCTCACGAAGCTTTTTATCAGTCGAGGACTCTCCGGTAAATGTCTCGATGATGCTCTGAATAGGGAACTTTGCAACTATTCATACCACAGAGATCCTGAGTTAGTCGACATATTGATCACGTCGGGCGCTTGCTGTAATGATGTTTCCCTCACAGTCATCTTTGAACACAAAGATGCCCCGATCTTCGACAAAATAGGCCTCTCCAAAACAGTCCTCCATGAATCTGTTACGGGATGGTTCAAAAGCTGGCACCGCGTGCTCCTCCTTCACATTGAACGGAAAGACGAATATTCGCTCGCGGCCTCTTCGTGCCTCAAGTTAGTGTTCAACAAACTAGACGTGGCCGAAACCCTCTGTGATGCTCATGAAGGCAATCGACGACTTGAATGCTTTCACCAGTTTCTGGAACATGGTGCAGTGGACGTAGATCTACTATCAGCATGGCTGAATTGGGCACAGCAAATGGACAGCAACACATTAACCGAGATTGTGCTAACAGCAGCTTGTTTCTGCGATCTCAGTAGACTCTATTTGATCGTACGATCCAAGCCACTGACCAGTCCGTCCCCCATACCTTTGGCAAACTACATCGGAAAGCTTGAGCGGGATTCTCAATCGAAGACAACAGATATGTTCTCATCCGTCCAACTACCCCCACTTCCGCAGGACGCCCTCAAGTTCTCAGATACAAGGAGCGTCGAAAACTTGAAGGTCGTCTTTCGCCAATATTTTCGGGATTCCTATGAGACTCATCTTGCAACGAGACTCCTCCAGAGGCACCTAGAGCATTGCAGCGAAGCCATCAATGAAGGTGAAATCTGGCCGCTCCTTACCCTACAATTTCTTCTATCCCAGCCTATTGAAGTTACACTGCCAGAATTCCGCTCCTGTTTGTACATGACCATCGCTTCTCAGCAGTGGCTCGTTCTTGAGCTGCTTCTTGATCGGCAACTACCCCAAGAGATGGTTGCTAGCTTCTTCCTAGTCGACACGTCTCTACTTGCACCTCGTGCGATCCAAGTGCTTCTTGAATCACAAGCAATGGCAGGGATGGACGATGAATTCTTCTCTGGGCCCGTACAGCGCACTTTCAACCATGCATGCCATGCACAAGACCGGGAAATGGCTATTCTCCTATGCTCTAAGTCTCGCTGCAAACTTCGCCTCGGAGATGTATTGTTGCCTCTGCGACAAGCAATTGATGCCTCGGACCTCCGCTATATTTCCACTATGATCAGCGCAACATCTTTTTCGAATGATGACCTTGAGATACTTTGGAAGCATATTACTCAACAATGTCAAAGCGCCAACTTCCTCGCACTTATGGAGATATTGCTCAAAGCGGGCGCTGATGGCATTTCGATTGGCGTCACTTTGGTGGAAGCCGTGGAAAGAGATAATGAGTCTCTTGTCGTGTTCATTCTAGCACAATGGCAACGTACACGGTGCCTGCAGTATCGCGCAGAGTTTGACTACAGAGGACGCCAGCCAGTCAACCCAACACCAGAACTTGGATTTGACGCCGAGTACTTTTCAGCACTTGCCCGCGCCCTTACGGTTGCTATTCGTTTAGACCGAGCACCCCTTTGTCGGCATCTTTGCACAGCAGGAGCTCCCCTTGTTTGTCAAGGACAATCACTAATTGAGCTTGCAGTGATCCTAGGAAGCCACAGCGCCCTCGTAGAGATGATCACATACTCGAAAACGTGTCCTGGCATGGATGGGGCTGTTAGCTTCGCTCTACTTCAGGTGGTGGTGCACCACCGGGAAAGCTGGGTGCAAGGGCTAGTACATCAAGGTGGATCAATCGAAGCGTACGACTTCGAGGGCCTGAAAATTGCGGCGGGATTTGATCATCCCGGTATGTTGGCAACGCTTCTGTCCCATACCGGGTCACTACCTGGATTTCACGCAGTGTGCCAAACACTTCAAGGTCGTCTTACCGCGAACGAGGGCGATCTGGTAAGCATTTGCGCCATGTTCGAGCAACTCCATGAAGTAGGCTTCCAGGACAAGGAGTGGTACAACGAAGCTCTTTTCGCACTGTTGGCAATCCGATCTGCCAACTCAGATCATGTCGGAATCTTGATCAACTGCGGAGCGTCTATCGAGTACAGAAGTGGAGAAGGCATGATACAGCTTTGGAGACAAGGTAATGTACGACTCTTCCCGGGCCTCATTCGCCACTGCAACCAGCAGTCTATAAGAACACGACTATTCAGTGAGGCATATGCCGATTATCTGCAACAAGAACAAGATCGTTTCAGCCTTCCAGCCACTGATACGCTGCTTATTCTGAGTGCCCTCCTTGACATGGATATACCTCAGGACGCGCGTGATATGGCGCTAGATACAATTTCCAGGGCTTGCCACCATAAGCTCAAGCCTGGTCCAATCCTTCGACTGTTGCTGGAAAAAGGGGCTCGTTTCATTAACGGGGCTGGAGTGTCACTCTATCAGGTCTGTCGCCTCGACGATCCCCAAATCACCTCCCTAGTTATCGACAGTCGTCCGCATATCCGAACTCGTTTACTAGCTCTCCACCGCCTCTTCTTCAACCAAGGAATAGGATTCTCGAGTACCGCAGGGGAAGAAGCTGGCCAAGAGCCTAATCCATCAGACCAGGCTTGCCTATACAACATCTATTTTTCTGCGTCGACAGCGCAGAATCTCGACTTAGACGCCTCAGATGTTGTCAACTTGATAGGTTCAATGCTGAATCCGAAGATTGCAACTACGGGGACTAGCTTGATGTTCACGTTTTTCTTCATGCTAGGAGGTCTTCACTTGCTGTCGTCCCAGCCTTGTTCAGATGGCGATCGCACTGATGTGGAGCAAATGTTTGTTGCCGCCATCATGAACTCAGAACTCAAAGAACTAGATGATCGGATCGAGTTCCTGCTCAGGGTCATGCAGGTTGACGCCCCCTCCTTGGTGGGCCTTGCTGCAGAGCCGCCTGGCCTCGCCTTGAGAAAGAGTTCGCTGAACACGCTATTATTATTATCACTGGAGCGCAAGAAGTTTGACTTGGCCAGTACACTCATGGAGGCTGGGGCCGACGCGAATGCAAGAGATGAAGAAGGTCGGTCTGCACTGTTCCTGGCGACATTCGGGAAGTCTCTAGATACAATGAAGGCCTTGATCTGGAATGGTGCCGAAGTAGACGATGGAAGTCTGCACATTTCGACTTGCTGGCAGCATCATGAAGCAATGCAGCTACTTCTCGAGGCAGGCCACGAACCAGGCTATGGTTCCGAACATTTCTTTAGAGCTACGCCGCTCGAAGCTTTCTTACGGTTCAGGGAATCGGGATCAGCACCTGACCTTTTCGACATGACACTGGCGGTGCTGCTGTGCGATGCCGAGGTCCCGATAAGCTTCTGGACGAGCGAGCCCAATCTATTGTCTCTGGCTCTGATGGGTTCATGGCCATATCAGATGTTCAACGCGCTGCTGTGTTATCTACCTCCGGAAGTGGTTGCATTGCCTCTTATTCGCCGAGACCGCTTCATGTTCTCAATCCTCAGCCTTGTCGAAAGAGGAGAGGAAATCGAGTTATCCGACGTCGAGCGGGTGGAGCTATCTACGCGTCTAGAAACATTGGGGTTCGAGCGAACTTTTTATGCTCTTGAGGGAGATCAACCCGAAGACGCCATCAACGTGCCAGAACACCTCGATATCCCCGAAGTGAAGGCGCGCCGTCGTGCTTGGAGAGAAAAAGACTGTGCTGTTTGTGCGGAAAAGCCTCCAGATCGAAACGCGATTCATGCAGCGTTGTCCTTGTCATGTGAGGAGAACCATGGGTGGGAGGACGACATTATCTGTACCGACTGCCTACGAGGACATCTTGAGTCGCAGATGTTCCCACAGGGAGGCGATAAATTTCCCTCAGCCAAAGTCAAATGCTGGGCTGCCAATTGCTCAGAAACGCTCAACCACTCGGTGCTCCAAGTCCTTGCGGACCGTAAACGATTCGCCATCTACGACGCTGCTCTTGCTCAAATGCTCCTCAGCGGCGGGGAAAATATGGCCAAATGTGCGAAGCGCAACTGTACCGGTGCGACATGGCTAGGAGACGAAGACAAGAACACGACCATTTTCACCTGTGATGTGTGCGGTGAGTTTACCTGTATACAGTGCAATCAGCTGTACGACAACCATAGAGACGAGCCATGCCCCCAGGGCGAAGAGGCAAAAGGCATCGAAAGACGGAGGGAAGAGGAGGCGGCTACAGCAGCCCTGCTGGCAAAGGGGAAGAAGTGTCCGCAATGCAAGCTGCCCTTCGAGAGGATTGAAGGCTGTGATCATATTGTATGTGGCAGAGACGCGCACTCGAGCGCGAGAGGTCGTGAGTTTGTCCCGTAATCCCATTTCTTTGCTTCTTCTTCCCGTTGACTGCAAGAGCTACTGCTGACTTGTATCTCTTGCCTCTAGTTGGCTGTGGATTTGAATTTTGCTATATCTGTGGCGCCGATTACAATGCCATTCGCAGGCAAGGGAATACGGCACATGCCAGGAGATGTGATCACTATGCATGATTTATGTGGCAAAGACAGACGAGACGCTGTGTGGTTTCTTAATTGCAGAAACGCAGAGATGAGACTTTCCATGTTATAATTGTGATAGACTATACTAGAAGACCATGACTGACTTGCCCTTGTATCGTGTAGTAAACCTATTCGGTCCTTAGGCGATAACTGCTTGATCATGAGCCATGCGGTCGTAGAACTTCTGGACATAGTCGCCGTTCTCGTCGAGAAAGCTCCGAGATTGCTCCCAAATGCTATTGATCTGGGCACGTTTCCCCTCACTACGGACAGTGATTTTGCACCTGAACATTCACCAAAGTTAGCTGATCAGCTTAGCTCTCTTTGTCAAAGTCCCAAATCTCGAAGATGGGATTCTGTTGCGGATAGAACGCTTACTTGAAGGGAACAGGCGAGGTGATGAATCCTGGTTGGAAATCATCTTGCCCAGGCACCTCACCAGCAACGCTTTCGAAATCGAACGCCCAAAGGAGTCTTGACATGGCAATGAACAGGCCTCGATCCGCGACGTGGGTGCCGGGACAGATGCGACGACCAGCACCGAAGGTGAAATGGTCGCGCTTGGAAGCATCTGCTTGGATGGCCGACTCCATTGTACCCCGAGAATCCTCGATGTGGCGCATAGGGTCGAATTTCCGAGGGTTTTCAACCCGATTGTTCAAGGCCCATACCTGAGCTTCGGTTATTCTCTGCAGAAAAGACAAGGGCCGAGACTGACGAACGTTATTGACCAGCCCGGCGCCCGCTGGGATGATATATCCCAGATACATGTCGTCTTTGGTCACCGCGTGGGGCATACCTCCGGTGATGGTTGGTGGATAGACTAGATACACTGGTTAGTAGAGTGGCTTGTGGGAGTCTTTAGTCAACCTCATGCTTACACCGCAAAGTCTCCTTCATTACACTGCGCGTGTACCCAAGAGCGTGCCAGTCAGACCATTGAGGGAGTCTGTCGCCTCCCACCACACCGTCAATCTCTTCCTGGGCTCTTTTCTGGCACTCAGGGTAGAGAATCATGGCCTGTGTTCGACATTAGTGTCGTAGTACAGCGAGGTGTGCGTGTCGCGGACCTTGACAAAAAACCAAAGGGTGTTGAATTGCGTGTCACTGTCTCTGCGTCAGTGGGTTTCCGGCTTCGTGCGACAGGCTTGCAGCGCACCTGGCGCCGGCCCATGCGTGGCCGGCATTGAACTTGAGCTCCTTCTCGGACAGGAAGTCGGCCTTCACGGTGTTTGTGACGATCATGTCTCTGCAGAAACCTACAATAGACATTAGAAATTCCACATGATCGAGGCAGTAGTATAGCGAAGGAAGTATCGTGGAAGCCACGTACTGGGCCTCACATGGCCCGACTCAATTCTGTGTCGACAGATCTGGTATTGCTCGTCCCACAGATCGGACTCCACATGTTGCAATCTCTCGACCTCTTTCAAGAAAGCTATTGCCCCAGCGGGTAGCCGTCGGAGTATGAAGCGAAGGAACGGCCACCAGTCGGTAACGGCCAACCCCATCCCAGCTCGAACCTGACCTGCCGTCCACTTTTGTATTTTCATTAGCCATGGAAGCAACCGGAGACGTTGGTGCTTTCTCTCCTCACCTCGAATAATGTTCTCGCGGCCCTTTTCTCTTCGATGGATCTTATGCGCATCCCATAAGCAATTGTATATCCCACACTAGTCGTGTAGCGCTTGAGGTGGTCTTCGAATTTGTCAGGGCTGCTCAGCAAGTCCTGTAGGAGCTGCGTTGACTCGAAGGACTTGTCTCTCGTAGGTTAGCTTACGACCGAAGGACGGCTATCGCGGTTGTCCAAGGCGTGGGTTACCTGATACGGGACATAGATGTCTGCTTGTTGACCGTTGAGATTCCGATGATACATTCTCCGCTGCCGTCTCCAGGTCTCATCGTTGCTAAATGCCAGTGTCAAAGAAACCCATGACGGCTTCGCAAGGCGCAACCTTTACCTCCGCATCAAAATCTGGTTGTGGCCTCCAAACTCACTCAAAAACATGTCCATCCTCGCGGATGTATTTTGGCTCCTTCTGTCCAGCAGTTCCTTGACGGCCATTTCATCATTCAGGAGGATCAACGTTTGAGACCCGAGCTTCAGGCTGACGACCGGTCCATCTGGGCCCGGTGAGTTACGACAATCCAATGGTGAGAGAAGTGAGCGTGGGGTCCTGACATTGGTCCGCCCATTCTTTGAATTTCTCATGCAAGATACCATTCTGGGGGAACTGATGGAGGTTCCCAATAAGCGGCAAGGTCGGAGGTCCTGCGTGTCGACTTCAGTCAGTTGACTCCTTGTAGCGTCAGGGGATTCGACGGGCAGCTGTACCCGGGGGATATCCCTTGGGCCGCCGCCCATACCGGAGCACTCTGATAATCGATACAACACCAAGGATGGCGAGCGCGAGCCAGTAAAGTCCCATTGTGCACGAGGCCTATTGCAAAACAAGAGTCGATCACTCCATATGTTAAGTGTAGCGCCCAGAGGTGGTAATGAATAGGACGGCCAAGTTGAAAACCTGATGGACGTCGAACACGAAACCACGAAGGTGTGATGGCCGTCCCTCTCCAGAGCCCTGATATCCGAATTCCGCATTTGTTTCCTCGTACACAAGGATTCGGAGCTCCGGGGAGTGGTTATGCCGGCAGCTTCTATGCCCCAGGAGTGAACCAGCTTCAGCGTTGACCTGCATTGCCCGCATGTCGGCGAAATGCTACACACCTTGATTGAAGATCTCCTCTCGTTGAAACCGTCAGTCTGAATAACGACCAATATCTTTACCAGACTCAGTGAGCCCACAGTTATGGATCTAAAAATACCTTGGCAGATTATTATATCTGATTGGCCTGTTACCAAAGATTCTTTGTGCCGACTTTGCATAACTAGTCGGATTCGATGGTGCGACGATGACATCGAGTACAAACACAATAACAGGCCTGAGCACAAGCAGTATGGGGTGAACTGGTGGATATAATCTTGAATAACGAATGTAATCTTCCATCACTACATGTCGATTTCCATCGCTCAAGCTCTGAATGCCAGAAACTCCTCAATGCTCCGAGGTTCTGTCCACGGCCTGTCCTTGTCCATCAGCTCGGTCATCGCTGCGAGGCAGTCGCGTGCTGTACGAAGCTTTTTAACTTCTCTCACAGTTGCAAGGATCGTGCGACCCATCGCATAGTTTCCAGAGCTCCAGATCTGGCCGGTATATGTGTTCTCCTCACTTGCGAGAGCGAGAAGTGGCGGGATATTGGACTCGCCGGTGAAGGTGCTCTTGAAGCCCTCCTGCTGGTCCGGCGGTAGATCTTGGATCACGTCTAGGACCATGCGTGAATAGGCTGACGGTCCGATTGTATTCACGAGGATGTTGTGTGGCTGTCCCTCCAGAGCTAGCGTTTTGGTAACCCCCAGCATGGCACCGCGGGACAGCACATACCCGGTACTGGAAGGCATGCCAAAGACGGAGTCGGAGGTGAAATTGATGATGCGCCCGTACTTCTGCTTCTGCATATGTGGCCAGGCGTAATGACAGAGTGCTATCGCGCCGAGCGCGTTGACCTCAAACACTCGTCTGATATCTTCGGGCTCCTGAGCCTCTACGGGGCCGTATGTGATGATCCCTGCGTTGTTGACGATGATATCAAGACGCTTGAATCGTTCAATTGCCAGCGCAACTATTTTGTCCGCATCTCTGGCCACGTCGTGCGTATCTGCCACGGCGGAGAGTCCTTGGGCCACAATTTCAGCCACCACCTGCGCAGCTGGAGCGCTTGACGAGCCCTGCCCTGCCGTGGAGCAACCGTAGTCGTTGGCGATTACGTTGGCGCCGGCTTTGGCAAATGCGACACATAGCGGTTTGCCTATGCTGCCACCAGCACCGGTCACGATGACTGTTCGATTCGCGAACGAGGGGTCTTTGGAGGCCTCGGCCATCTTTGGCGTCGGTGATTATTGCTCAAGATTTTGGATAGCTCAGTCCATCCAGGCACAGCGCCTATGTTTCCAGGTATAGAAATGGTCGACAATCTGTTTCCCTCCTCACGGAGAGCTACGTCGAAGATGCCGGTTCTTTGTTGGTCCCCGGAACCCGTACCTGCGTTCGCCGGAGGATTGGACACAGCTTCCCGTTCTCCGAGTTTACTTCGTTTACTAATTTGGGCCGGCAAGAATGCTCTGCGTACCCTGTTTTGAAGTTGGTGTCATGAAAAATTGTCGAATCTGACAACTGCTATTTTACGATGGCAACACTTCTTGCTTGTTTCATGGAGATCCTCGACTTCAGTCGTCTCCGCGGGGCGCGATTTCCCCCATCAACCGTTGAATGGCAACATGTCACTACCGTTTCAAGATAAAGTTGCCTTCGTGACTGGAGGCGCATCTGGGATCGGTTTTGCCATAGCTCGAAAACTTGCGGAACTTGGCGCCAAAGTGGCTATTGGCGATGTCAATCTCGCCTCAGCAATTGAGGCAGCTGCGTCTGTGGGCAAGTCTTGTCTGGCGGTGGGAGTGGATGTGGCAGACGAACGTTCTGTCCGAGATGCAATCTCCCAGGTCGAGGATCGGTTTGGAGGACTCCATTTGGCTGCCAACTGTGCTGGTGTTCAATTGCCTGTAGGTCCGATTGCCGACCTCGGCGCAAGCAACATAGCAAAGACCTTGGATATCAATCTAAAGGGCATGATATACTGCCTGAAACACGAGGTCACTCTCATGAAGAAGAATGGGGGACTAGGAGGCGCGATCGTCAACATTGCAAGCGCGGCCGCATCACAGCCTCTCGCTTACAACGGACCTTATTCGGCGTCGAAAGCCGGCGTGGTTGCAATCACCAAGTCGGCGGCCGCTGAGGTCGCTCCAGATCACATCAGGATCAACTCGATCTCTCCAGGCTACATCGACACACCCATGATGCGGCGGGTGAATATCGACACCGACTTTGCGGCCGCGAGGACACCGATTGGAAGATGCGGCGAGCCAGAGGATGTCGCCGACCTGGCAACATTCCTTTTGAATGATGGAGCCAAGCAAATTCACGGTATCGACGTTCCCATTGACGGGGGTATGCTCCTCGGCCAGATGGTGAAGCCGCCAGGTTACTAGCAAAATTGTCGAGAGATCTTCCGAGCTTGAAGCTCAGGGTTGATTGCAGAGGTCTATTGTGACTCGTCAAGCCGCTGGCGCATGTGCGGTGCGAAACGAGGGTGACAATGGATGAGGAGCTGATTCGAGCGCCAAATACACACACTAGATCTTCCATGATGTTTCTGTCCACCTTCGGCTGCAGTGCGACAAACCTTTACCTTCCAGATGAAAGCAAGCTTGCGAATCATGATGATCCTGTAGTTTGAACCTTGGACTGGCAGACCATTATTAGACTTCTATTGGCCAGCCACGAACTAACTTCTTTTGGTACGAGCTGTGGAGACCCCGCCTGCAAAAAGCGGAGAATATCTGAATTTCGGGGAGAAGCACAATAAAACCCCGGACACGAACATCAATTCCGGGAGGGAAACGATCAAGTCCGGCCAGATTAAGACACTTGATCAGACGTACCTCGGATGTCGATTGACATTGCTGCAGACTTCGAGCGCGTTAGGGTTATCTCAGCCGCTCACGCCGTGTGAAAAGCGGACGGCGACTGATTCGGGATGAAACCATGGCTCATTGCTGGATTAGAATTTTGAGAACTTCCTTGTTGATATATGTATATCGCAAGGTATGTGATCCGTGCGTGGCCAAAGTCAGATCTCCCATCCCATAGCAACACAAAGGAGAGAATACCGAGCTTATCAGACAGAATGGATACCCTCGAGAAGCATGAAGTGCAGAACACTCACGAGCACGTAGAAGTCGATGAGACCCTGGACAGGGTGTCATCCACAGCTCTCGGAGACAACCTACCCAGGCATTATTACAGAAGCCCACAATTTATTGGGTCTTTTCTTGTGCGTCACCCTGAGGCGATCCTCGTCAAGAAGAGTGCCCGCTGACTACCTTGCAACAGTCGATGGCCATCTCGTACCAAGGAGCATTCCTGGGCTATGTTATGGCAGCAAATGTGATTACAATCATCAATCAAGATCTAGGTATCATTACCTCGGTGAACTCTCAGAGATGTGCACATAGTAATCGACATTTCTTCACAGGCCCTGCTCCAGACTACATATGGATTCTTCTCGTTTACGTCCTATGCCAGACCGTCACCTTCACTCTCTCTGGCCGATTTGGGGACATTTTCGGGCGGCGCTGGATCTTCATTGGCGCCAATGCTCTCGCCTTCATCGGCTATATGGTCAACGGTCGAGCCAAGAAGATTAATACCCTGATTGGGGGGGTAAATTTTGCACCTCATGTGTGTCGACTTCAATTTGCTGACCATGGCCCATTCTGCAGAGCGCCATAGCAGGCGTTGGAACCGGAATCCAGCAGACTATGCCCGTCATCTTTGGGGAGATGGTGCCGAACCGCAACCGGAACACGACGCTCGGACTCCTGTTCGCACTGTTGGCTCCCCTCTCTACCATCGGACCCGGACTAGGTATGTTTTGGAGCTTCTCGTGGTCTGCAGAACGCAAGTTGACAGTATTTTATCCTAGCTCGGGTGATGGTGGACAATGCTTCGTGGCGCTGGGTGTACTACTTCAGCGCCATGATGTCGGGAATAGCTGGCCTGCTTCAGCTATTCTTCTACTTCCCTCCAAACTTCCGCCAGCTTCATACCGCCTTGTCTAAGCGTGCGGCTGTGATGAACCTTGATTTCGGAGGCGTCGTAATATTCGCTGGCAGCGCGACGTCGATTATCCTGGGCATTTCGTGGGGTGGACAGAAATATCGTAAGTTCGACGGTGCCCCTACAAGATTTTCGTCCGTGGTATTCACTCTTTTCGATCAGCGTGGCATTCCGGTGAGGTTATATCCACAATCGTGGTCGGAGGGGTTGGTCTTATCCTGTTTGTCTTGTGGGGTAAGTTTTGTTCTTCTGAGTTCGTCTCGGTGAGGAGTGATTGACTAAAGCTCGGTCAGAACGATTTGCTCCTTTGAAGGAACCGTTGATGTCCCTCTACCTGTTCCGAAACCGGAACTATGTGGCTTTGACGGTCGTCGCCAGCGTTGGGTCTATGATATTCTACGCACTAAACATCGTCTACCCGCAACAGATTGCCGCCGTTTATGGAAAGTCTGTTCAAACTACCGGCTGGATGAGTGTAAGGAGATCTCCAGACATGCCCACGTACGCAAACTGACCGTGCACCAGTGTACTTTGGTGGCGGGCGCGGTCTTCGGCCAGTTTCTCGGAGCGCTCTCGAAATGGACCCATAAGTGGGTGCCCTTGAAATGGCAGCTGGTCATCGTCTGCGTCTTGTTCACAATATTCACCGGCGGCATGGGCGCTGTTTCGAAACAGAATCAGGGCCGCGCCATCGTGTTCAGCCTCATCTCCAGCACCATGATTGGATACATGGAGGTCCTTACCTTGGCCGGCGCCCCTCTTATGGTGAAGCCGGAGGACATTGGCTTGGCGAATGGTGTCGAATATACCTTGAGAAGTGGCTGTTCGGTCCTTGCAGGTGAGTTTCGGCTCGTTCAGCCATTTTGATCATGCTTGTGATCGCTGACGGTTGCGGTGAATAGACTCGGTCTTTGTGACAATTGTGAGTATTGGGCTCAAAATTTTCGAGGAAACTTGGTGATGCTAACGTCTTGTAGCTACAAAACAGATTAGCGTCCGATCTCAAGAAATGGGTTGTTCCAGCCATTGTAAAAGCAGGGCTCCCGGCAACGTCGGTCGTCAGCTTCCTAACGGCACTCTCGGGGGGGAACCTCGCTGCACTCGAGAGAGTTCCCGGCGTGACGCCAGCGGTTTTACAGGCAGCGACCACCACGGCACTTCGCTCTTACGAGGACGCATTTCGACTCATCTATCTGGTGAGCATTGCTTTTGGCGGTTGCGCAATCATTGCAGCCTTGCTGCTGGACTCGAAGAAGATGGCCGAGTGCATGACGCCGGATGTTGCGCGTAAATTGCAACATGTCCACCCATACAACAATGAATCTCCCAATCAAATGGAGAAGCGTGGCATACCAGGGAGTGACAATGAAGCTTGATCACCCTTACATATTGGGAGCCGAGCTGTGTATTTGTGAGCAGGGTGGTGGGCGTGTCAGTACAACATATTGCGCAAAGCAAATCTTGAGTTAAGGCAATGGAGGGAATGAGGATGGTTGTATAGCAATATAACGTTCGCCTCGCGCATTCTGTCAGAGCAAGCACCCTTGTGTGATAGGCCAGGGGGCGAGAGTACGTTATTCAAGTCAATGTCGACTGTCTTGGGCGTGGCCTGTCTTTCAAATGAACTTCTGAAGAATCGACCGCTCGAAGTCATCTCCTGGGGAGGTCTACCTTTGCCTTCGTCGGGCTCAGGCCATCAATCATTTTGCGTCCAAGTGACTCCTATGCGCGTATTCTTGTCCTTGGGTTAGCTCTTGATGATTAGGCAGGGAATATGCCTAATAGACGACAAAATCCTTGCTTGTTTTACGGTCTGAATAGCAAACCATCTTGTATTCAAATCTATTGTACCGGGGAATATCAGTCAGCTGGTGGATGGTAGTGCTATCTATTTTGACACAGCCAGCCCTGAAACCCGAGTACATTCTCGAATTTCTTTGCGTGGAGTGGAAGATTCAGCCAATTTCATCTTGTCGTTGAAGTATTTCCAACACATTCTTTGACCAAAAACATCCTGATTGATTCTCTGTCGAGGAAATTCATTTCATCCTTTATTATCTTCTCCCGAGCCTCTGGAGTCGACGCATCGGCCTGGAACTTCGCAAAGTCCTCCTCGGTCTCAAACCACGCCTCGGTGACCACGTCGCAGACGCTTGATGATAGGCTGTCCAGATTATTGAAGGTCGAATCGGGTTTGACGTAGTTGCGCACGTATCGCGATATGGACGGCGTGACGCTCAAGACCAGTGGGACGTGGTGCTTTTCGTAGTATTCTTCAAAATCTTGCATTGATGTCCCTGGCTTTCGTTTCAAAAATGCCACAAGCTTTACCGCGGGCACCGATGCAGGAGACATGGTTAATACTTCAGGGTATAGGAAGAAATACTCTCAGCAATTGCAAAGAGGCTGCATTAAATTTTGTTGTGGTAAGGTGTTCAGATTTGGCGTCCAGTTTAAAAACTTTCCTCAGTGCTACACTCCGCCTGATTCTAACCCTAAGCGAATCCTGTGTGGACCACAGACTGTTCACATATTCTATTGCCAGATTCTAAACTCAGACTCGCCGAATATCTGCGCTCGGCCTTGCCGGTCCAAACGCCGGACCACTTCTGTCCCGCGTGACATGCGTGAATTACTCGCCGTCAGCTGGTACCAGGAGCCACAGACCGCCTGGATTTAGCAAGGGAAGAGAGCTGCCTTGTCGCTCATAAGAGACTGAGTCTCCTATCATTGTACTCCCCATACCTGAAGGCCTCGTCTCTTTTACGTGCCGTGTGAAGTCAGATGCCGTGAAGAGTGCAGCTTGTGAGTGAGTCCTCCATGGTTCAGTCACTGGGTAGCTCAAGAGCAGGACCGGGCCAAATACACGTGGACCACAAATCCGTCAAAGTCTTCTTTGTATTTGACTCTGTTTCACACCTGGTGGTGAGCATCTCACCTTTAATGTCTCGTGTCACCGTTAACTAGATATGTTGTCTGTTTGTTCTCTGATAAGTACCACCCTACGTTGCTGGGTATCAAACACGCAAATACTCGTAGCTCAAGACCTCGAGACCTCTCAACACACGAAAGAATTGTGCGAAAGCTGCCATTGATTTGAGACAATCCTGGAGCCGGTGGCTTTTCGGCGGTGAGATTGCAGATTTCTGCTCATTGCTCGCGATATACCCGCTAGATCAACAGCTCCTGTGCCGATCGACGAAGACGTGGTCTTTTCCGGCAAAGCATAGCATAGATTGCGGCCGCATAAAACCGCTATTCTCATCATTTCTGATCTCCAGCATTGCATTGCGATAGACGTCGTTGGTGGTTGAGATGCGTTCATCGAAGAGCATTGTGGCACAGATGTCGTACGGCGATTTGTCGATTCCGAAGTCCTCTGACAGTCTCCCCAGTCCACGGGGCTGGATCTGGTGATTTTGTACGTAGACCACCAAGCCCATCGCTGCAGCCCAGCGTTTTGTCAATGCTGAATGGCAACGGCCCCAATATTCGACGCTCTCCGTACCCTTCGCCGCCTTAGCAAAAGCTACCGCTCTGACAAGGTGGTTGTACTTCGAAGCGACGAGAGTGTCTGAATTGCTAGGGCAAACAAATGGCCTCTCTTCGACCATGGAGACGTGACACTGGGAAAGGTTCAGATGCTTCTGTATGATCTCGTTCAACGCCTGCCATGCCTGCCGGCCATTGGGTGAGTCGTAATTCTCCAAGAATTCGTCGATTGTACCGTCAAAATAGAACTCGTCAACAATATCAAATGGAGGGCCAGGCTGCACGAGGTTCGCGCGGGTCGAGCGGAGTGAGTTATCCAGGTCGCCTGCAGTCCGAAATATTTGAACATATTTGGCCAAGTTGAGCGGTGTCTGGAGCGATGCAACGAAGGGCCCATAGTCCTCTCGCCAGATTTTCTGGAAATCGTCTGTTGTGATCCCTCCCTTCTGACGAAGTGCCCAGATCAACTTTACCGTCATCGCTACCGCCGCGCCCCTATTTTATATATAGATATAAGGTGCCAGACCGAACGGTAAGAGCTGGTGACATGTACACTGATATTTTTAATGGCCTGATTCCTATCTTTTTTTTGGAAGACTGATTTTCCTTAAGTGAGACCTAATCAGGGTCGGCTGGAAGCAGTCTAGCAAAAAATCCATTGGCCTGTGTTGAAAGACCGTTGCAGGTGTAAGCCGAGTAGATCTTTCCGGCGAGTTGACCATCCAGTGTCAAAGTTTGTTTTCGACTCTATCAAGACAAACAGTCTACGATCGGAACTGCCTGGTCTGAGTACCATCAGCCTAAACGGCAAATCACGTCTCTTGCAGAGCTCGTAAGGCTCTTCGAGACCGAGCACACCGCAGAGTCTGCATGAGGCCGAAAATACGACCAACAATGTCGAAAACTGCTCCTTTACATAGTGATGACTCGATCTGATTTGCACCGGCACCAGCCCAGAGCGTTGAAACTTGTGTACGAAAGATAGGCTACGCTGCCGTTCAAGACAATGCTTTCTTCAAGCCAGCCATGCTTTCCTTCATGAAGCCCTCATAGATCGGGACCATTTCGGCGATGCCGGTCGGGCTGATCTCTTCTGCATCTGCAATCCAAGTAACCTTGGTCTTTCCCTCCCCGGCGCTTTCGAGTTTCCAGTTGCCGAATCCGCCCTTCATGGGAAGGACCGGGCTGTCCTTGATGCGATAGGAAATGTAATGGGTGTCATTGTCGAGGACTTCGAGGGTCTCTTGTTGCACTCCGGCCATGGACATGATGGTTCGAACGGTTCCGACACCCTGGCCGTTGATCGTGCACCACTGGATGGACGGCATCCAGGCTTGTATCGCGCCGAAGCTGGACAGCAAACTCCACACATGCTCCACGGGGTGGTCGAAAATGTCTTCCTCGACACGGATCACCGTTCTCGCCATTTTGGTCCGATGTGCTGAATGGCCTGAAGGTCTAGAATGATTGGATCACACCAGATGTGCGATCTATGGTTTGGGCTTATCGACTTTGGCCACACACCAGATGGGAGTTGTGGGCTGAGACTTTATTGACAGAGGCGATAGGTCGAACTTCCGTCGATGTACAAGACAACACAGGCATGGAATATGATAATACCTATAACTGTGCCCTTTTAACTCGGGGTATCGGCATTGGGATTGCCTTGCTCCGGATATTATACCTGAGCCAGCTCCGAAGCCGAGTATCCTCGTAACAATCCTCGTATACCATCTCGGAGTTTGAGAGGCCGAGATACCTGGGAAACCCGTAGCAGGCAGTAATTCTCGTGTCGTAGAACGGCGACTGAACATGGAGAATAGGTCTTGAGCAATGCTTTGCGTTCTTCAACCTATTATCTCCACCACAGATTCGCCGCCATGAAAACCGGTGGCCACCAGCTAAAAATTCATTCCTCAGCTTTTGCAACCTGAAATTCAGCGACCAGAGTGTGATCCCGGGTTGCAAAGTACCAATACACAGGTTTCTATACGCAGAAGCGAGAGTTCATTCCTTCGGAACCTGGTACTCGGAAAAGACGCTTTTTTCCGCCTTGGCAAATTCGTCCATTATCGTTGCTTTCTTCGAATCGGACCGGACTTTGATGCTGCATTCGAAAGGAAGAGGGACCACAATTATGCCGTCTCCGTAGCCTTTCTCACTCAGGTCCACTTCTACAGGCTTGCCTTGTGCATCGAGAGCTGGTGAGATGTCGAAGGCCCAAAGGATTTTGGCAACTGCCACAAACAATGCCCGCTCCGCTACATGAATGCCGGGACACAGCCGACGGCCAGTTCCGTAGGCGTAGTGATCGCGTTCGTTGTAATTGGCGGCATGAGAGTAGTCGTCAGCGAGGCCAGGCTTGTTGACGAAATTATCCAGATTCAAGGTCTCGGGATCGGGGAATCTCGAAGGATCGCGGTGCAGCCCATAGATATTGACTATTATATCGCTGCCCTTGGGGAGCAGCTGTCCGTCAAGCCATACATCTATCCGAGTAGTCAGGGTTTGTTCGTCTCGCACTCTTCTCAAGGGCTCACTTACCTTCGGCGAGGGCATGCGGAAAACCCATTGGTGCAATCGGTCGCAGCCGAAGGCTCTCTTTGATGACGGCGTTGACCAGAGGAAGGCGACTGAAATCCGCAAAGGTAGGAGAGCGGTCGTCGCCTACGACTGAGTCGATCTGATCCTGGATTCTCTTTGCCACCTCAGGATATTTGATCATAAAGTGGATGAACACATTGAGAGAGCCAGCAATCGTGTCAGAACCTGCCTCCATCAGCAGACCAGCCATAAAGTATAGCTGATGCCAATTCCACCCCAGTTGGTTTTGCTGTTCAATGAGCCGGTCAGCGAAACTGTTGCGTGAGCCTTCCTTCTGGCGGCGCTTGACAACCGTGTCCAGATACCCAGCGTACAGCGCATTGATTTCTCGCTTTGTATCTGCGACTTGATTTCTCCAGTTGTTCCATAGTCGCTGTGGAAAGTAGCTGAGAAAAGGGAAGAGCTCCACCGGTGGCACGGTTCCTGGTTGCAGCAGTGTCGTTGTCTTGCTGAGCACCTTCTCAATGTTGACCATATGCTTAACCTTCGTATGTGGCGTTCGAATTCCGTATCCTTCAGAATTATTAGGAGGTTTGTGCTCGAAGCGAGACAGTCTCTTGATCAACCTACCAATGCTCATCACAAAGCTGTTACCGAATCTCTTGGTGTGTTTTAAAAAGTCAGCGGGATCCAGGCAAAGATCTCTCAACAACTGAGCGGCTTCCGCCTCCATCAGTGGCATATGCTCCTTCTCGACTACCGAGGCCATGAAGTTTTGGTGCAGAAATTTGCGTGCAATTCTGAATTGAGGGTTACTGGCTTGCATCAACAAGATCTCGTCATGCTCATAAAGGATCTTTTCCATGATGGAATAAGGCCGATTGCTCGAAACGGAGCTCTTCTTGTCCATCAACTCCTTCACGAGACGTCGATCTGTGAGGACAAATGCATATTTTGTTGCAAACTTGACGGAGTAAAGCCCCCCGTATTGCTTTGCCCATTCTGCAAATCTATCATGGCCAGAAATTAGCTGGAGAATGCCCCGAAGAAGAGGTGAGGTGGAGCTACTTTAGATATGCTCTGTCTCGAGGGATCTGATGGAGATTTCCAATGATTGGTAATGTAGGGGGCCCTGCTCTGGTCAATTCTGGGTTCGGAAATGGATGTCATCGAGACCGAACCGTGAGGGATGTCCTTGCTCCGCCGACCGCTTGATAGGGCAATGTAAGTAAGCAAAGTGAGAATCAGAGAACTTCCAACAGCGATGAGGATGAGGACATTCTTTGGAAGTGCAGCGGTGTCCAGCATAAGGAAGACTGTGCCTTTCATGATGGAAAGGTCAACAAAAACAAAAAGAAACTGACACAGGCAGACAACCATGGACGAAAAATCTAGCCATGATAAATCAGGCAAGCAATGTTCCGCACAGAACAAATGGTGAGATAATCCGAACGAAATAGGGATGGTCGGTTATTTCGGAGTTCAGCTTGTGGCAGCATCACATGCTTTGCAGTGCCTTACCGATATAGCCAGACAGGGTCAAGTTCGACTTGAAATAAGATCATTCTGAGAAAAGTAGGACAACATCCTATATACGTAATACTCAAGTCAACACAAGTGCGCCATGTCGGATCTATTACAGGGCGTTGCTTTGATATCAGGAGCCGGCTCCGGTATGCTCACTCAGGGGACCACGAAAATAGCTGACTTCTGGAATCACAGGTATCGGACAGGCAACTAGTCTTGCATTTGTCCGGCATGGCATTACTCAGCTTGCGCTCCTGGACATCGACCCTGCCGGGATGGCAGCAACTAGGAAGCTGATTTTCGAATTAAACAACCAGGTAGAAGTACTTGAATTAGAGGCCGACCTCTCCAACGACAAGGCAATTGTGGATGCCATCCAGGCAGTTGTCAACAGATTTGGGCAGATCGACATAGCCGTGAACAACGTTGGCATCGGCGGTTCCATGTGTGCCACATCGGAGATGAGTGTGGACGACTATCGCAAAGTTGTCGACATCGATCTGGTTGGTCTCTGGGTAGCGCAGAGAGAGGAAATCAGGCAAATGCTACGACAAGACCCACGAGGGCCGTGGTAATAACTGACCTTTGAGTTACAACCCCTGGCTCTAAATCTATCTTGCAGCCCTGAAATCCGAAGCCGAGGTGTGATTGTGAATTTATCTTCCACGTACGGGCACGTTGCCCCCTCTGCTACGACACCAGTCCCACCCTATGTCGCGTGGTGAGTCAGTCCTCCTGGTGAATGCTTTTAGCTCCATTCTGTTACATACATCATGAGTACGATCAACTAAACCTTACTTGTTGTGATGTTTAGCAAGCATGGGGTATTGGGCATGACGAAAGTGGTAAGTTGGTGTTCAACCTTATGCTCATCATCCAACTCACGCATTTCAGGACGCCAATTCCTACGCAAAGGACGGTATACGCATCAATGCCATTTGCCCAGGGTAAGTTCATTCAATGTTGTCCGGGTCAGCCAAATAGGGCTCGATGATGAATTGTAAAAAAGGTTCGTAAATACCCCAGCCTTGAAGGCGGCCGTTCAGGAAGAAGGTGTCATGCGGGACGAGTTGAAGAAGGTTCCAATGGGCCGGTTTGCGGAACCTTCGGAGATAGCTGAGGCCATCTCATTCCTGGTGTCCCCAATGAGTAGCTATATGTCTGGCGCAAGCTTGATTGTAGACGGGTTAGTGTTAACGGTCCTTCACGATGTTCCTAAATCCAATGGCTAACTCGAATGCAGTGGTTTTACAAGCCAATGACCTCGAATATCAAGTTGATCGCGGCCCGGGTTCACCCGTCTACTCTCGAATCGTCAAGTAACATCGCCTTTCTGGAGTTGTATTGCCATGCCAGACTGCATTCACGAATGGCTTCGAGCCTCGAAATCTCATAACAAGAGTTGGCAGAGGTGGACAAAATTGCCAGCTGACCTTGTCCAGATTGGCTCTGCATATTTCCAGACTCGGAGCAGGCTGGGAGAGCGGCTTAGATTTCTATTTGTGTGATCGGGACACTTTACATAAAACATGACCTCCCTACAGGAATCAACGAATATTTGGTCCCGATCCTACTGGAACGTACGGGAAGATTGCCATTCTATGAACAATTAGTGGATGTTTTTGCGCGGAACTGTAAATTGTCCAGCTCACCATTCCAGAGCTCCCGTTTTAACTGCTCTTTCGACAAGGTCTATGCCACAACGGATCTATGTGTCTGTAACAAATCAGACGGGAGAGGTCAGCCAGTTCAAAAAGAAGTTGTGACCCTGTCGAATGCTTTCATCCCCGCGCGGGCCGAATAAATCGCTCGCTTACAACTTCGCCCGTGCTCCGAAAAGGCGGTTCGGGCTGAAAATTGACCTGACAAACGCCTCTCACCTGGAGACTGGAGTCCCAGCCGCTATGTCGTATACATCCACAGACTCTCTCTCTATTCCTTTCTCCCTCTCTTGATCTCTTAATCTCTCGCTCTCTCGCGTCTAGCTGATCCGATGGCTTTTTAAATACTGAATGAGAGCATCGCCGCTTTTTGCGTCATTGTGATGCCCTATTACACTCAACATATTGAGAATTGAATCTTATTCGACCAGATCCCATGGATCTTTCGAAACTTTGAAGTATGCCGACGATATCTAGAACGAAAGTCGTACCTATCATAAACTGCATGGCCGGAGTCCTCTCAAAAAGCTCAAGTTCTGCGGGCCATTTCTATAGATATCCCTCAGTGCGCAGATACTTCGCGACCATAGAGGTAAGAGGACTTTGATTTACGATGACAAAGAATTGTATATGGGCTGGCCATATGTGTTACGGCCAATCATATCGTGAAAATGTATATTGTCTTGGAAAGCTAAAATCTGAACCAGGAGCCTGGTTTTGACGACACCTATGATGTAGTCGTCGTCGGCTCAGGAGCTGCAGGGCTCACAGCGGCCTTCACAGCAGCTTTCGGTACAAACAATCGCGTCCTTGTCGCAGAAAAGACCGGCTACTACGGCGGAACAACGGCATTTTCAGGGGGTGGACTATGGGTCCCAGGAAACCCCAAGATGTCAGAGCTAGGGATCGTTGATTCTCGCGAACGTATTCAGACTTACCTACAAGAAATACTGGGTCCGAGCTATCAAGAAGACCTAATTTCGGCCTTTCTGGACTCGGCTCCTACGATGGTAGCCTGGATGGAAGAAAATTCGGCCGTGCGGTTTGTGGGCACCCTGGCCCCGGATTATCACATGGATCGCAAAGGCTCAGAGTACGGGCGGACCATCATGACCAAGTCATACGACGGCCGGGGGCTCGGGCCACTAATCAAGCAAGTTCGGTATCCTCTTCAAGGCATGTGTGCTTTTGGGTCTATGCAAACAGATCTAAGCGAGCTCAACACGTGGAAAAGACCGCTGGCAAACTGGAGAAATTTCAGCTTCTGTGCCAAAAGCCTCGCGAGGTACGCGTCAGACTTGGTGCGGTACGGAAAAGGCACTGCGTTGTTCAACGGGAATGCGCTGGTCGGTCGGCTGTTGGAATCAGTCAAACGAGAAGGAGTCGATCTATGGAGCGATGCTACAGCACTCGAGCCGATAGGGGGAAATGGACAAGTTGACGGCCTCGTTATACAAAAGAACCACACCAACATCCGCGTGCGAGCCAGGAAAGCTGTGCTGTTAGCAAGCGGGGGATTCAGCCGCTCGGTCGAGTGGAGCCGCAAGTACCTGCCTAACGCCGACTGGTCAGCTGGTTGTCGTGGAAATCAAGGAGACGGTCTTCGTATCGGTATTGCATTGGGAGGCAGTCTCCCTCCGCGGAACGAGGACAATGCTCTGTGGTCTCCGATCTCTCAACTCATCCCGAAGAGAGGGCCCGTCCGAAACTTCCCCCATCTTGCCCTGGATCGGTCTAAGCCAGGCTGTATCATCGTTGATGGCGATGGTCAACGGTTCGCGAATGAGTCGGCCCCATATCAGCCATTTGGGCGCAATACACATGCTGCAGGAGTTCGCAAAGAGTATTTAGTGGGTGACAGGACCTTCCTTCGGCGCTATGGTATGGGTATGGCCCTTCCGGCACCGTACGCCATTGGCCACTTACTGCGGAAGAATTATCTATTACAGGCCCAAACGGTTCCCGAACTGGCTCAAAGGATAGGTATGGCCCCGGCGAAGCTGGCTAGCACGGTTGATCGATTTAATCAATTTGCACGCGCCGGCAGAGATGATGACTTCCATCGCGGTGAATCCATTTATGACCAAAGCTACGGAGATCCGCATGTCAAACCGAATCCCTGTCTTGCCCCGCTGGAGAAGCCACCATTCTACGCCCTGCCACTCTATCCCGGCAACGTGTCGACTCTGTATGGTCTCAGAACAAATCACAATGCTCAAGTGCTCAACTCTGACGGCAATCCCGTACGTGGTCTGTATGCGCTGGGCGCGGACCAAAACTCCATTATGAAAGGGCTCTACCCTGGGGGTGGGAGTACACTTGGACCGGGAATGGTTTTCAGTTATCGAGCCGGTCTCCATTTGTCAGGTCGGCTTTAGTAATATCTGAATTTGATGTTGCACCCACTCTTTACAGCCTGGTAGCTGCCCTCCAGAATATGCATTGTACGTCCACTTACCTGTAGACCAGCTTAAGAGTGATATCGAAATCCGTCCGGGTGTTTCTTCAGGCTGGTGCTCCCGAACATTCTGGGAAAACCTTGGTTCTTAGATTCCCCGGAAAATAATGGCGAGAGACTGCAAGACTAACCGGGCTTTTCGGCCCTTACCTGTTCGAGGAACCTTGGATGCCGTATTTTGATGACATGTCCAAAAATTGCATGGTATATACGTACGTCCACCCTCTATCTCTAACCTTGCCACTACGAGCTTGAATACTTCGCTTGCCACATAGAAAATTGCAAGTTCGGCCTCCTCCGACAGTCATGTCGTTCATCCCAATCCCAGACCCCGAGGATAGGATCGTCAAGATCACTGCCTTCTGCTACAAGAAGCCGGGCATCTCCTGGGAGGAGTTCATCAAGCACTGGCGGACCACGCACGTGGAAAAATTCACGCGGAACCCAAAAGCCGCCTCCCGGTTGATCGGATACGTACAAGTATTTGATGCCCAGAAGTTTCAAGCAGAATGATTCTAATCCTACACGATGTAGTGCCACAGAGATGAAGAGGCCAGCCGCCAGATGGGGCCTGTGCCACTGGCCGATTATGACGGCTATGCTGAGTTCTACGTCAAAACCATCGAGGACTGGATAGAGATCGCGTCGGAACCACAGCATCTTTCCGAGACAATGCCCGACATGGATTACTTTTGCGATCCCGCACGAATGACCTTGCTGATCACCAATTACGAACCCCGTTTTGGGGCAGTCCCTCCACTGAAGAAATAGCTGTTTGGGCACGGACGGAACTGGGTCTTCAAGTCTGCTGTCATCAGTACGAGCTGGTACCATATGATCCTGGTGTATCCTATGTACGTGATATTGGACTCCAGGCGATCTCGATACCTACATTACTTTGTGCCCTTGCGGCGAGAGATGCATTCGAATAATTATATTGCATACCGTTTCGCAGCTTATCCGCGATTTCACCGGTCATTATTCCAAGGGGCCACCAAAATCGAGCTGATCCGATTTCGTTCGGACGTGCCACGATGACGGTCCGGCTTGCCGAAGACTCTAAACGAATGGGCCGGGCGAAAATGTATAGTCTAACACCGCTAGTAGGAAACATGCCAAGAAGGATAATAATACTTTGATCCATGCAATACTAGCCAATACTGGTATTATAGTAGCCCGTTTCGGTACCCGAGGTACTAAAAACCACCCTATTTGGGAGCCGATCCCGAGGTGACTACGAAGATCCCGCAAAGGAGAGAGTGCCAGGGCTGCCCGTAAATGCGAAAACAAGGCGCTGGCTCCGGGACGGGATCCGCAGTTCCCGAAGACTCCTCACGGTCTGTGCTGGGGCGTACCAAGATCCCGAATGCTTTATTCCGCTCGAGGTAGACGAGGCATAAGGGGTCTCTCTGAGGAGCTATCTTGAAATAGTGGACCAGGATCTGGGAGCCTTCCACTATCTTCTGGGAAATGGCCTCACCTGGAAGCTCTGCACAGTGGGAAAGACTTTCCCAGAGTGCATCTTGGGATGCAAGGAGCCTCCAGTGTACGCTTGGGAGAGAAGGTGCGATCTCGGCCTCGACAGTATAGCTCTGAGTGGGTCATCGTTCTGCTTGGTTCTACTGTCGACTGGACTAACCTCCTTCATGGCGCTTCTACATGGACGTCATTGAACTAAGCAAAATCCTTAAAACTCAGCATGCAGGTTCAACGACCGTGGGGATACATAGAATTGTGGATGTTGCTAAGCCAGTGCACTAGTCACAGAATAGGCGCTGTTCGCGGCTGCGGCTACCACCTTTTGCAGGACAATGTGGACTGGACTCCATCGCTTTGAAGTGATTCTCGAGCATGCTCATCCTATTGTTGCTGCACGCGAAGGAGGGCTATCTGTTGTAGGGTCGTGGCCGAGTCTCAGGCGGTGAATGCGAAGAGGAAAGGCAGCCCCGCTTCACAAGGTAGCTAGCTCTTTGCTCGGCGTCTATCGAGAAATGGTGGATGGCGGCGGCCGTCCGACTTGGCCGCTTTGAAGACCCGGCGCATCCCAGGTCCCCCCGTCGTTTCAACGTTGCGAATCGAATTTTTTTTGGGTTATCATTCAAATTACAGACTACCATTCCCTTTTCCTTTTGCCTCATCTGAAAGCCCCGAAATGATTCGGGCTCTCTCTCTCTCTCTCTCCAGAGATTAGTTCGGATGACATGCATCGGGGAGATTGAGACTGCTCTTACCACTTCCGACCTCCCCTTTCCGGGATTGACTTTGGTCCTAACCAACCTTGGTGATTTGTTCGTCGACTTCGAAGATGTCATGACCCTTGGCCAGATCTTGCTCATTCATCTGGTGAATGTCGACGGTAGCAATCTCGTCACCGAAAAGCTTGGGTATTTCCTCGAGAGGGATATTTTTCGTCTATAGCGAAGAGAACCCCACGGTGTTAGCAATGCTAGTTGTAGCGAGGAGGAGAGGAGGGGGTAGGACGCAGGAAGAACAAACCTCCGGATAAATGAAAAAGACCACAATGAAGCAGACAATACAGTTCGCCACAAAGACCATGTAGAACTTCCACCCAATGTGTTCGAATCCGATAGGCGCCGTCTGCGTCCACAGGATGGTTGAGGCATAGGAGAAAGCGAAGGAAATACCACATCCCAGCGCGCGAATATGATTTGGCCAGATTTCGGCGGTAAAGACCCACGACGCGGCATCGATGAAGGTTCCATATATCTGTTTTGGTTAGCGAGTTCACCAGCGATAGAGGGAGGGATGCTTCATACAAAGGCAAAGAAGTAGAGGAAGAAGATCCCTCCGCAAGCGTAGCTTGTGTTGCCGGTTTGGACAAAATACTTGGTAAGCGCCCCCTCTCCAGATAGCGCAATGCCCAAGAAGAAAGAACCGATGACTGTGAAATACGTCAGCTTAGGGGCTCAATCATAGCGCGAGGTAGTGGTCAACTCACGAAACATCCGCTTTCTTCCCAAACGGTCAATCAAGAACGGAGCAACTGCGTTAAATGGGATCGTAACAGAGATCCATCCGGCGGATAACAAGAGTGCATCACCTCCCGTATAGCCGAGTGAGTTGTACAAGAGCACACTATAGTTATTGATGACCAGGATGCCCATGCCATTGGCACTCCATAAGATAAAGCAGGAGAAGAAGAGACGCTTTAGGTTGGACTTCTTCGTTACCACCGACCATTTCCCCTCCGCTTTTCTCAGTCTAGCATCAAGCTCACGCTGCTTTTTAATCTCGGTAGCTTCGAGCTGTGCAAAGTGTTCGGTGTCAGGACTATTTTTGTCGGGGTGCAGTTTGGCTAGGAGCCGGACGCCTTCGGCATCACGGTCATGCTCGATCACTGGGAGGTCGCAGAGACGTCAACATACAGATGATTCATCAACGAGGGGGGCCAGACCGACTTACACCAACGGGGCGATTCAGGCAGATAGAATGACACTGGCACCATCACCACAGCCAAGAGACAGCCAATGGAGATGGGAAATCGAAATCCGAACGTGCCAAGGGCCTTCGATTGGGCGAAGTATGCGCCGTAGCCGATCCAGGATGAGCAGGAGTATCCCAGAGCAGAGAAGACTCCTCCTTGGGCGACCAGGAAGCCGCGGAAGGACGGGGGCGAAATCTCAGCCTGGTAGACGGGAATGGTGGAAAACAAGGATCCGCTTCCGAAGCCAGTGATGACACGGGCGACCTGGTACATAGGTACGTTCGTCACTCCGGTTTGTAGGGCGCTTCCTATGATGAGGAAAAAGAGCGACGCCCATATCGTCTTCTTACGCCCGTACTTGTCGCCGACGGCAGTGAGTATGGCGCAGCTCACAAATGCACCTAGAAAGTAGATGGCATTGGAGGTCGAAATCACCGTCGTCGTGTGAGAAGATGTGGGATCCAGGCCAAGAGTCGAATAGAAGGTCGGTTGACCCAACGTGCTAGAGATGATGGCTAAAAGTGGTCAACACCTTGATCGACTGTGTTTGTCGTCACTCTGCAACACGTACCATTGTTGTAGGCGGCTGTGAAGATGCCGAATCCCGCCAGCCAGATCAACCGCAGGTTATACCAACTCCAATTCTCTTGGATATCCTCCATATTGTTGCAGGTTGCGGTTGTTGGTCCCGATTGGAGTGTCCTTTTTTTCCTGGGCCTTGTCAAGTGGCTGTTAAAGAAACAGTCAGAGAAAGTGACAGAAAGAGAGCTATTGTCTGCAGGTCATGTCGATCTGACTGGGCGGGATCGCGACCATAATATCAGTCTTGAGGAGAGCATACCCACCGTCCCTCGGGGTTAGATAGGGAGGGGGAATAGCCTTGTCTAGGCAGATTACCAAGGCAACCCTACCGTACCCTCGGGTTTCTACTGCATGACTTGGGTGTCACATGCCGAGGGCAGGAACATGAGCCGGTATATAAGGTGTTGTCCTCAAAATGCAGCCGGACCGAGTTTCTGGTCCCCAGCAAGTCCACGTGTGCTTTGGCGGGGACCCCGAGAACGGCCACGGCTGCATCCGTACAGGGGTACCATTTCGGCTATCAGTCTTCCTGGTGAAAAGATCCCAAGTCCTGAAGTAGCCTCGAAGTCAAGATAGAGCTAAAGAGGAGAAGCGACCAAGAACTTGGCGACACCTGCGCCCTGCCTCGGATATCGACGTCCCCGGACGGTACGGCTACTCCGCAATAACCCCATGGGGAAGCCGCCTCAGATATAGAGAAATGCTTAAGGTCTATAATAGATTTAGTTTCACTAATCAGATCGCTCCATTCACGGGTGACCGAGTGACCACCGACTGACTGCAGTAATGATTGCTGACTGCAGTCCTGGCATCGCTGCTTCTTAGAGGTCAAACTGAGAATTGAGATCCTTCTCATACAAACGACTAACCATCCTGGACGGAGAAACTTCATACAACCAAAAATTCCTGAACAACATCTTCCAACAGTAGACTGGTGAGATCTGGGCTCAGACTGTGAACTTGGTATTGCTAAACTGGCAGAAGATGTCCATCCAGTCCCTCGGCTGGCCAGCCTCGGGTGGGCTGCTACTACTATACTGGGGTAGTATGGGGTCCGAGGTCCGGGGAACTGGGGCGTAAGTATTTACATTCAGAAAAACTCCTTCCCTTCAAGCACCCATTTCTAAGCATAAGACAGGTCAGTGCGGTATCTTCTAGTGGACCGCTGCTCTCTACAACATTCTTTGCAGAGTCATTCAAAATAAAATGGACCACAAACTCGACCCCGAAGCTGCGGAGGTGAGGGAAGTCGGGAGCAAGCTGGAGCTGGAGCTCGTTGATACGGACCCTGACGCCATCCTCGCCGTCGACATTCAAAACAAGAACGCCGTGAAAGGTGACGATTCCGATGGCAAGGTTGACTGGAACTGGAAGCAGCGCATTGCTGTTTTCTTCCTCATTTGGCTGTATACAGGTCAGTATCGAGACACAGAGGGGCTTAAAATGAACACCTCGAGATATTAACACCTTTCAAAATAGGCTCTCAAATTCCCGCCTACTTTATCGGTGGGCCCTTGAGCTACATATCGGCCGACCTGAGCGGCACAGTTGCTGCGGGATGGCTGCCGGTCACGTACGGTTTATCCGCTGCCGCCGTGATCCCAATGTGTGGATATTTCCAAGATATGATAGGTCGCCGCTACGTGTGTCTTGCCGGAAACGTTGCGCTGCTGGTTGGCTGCCTCATCATGGCATTGGCACACTCGTTCAGCGTGGGCATTGTCGCGATGTCGATTTGTGGTGTTGGTGCCGCCATTGGGGAAATGACCGCGCTGGCTGGGTAGGTTTCTCTGAGAAAGTGTCAAGGAAGGAGTACTGACGAAACTACTTCTTAGCACGTCTGAACTTGTGCCCGTGAAACGCCGTCCTGTCTATGTGGCCCTGTTGACAATCATGACTGTTCCATTCTACCCCTATGTCATGGAATCGCAGTTATTGGCTAGAGACGTCAGCTGGCGCTGGGGGCTTTGGATATGTTTGTAAGTTACCATTAGATGTGATATATGGCCATCTGCCCCTGAAGCTGACAATCATGACCAAAAGCATCTGGAACGCGATGAGCTTCGTTGCCCTGTTGTTCACCTACTTCCCCAGGTCACAGACCCGAGCCCACACCAAGGATTTGAGACAACTCTTAACGAAAATCGACTATCTTGGCCTTTTCACGTCCTTTGCAGGATTGGTTCTTCTGTAAGTTCCATCTCATTTTCCGTCCGAGGGCCAAAGCTTATCAGTGGTAGTCTTGTCGCTCTCGAGGCTGGAGGCTACAGCTACCCCTGGAAAAGCGCCCGTGTCATCTGCCCGCTTATTATTGGCGTGCTTTTAATCGCTGCTTTTGTTGTATGGGAGTGGAAGTTTGCTCGATTCCCAATGGTCCCTGGTGCACTCTTCAAAGGACAAAAGCTCGTCACTGTTGGGTATCTCATCGCAACAGTCGCAGGTATTCTCGACCCATTCATGTTTTAATGCTGCCGTGCCTAATAACTTGGCCGCTAGGCATGAACTTCGCTGCTCTGCTCAACCTCCTCCCTACTGAATGGGCTGGCGTTTGGGACCCTGATCCAGTCCAGGCAGGTATTAAGGGCCTGATCGCTTCCTTTGGTGTCGTCACAGGGGCAGTCTCCGGCAATCTAATTCTCCCCAGGGCAGGACGCTGGACCCGGGAATTGATGATATTCTATGTTGTCCTAATGAGTAAGATATCTTCATTTCGCCCCTTGAGAGGCGTTTTCATGCTGAAAGTCACAGCTGCATTCCAAGGTGCGTTCTCCATCGCAAGGCCAGATAATGCCGCAGTTGCGGTTACCCTTGCTGCAATTGGCTGCATTGGAGTGGGAGGCGTTATCACTCCATCAGCCACCCTCGCCATGATGGCGTGTCCCGATTCACTGCTCGCAACTTGTGTTGCGCTCTCACTGGCGATCCGGACAGCGACTGGCAGCATCGGCTATGCCATCTACTTTAACGTCCTTGAGAACAAACTCAAAACCACGCTGCCGACGAGGGTCGCGGAATTTGCTATCGCAGCCGGACTTCCAGCCTCTGAGGGCGCAACCTTTGCAGGCGTATACCTTGCGACGCCGCAGAACGCGACCAGTGTACCTGGTGTTACGGCCAAAGTTCTCCAGGCAGCTGTGATAGGCGTCAGATGGGGCTATTCCGACGCTTTCAAATACGTTTGGTATACCAGTATCCCCTTTGGAGTCCTGGCACTTATTGCGGCTTGCTTCGTACCGAAGTTGGAGAAGCATATCACCAACAGAATTGCTGCAAAGATTGAGTAAAAGAGAAGGACAGGCGAATATCAGAAGGCGTCCCCCGTGTCATGGTCTGCCCCCACTACCGGGAGTTTAAGATTTTCTGTCAGTACCTATCACTTTTTGTGTTCCTGTCTCCATGAGGCTGTGAAGGGAAGTGAGCAGCGCCGGGAGACTCATAAGCCGTCAGTAGGGGGTTTAGTGCTCCTCAATCCCTGTTACGGTGGGTTGGACAATGACCCCGTTTGTTGGACCGCAATGTTCATGATAGAAAGGACGAGAGACTCGCAGTCCAGCACCACTCCATTACGCCAGACCTCGTCGTGGTGTGCTCCCTCTCATAAGCGGGCGACAGTAGCTGCGTTAAGCAAGGGTTCCAGGCAAGCCTCGGGCTGATGTTTTTGTTTATTCGGTTGTCGAGAAGTTTTGACCCTCCTCCACGCATTTTACCCCATGGAACCTTGAAACGCGAGACGGGGAACGAGCGAAGCATTTGACGACTCAGTTCGCGGCTGGGGGCTATCATGTCAACATGGCAATAGTTTACAGACTATCCAGTGCGCGAGAGCAGTGTAGGGCCGGGGCGTATGAAGTGGCTATATCATTGAAACTGTCTTTTGAACTATCATTGTCTGAAGTCTTTGTCCTGGGAGTTGAACCAATGACGTGGGTGGGCGAAGATGTGATGGAACCAATTTGATGCCTACCACGTGCTGCTCCTCTGTCAGAAACGGGCCCCGATGCTGGAAATTCTGTGTTTTAGGCATCTAGAATTCCCTGAAGACGCCACTTCTTCGTAAGTTCCCCCTGTTTTTCCACGTCGAGCCCTCGAATCTTACTGAAATCGGGACCATACTGCGGCCAGTATCCACGCCCACCAGCGAAGTAGATGTCTGTTCTTTGGCGCTCTGAGCGCTCGATATCCTTACCTTCCCACGCATCTCGTGGTCGATACTGATCTCGTGGCTGGAGTCGTAACTCATCGCACTTGTCCCGTAGATACAGCATTGAGGCATCGTCGAAGTCCCACATAACATATCCGCAAAGCCACAAATTCCAATCGTCGGTGTTGAAGACACTCGTAAGAAGAGACTGTCCCCAGTGAGCTTCCAACCAAGTGATTGATGGACCCAAATCCGATGAGTCTCGCCCTTTTTCAAATAATGGATATCGCTCCGCTAAATGTAGGGCCTCCTGCCGGGGTGTGAGTTCATCGTAGCACCCTAGTAACTCGTCGTCGTCGCCGTCTTGGTTGACAGCGAGATATCTCAACGCAGATGGCCATCGATCAGAGGCTATGCCAACACAATCCTCAAGCCGCATTACCGTTATCCTCTCTTCGTAAGACTTCGAGCCAGCAACTGCACGGAGAAAGGGCAGGCCGTTGGTGAGCTATCAATGATGTACCATCAGTCGATTGTCAATGCGAAGGCCTCACAAGATGAAATTCAAACCATACCATTTCTTGAATGGGCGGTGACTGATCTGCATCCTCGTCCCAATCGACCGGGAGCTCTCCCCATTCGACGTCATGAGCAGCAAGATCTTCGAAAGCTGCAGTTGTGAAGAGTTAGTATCCAGGACACCAGGTCATTAGATGCATACCTTCGGCAACAGATCGTTCCAGAAAGATATATACGCAGATTAACTGCTCATTTACCCAAGGAGAGAATTCATTGAAAAACTGGCTGTCTGATTGATCCGCAAGGGCCAGGCTGCCTTCTTTTCTACAGAACAATGTGCACATGATTTGGTATCGAAAGAACGCTCTCTCGACATGCAACTGCTCGCGAGTCGTAATCTTGTTGGAACGCTGAATTCCAAGGCATTTTGTCAGCCGGGGAATCGTTTTATCCTTGAAAAGCGCTGTGAGGTCGTGAACTGCTTTGTAAGTCCTTTCGAGAAAATGATACTCGGGTAGGGACAAAGTATGAACTGCCGATCTGGTCTCCGATTGACTGCCAACGCGGCGTGCTAGCTGCTGCAAAATTCGACTGACTGCAGTCTCACCTTCTGGCACGGTATGGGTGGTCTCTAGTAAGCAGAGAGCATATGGCATTGTCAGTTCCGGGATATGACGAGTGATGATCTTCGACGCAGTCGTATGGAAGTTTTCTCTCAATGCGTTATGAAAGATTCGATTACTCAGAACCGCATGTCGAAGCTCCTCGAAAGTGTCTAGGTGACCAAGAATGTTGGCAACCACGGTCAGAGGAAGGTTAAGCAGTAAGCCAGATTCCCGAGACGTCATGATGATCTGAAGTTTCTTTGTACCCGCCACAGCCGTGGTTCCTTCACGATACTGTGCAGTCAACAGGCGAGTCAATGACAGATTTCAATAGGAAAGACTAATCTGTCAAGTTGGGAACCGGAGTCAGAAGGTGTATGGTAGTGGGGACGAGTGCAACTGAGGTTCAAGGCTTGGTCAGGAAGGTTAGTCGAGTCACGTGTGTAAATAAGGAGGAGCTGTGACTGACGAGGTTGCCAAGGCAATGTAATGACTGTGACGCTAGTCCCTGGAAGGCCTTCGTAAACTACTAGAAGATACTTGTATAGTCAGACGGTCCCCAGGACCCACGTAGAATTCACAATGTTCCTCCATTGAGTCACAGAGCAATTCCACATGTAGGAATACAACTAAGCAACCTTTTCGATATGGGAGGAGAGTGTGACGAATACGCAGCATACGACAAGTTATGTCTGCCTAGTGCCAAGTCTTTGGAATACCCCTGTTATCTCGCTTGCCGGTCGCCAGCCGAGGATATCTCTGCCCAACCCTGCTGTCTTCCAATGGGAAGCCTCCTGCTAGACTGCACCGTTTGACCGGGCGTCAGTTTACACAGCGTCAGCCGCATGAGCGCCCAGCGCACGAGGATAGACGGCTCATTCGGAACCGTAATGACAAGACTTCGGCCGAGAACAGAGATTGTATTTCGAGTTCAGCAGCAGCGCTCACTAGCTGTCCCTACGACGAAGGATATCATTATAGCCTGACAGAATTCCCCCCTTGAGCTTAGGAGAGATGAAATGCTCAACTACGCCATTCGAATCTCCCACTGAGTCAATATGTGCCGGAGCTCTTGGTCGACGCGGGACATGAAACAGGACAAGGTCAAGATGCAGTGCCAATCACTGGCAACCCCCTTGTCAACTTCAGATACGAAGCCGACGCCTCGTTTTGCGGGTAGATTCTAACCAATCACGTCGTGCCCCGTGGTACACGAGCACACTTCACAAGGCGAGAGCACGCTATGGCGCGGCCAGAAGACACGAAAGTCTTCATAATGGCGGCCGGGCTTCGCGAAGTCCACTTTCTGGCATTATGTCTGATACTGCGGGTACTCTGAAGATGTCTGCTTCCTCTAGGTACCAAAATCAGGTGGATGCCAATGGTATCTTCAAAGAGGGCTCGGAGTTACGCAGAGATTATGACTCTTACAAGGCTCGAGGGACTGAATCAAAGAAGTCACGTACAGCATACGATTCCAAAGCTAAGGAATTGGACAGAGCAGGTGAATTACCAAAGGCCAAAGTCGTAAGAAAAACTTCGTCGAGCAGCACTGGTCCAGGTAGGCCATCACTAACTCCATTCATTACACTTTTCTGGCTATCATATTAGTTTAACAGTAATCGCAGTTTCCCAACCAAGAATACTGCCTACTCCTAACCCTCGCGGCACTTCTGAGTCCGGCGTTCTTCAAGGGCGAGCCTTTCATTCCCAAGATCATGATCAACTCAGGGTTTTGGCTAATAAGGCAGGCTGGGATGCCAACCAGTAAGGCGCACATGTCTTCACGGCTCTAATTTCGAGTTTCGTTCTCCATCCGAGACCTGTACATCATCTGGCAGAGCCCAACACTGATGCTGTGCTGAACAGAGAAGCCTCCGAACGAACAGGCTTCAACGTCGAGCACAAAGAGTTTTGGACAACAGTGGTTGGGAACAATTCCTTGCAGAGGCATGAGACCGAAAGTTCGAGCCGGGGACAATCAGCAAACGGAATGTTCGAAAAGTCAGCAATCCATCGAAAATACGGAACGGAGCCCCTGCCCACGCCAGCCCTTCGCAACCCACCCCTTGTGTTGCCACAAAGGTACACGCCCAAGCCGCCTCCAGCTCCAGTTCGACAACGATGCTTGTCGGGGCCTAGTACGGCAGAAGAGACCAAAGCCGCAGAGGCTCGATGGTCAGGGGCTCGATGGTCAGAGGCTAGAAGGTCGGAGCCTGGTACGGCAGAAGAGACCAGGCCTCAAAAGCCAGTTGGTCAGAGCAGCAATGGGCTATATGATCATAGCCACAAGGGCTAGAGGAGCAAGGGCGCAATGCCTCAAGTGAAATGTATTGGTATTGTGCTGGGGTACAAGAGCTGTCTCATACAGAGGGAGTAAGGCTGGGCAAGGCTGAGCTAGTGGCATGGAGCGAGACAGAGACAGAGGTTTTGGCGAGTTGGGCGACATGCCCAGCGGAGGCGTGACACAGAGAGACAGTCACGGAGCAGAATCAATTGAAGTTCGAATCTTCAACAGTCCCTTCTGCAGTGTTACGCGCTCGATTCCGTGCCCTACTATTTTCTGTGTGTTCTCTGACTACGTCCGTGAAAATGATCGCCCAATTACCAGAGGGGTCAACAAGGCCGTACTTCATAAAGGTCAGGATTACAAGCCGTACCAGGTACCCCAAAGTTGATGATGTACTACAGGTCGTACCGAATGATTATCCCGGAAAGCACCTGTGCGAAGGGGAGTACGAGTCGCTCAAATCCATGCATGAAGTGGTTGCCTCGTTCATTCCAAAGGCGTATGGTTGGGGACATCTCAAGAACGGTCCAGGATGTTTCTTTCTCGCTGCAGTTGCGGGCGATGCTCCTTCCTTCGAACGAAGTCCCCCGGTCGGTCCACACGTCGACAAGAGATTCATACTGCGCGAGTGGCTATTGGCGGGCTGGGAGATGCCAATAGGCGAGATGCCAATAGGCGAGATGTTTGATCTGAAGAAGTTGAGTGAGAAGTGCAAGAAACTGGGGAGATGTTCTTTCTTCGTAAGCAGCATGCCACTGAAGGTGAGGAACACTGCCGTCATTTATTGTCCATGCCCGGCCCCCAAGCTTACCGTCAAGACACGGTTTATTGACGCCTGAACATCCACAGGTGCCCGGAGAAGTTGCTAGCCCGCCGAATGCGGTGGCGATATTCTAGACCGTCTCGACGACATCGATATCAAGCAGGCCAACGAATTTTACGCCGATGTGCTCCTTCGCTGCGATCACCCATATACAGAAACCCAGAGGCACAAAGTTGAATGGAGGCTATCGTTCTCTAAGTTGATCACAGGGATGTTGTTCTTCCACATACGACAGATGTTGATGTCTAAACAGACCGGATTGCACCTGCTGCATAATGTTCCGTCGGCTGGGCTGGACGGTATGCAAGGTGTCTAATCTACCTTTTTTGGCCGCTCAGAGATGTATCTAAGGAGGCTATAACGATAACCACGTTCTATGACTGCATTGCACCCATCTTTTCCAACTTGTATTCCTCCAGCTGGGTGGTCAACTTTTCAGTAGCCGCGAATTGGTGCACGTCGCGTTGCCTTGGAGCTTCATCGACACCTATTCGAGCTGCTGCTTGCCGTCCAGTGACAAGAGACAATATCTCTTCTGCTCTCTCGCCGTTGGGAGCTTCATCACCGCGCCAAGCGACATGGCCATCTGCTCGGACCAACACAAAACGCTTTTGCCAGACTGTCTGGGCGTTTTCTTCGCCTCGAAGGACCACACGCTTAATGGGCACATTCAGAGCATCTGCAGCTGCCAGGAGAGCACCAGATTCTCCGTCCTCCTCGCCTTCGGGGTCACTGAACTGAAAAAGGGTCCAATATTTCCCGTAAAGGTCGAATATCGAGGTTCCATCCCCGAGAAAGACGTGAGGTGCGCGCGAACCGATAAACGTGCTAGGGGCATACCGCCCTGGACTCCATTCAGGTTCGACTGCATCGCCCTCCTGTTTCGACGGATACACGCACGACCGATGCCGAATGTCCATTTCAATACCCCAGTCTGTGTTTTCGCCGTTGTTCGCTCGATAGTGCTCAACTATATTGTTTCTGATTTCATGCCCTCTGTCGGAATCCTCAAGCACTTCTCTAGGCTTGGCTCCGAGCAGGCGAGAAAGCGCGAGGTGCGTTTCCATGTGTATCCCGGATCTTTGGATGCTTTGCAGGGCCACGGGGCGTCGTTCCTCTTCGTAAGAATCGAGAAGACCGAGCCCGGCATGTCCATTGATGACGGCAGCTAACTTCCAACCAATGTCAAAGGCGTCGCCAACCCCCTTGTAAGAAAATCAGCGTGGGAGCAATGATCAAGCCTACACAGCAATAAAAAGAACTCACCATGTTCATGCCATACCCCCCAGTGGGGATATTCTGATGTGCGGCATCTCCGGCGAGGAACACCTTGCCCATCTGGCTGCGATACTGCCTCGCAACTGCGATACTATGTCGATAGGTGGAGCTGACCAGTACCTCGTCGATTTGGAACTCGTAGGGGCTTCCCATGCCCGCCAGGGCTTTGTAGGCCGCCTCGTGCGGCCCAATTTGGGTATGGTCCACTCCTAGCGGCAGCAGCAAATGCGTTGTAAAGACGTACTCGTCGTCTTGACAGATCGCTGCACCGCTTAAGCCCTCCTCGCCGTAGACGAAAAGATGCCAGAAACGGCCGTGCTTGTGTAACTTCTCGAGGTCCCGGGATCGGAAGTGGACCAAGAGCACATATCCGGGGCTTCGAATTGTCAGCGGGAAGAGACCCGATCAGGCACGAGACGAGACCAAACCTACACCGGCCCTCCGTCGAGAGCGATACTCATATCTCGTCGCACACGGCTCGATGCGCCATCACACCCGACCAAGTATTTCGTGAACATCTTGACCGTTTTGCCACTTTGGATGCGGACGGCATCAACATGGACACCCTCCACGGTCTCCGCGGCCCTTTCGACTTTCCAGCCGAACCTGCAATCTATTAGGGGATTGCGGTCGCACCGGTCCTTCAAGTAGCTCTCAAATATGGCCTGCGAAATCCTTTGCCACGGCTCTTGCGGCATGCTGCCATCGTTGCGTTCTCTGAACTGTGCCCTCAACTCCACGTTGGACGGAAATTCCCACGACGTTGTCGGGGCCGGCTCACCCAGTCCCGGGGTGATATACACATTGTAGGGTGTCGTCTGAGGTACACCTGGTGGCAAGGAATATCATCAG